CTCCCATGCACACTCATGCACGCATTGCATATATGTGCAACATACCCCTTTTTGTCTCACACCCCATGGGTAAAACACCCTGTGTGATGGTCGAACACGCAATGTTGACCTGAGGGGGTATTCCGACAGGCTCCGCATGAGATGCAGGAAGATGGAGTGGGCGCGCATCGTCACTCCACCTGCATCTCAGAGCCTGCACTTCTAAGCAACGCTCACGTAAAAAAGCGCGTATCGAGTTTGCTCCGGTCGGTTGCTTTTTTCCCTGCATGTCCCTTTAGGCTTGAAGCAGTGACCAAGATTCTAACATGATTCTTTATGCCTTATTTTACCCCGGCGTGGCATACTCAATGAAGTTTCCAAGTCAATGAACCTTTGGAAGGAAGTTCATATCCTACTCGAAACCTCAACACTCACGCCAGGTGATGACATTCCCTCGATCCTCATCAAGCTCCTGCCGTTCCAAATTCTAGCGCGGGTTGACCGCGTTGAGACTTGGCCTGAAGCAAGTTATGCCGATCGAAAAGGACATGCTACCTCTCTCAGGCCGATTGCGGTATGATCAGTATCAGGCCGATTGTCCTGGCACTTCGCATGAGGATACTACCTTTGCCTTTGCACATGCTCTACTTGACAATGTACATCAATTGGCCCTGCGAGGGAACGATGTTCAGGCCTTCACTCGACCAGCGTTTAATTGGCAGCTTTGCAGGCACCGGAACACCCGAACTCTGATCCATATCTCAGTCAGTTCGTTGCGAGCCGAGGAGAATCAATCCACTGGCAACGCGCACCGACAGAACAAAATTCCAACAATGCAAGCCGTCAGCAGTGGAAATCAAAACCACGTCCTTCACCTCAATGAACCAGCAGGTCCACCGGGGTAAAGTACGCAATCGTTGGCAGACTCCGAGCACAACGACAACTTGAGCCGACATGTTACTTGAGCCAAAAGGCTTGAGCCAAAGGGGGCTTGAGCCAGGCTACGGAAAAAAAAAGGGACATGCAGCGCATCCCTACCCTTCAGGTAGCGCTGGAGGAGGCGTGCAGGTGGGAGGTGCCCGCTAAGACGGGGTGGAGGGCAATTCCGCCACCACTGCCAGAAGATACCTACCATTTGAGAATGGTGGGTGTCGGGCAATTCTGCAGCACAAGTAGGTCAAGATCCTGCGCCCCAACCCCAGGTTCTGCGCGAAGCAGCGTTTTGGACACCGTTTGGAGGATGGGATGAGGCGGAGACCAATCTGAGCAAATCCGTTAGGGTTTAAAAAAATATGGAAAAAGTTTAGGGTGTGACAGATAAGGGTGCTCGCTCGGGGATAAACAAGCTCGGCAGGCGTTTTTCCACCCAAAAGTGCCGGTGACGACGGCGGGGACATACCGGTGACAAGGGTGACAAGCTCGGCAGGCTGCCCGTGTCCAAAAGCTCCATTGGCTCAGTGGGCAAGCCCGGGCTTTTTCGATTTGCAAGATTCCGGGGCTCGAACCCTGCAAACCGGCTGTCACAGTAACACACCGGTGACAAGGGGTGACAAGCTCGGCAGGCTGCGTTTTTCCACCCAAAAGTGCCCGGTGACAAGCGGTGACACACCGGTGACAAGGGTGACAAGCTCGGCAGGCTGCCCCTGGCACCCAAAAGCACCGGCTCTTTGCAGTAATCTGGTCTGGGGCTCGAAATTTCGGCAAGGCTCAATCCCCGCAAGGGTGACAAGCTTGGCAGGCTGTCGTGGCCCCGGCTTGCTTTGGCGTGATTTCGAGCCCTGGAAGCCTCCAGAACCGTCTTCTGAGCGAAAAGAACAAGGTCTTCAGGAATTCAGGAAATTGGCCGTTTTGTGGCCTTTTTCAGCCCAAAAGCTAGGGATGACAAAGGGTGACAAAAATGTGACAAGCTCGGCGTGTCAGGACCCTGCGCTTGGCCGAAAACACAAAATTTCTATTTTATTATTTTCTGACCAAATCTTCGAGAATTCGGGAAAGGCCGTTTAGCGCTTGTTTTCAGCCCGAAAGGCCCGGTGACAAGGGGGTGACAAAAGGGTGACAAGCTCGGCAGGATGGATTAGGGCGTAGTGTCAGGACCTTGTTTTTGGCAAATCGATAGGCCTAGGTCCCTTACTTGCTGTCTGACCGAAAAGAACAAGGTTTTCAGGAATTTGGGAAGTTGGCCTTTTTGTGCATGTTTTCCACCCAAAAGGTAGGGGTGACATAGGGGTGACTTCTTTGGTGACAAGTTCAACGGGATGGAAAAAAGGCTGTTTTGGCAGCTTTTTCGGGCCAAAAACGAAAATTACTTGGTCACTATAAGCCTATGTTCCTTACTACTGTTAGCGGCAGACGTCCAAGTCTCTTGCACGCCTGCGCCTCAAAGACAAAAGAAGGCAGCTTCCACGACTCCGGGCGCCACTCGGCTCTCCAGGCTTGTGGGCTGCGCGCGCGCCTGCAGGGTTTGCGCGCTGCCCGCAAAGACCTCAGCCAGTTTTGCGAGTGCATGCCACGCATCTCCAAACAGTTTCCGGTGAAACGCGCGCAGTTCACCCTGGCAGGAACAACCCCGCTCTGAAGGGGGGGTGTGTCGTCGGCTGCTCAGCTGGCCCAGCACTTTCCGGGGTGGCTTGGAAACACTTAAGGGGGTGACAATCATACCTCCCGCTCCAGGTGCACCGCGTGCTCTGGAGGCAGTGCTACTTTCAAGCAACCCGTGAAAAAGAAGTGCGCGCCTTCTGGGTTTGCGGAGCTCGTGGATTTGGAGGGTTGTTTGGGTTCAATAGGAGCAGTGCAACAGGCCTTAACGCTTAGGGTTTTCTTTTCCCCTGTGTTTAGGGCCTGTTGTGTCTCGTACGCGGTGGCCATTTTGCTCCTACCTTGAACTCAAACCGCTTGTTACGACTGAAACCCACCCTCCCACCCTGCTCTGCCTTGTGCAAGGCAGGTTCCGAGGCGGCTGACGCTCAGCGCCCTCCACAGCGAGCTTGGGCACGCCTGCCCTTGCCTTCGCTTCCTAGGGCTGTACCCGCGGTACTCCCTGGTCATCACACAAACCGCTGTCTGTTACAAAAGCGCGGGCACGCCTGCCGCGCCGTGCCAAAGCACTGCAAATAGCCAGGACACGCATGGCTGGCGCTCTTTCAGTTTCACAGGGGGGACAATGATACCTCCTGCTCCAGGTGCACCGCGTGCTCTGGAGGCAGTGCTACTTTCAAGCAACCCGTGAAGAAGAAGTGCGCGCCTTTTGGGTTTGCGGGGCTCGTGGATTTGGAGGGTTGTTTGGGTTCAAGCTAGGAGCAGTGCAACAGGCCTTAACAATTTGGATAGTGCTGGCCATTTTGGCTGGCATTGGAGCCTTGAGCCGGGGGCGATGAATTTGGAGAGGATCAAATCGGTCCTGCTGGGACGGTGTATCACACGAATGAGCAGTGCCCGCACTTCAGGCACACAAAGCATCAGTCAGACACAGCATGGCAATGCATTTAAATCACATGTGCATTCACCGCATTGGAGGCTCTAATAGCCATAGAGAAACGGGCGCCGCCGTCCGCTCGACATATAGCGGACTTTGTAAGTTGGAAGCAACGTTTTTCTGTCCCTTTCTTCTTTTTGGGGCCCCTCACACTCATATGAGCTTGCGCAGGTACTTCGACTGCTGGCCGAACCGGCCCATAAGGCGTTGGGCGCAAAAAATCGTTTTTTCCTTGTCACGGTGGTTGTGTCTTGCGCTGCTCTCGGTCATTGGCTTGGCTCGTCCTGGTCGTTTTTCTTGGCCGCCCTGTCTCGCAATGGCTCGTAGTTCGGCTTCTGTTTTGCGCTGCCCGGCGGCTTGCCGTCGCTCTGAGTCTTTCTTCCTTCTTGTTTGCAAACCAGCGCCCCATGACCGCGTTGTGGCCCTCTGACCGAATCGGCTCTTCTCTGTTCGAGCTCCATTCTCCTGCTTCGCTGTTCGTCCTTGCTGGCTCGTGGTAGTCTGGGGGCTCTGCGTGGCGGCGGTTGGCCTGAGGCCCCACCCTTGTTTCTTTCTTGATTTGCTTAGGTCTTTCTGCTTGGAGTCCGCATTGTCTCTGCGGCCTTTTGGTCTCTCTGTCAGTTAGGAGTTTTTCTCGGCTCATGTTTGTCGCTGCTCGGTGGCTCACGGGTCCTTCTTTGGAGCAGATTGAGTGATGAGACGCCTGCCAGGATTTTTGAGCCTGGTAGTGTTTCCTTCTTTTTGGCTTTTCTCCACTGGCTTCGCTTAGGATAATGTAGGTCGCCCGACATGTCACATGGACACGGCAAGGATAAGGACGACCTGCTGAGGTTTATCAGTGAGAACAACTGAAACACAAATGGGCAGACGGGCAGCCATCATTGAGCAGGCGTTGAACCTTCTGCCACACCAATCTATGCTTACCATGTGTTCATCCTTTTTGTTCTCAAATGAAGGCTTACAATTCAATGAGTGCAACATTCTGCAATGTAATGCTGACAATATTCGTTTGCTCACTGTTCTGGGCCAGTTTTTGACATTAGTTCTCCCCGATACTCATAAAGCTCTTAGAATTGTTAAAAGCTTGCTTGCTGTGGCCAAATCACAATGTAAATTAGGCATTCGTAGCGAGCAAAAGTGGCAGATCGTGGCAACCGTCACCACCACCACAACCACTGCCCTCGCACCAGCAGCAGCGGCGGCAGCAGCAGAAACACTCTCGGTACCAGTAGAGCTGTTGGATGAAGACATGCTGGATCGTCAAGCATCGCTGGAGCTTATGCCCTTAAGAATTCTCATGTGTGGATGCTCAACTACCTGGAGTGAAAGAAACGGGTTGCAGAAAAGGGCCGCACACGTAACAAACCAGGATTTTCCCTTCCCATTTGGTCTGCGCGGACAAATTCATTAGAGTGACAATCGGAGTACATTCTGGACTTTGGTCTTATTGGCTCACATTCGGTAGTTGCAGATTCCACAGCGTCGCAAGACAGCAAGAAGCGGGCCCCTTGAAGTCGAGCCGTCCTGTCATCGATTGTTGCATGCTACACTGCAGTCACTGGGAAGTTTGCGAGCCATGGCTGTGTCTTCGCCAGATCAAGCCAGGCTGGCTGAATCAGACCCAAGATTGTGGGCTCCTTGTCGATTCATTCTCCTTTTTGGTTGCTGATATGATCTGTGAAGATGCCGCACAGGTTCTGCAAGAAATGCGCCTAGGCCTTTTCGACCAGTAGATATAACCCTTGCTTTGAAGCCTTTCGCATCACAAAACACAACGTGCATTTTTCCTTTTTTTTGTTGTTTTCTCCGTGTGACCAGGATGGCCATTACCAGCTGCATCACGCAGCTGCAAGCTGTGCACCTGTTCTTGCGCCCCGGCATGGGGTGGGACGCCTGCGGGGTCCACTTGGGTATACGTGACAACCCAACTTCCAAACTTTGGCTCGCTTTAAAGCCAAACCAAGTTGACGACATGTGGAGATGGTTTCTAGTTTTGACCACAGCTATTCGATGGGTGCCGCGCAAGCGGAAAAGAAAGCACAAAAACAGCCTGGAGCAAGCCCTGAAGCAAGCCTTGAACCAGCCCCGAGCGGAGCAACAATCAAAAGCCAGCCCCAAAACTACCCTGACCTTGAAGCAGAATGGAGTTTCTACTGGCTAGAAAAAGACAGGTTGATTTGGACCTTGTGCCAAGGCCAAAGCAAACAGATCCATGCCAGCTGACGCAGGTACGCCAGCCATTGACAAAAGGCATCCACCTCAAAAGTCTTTTTCGGTTTCGGAGTGGCCACAACCACTTTGGAATATGTCAAAAGCCAAACCACAACCAATTGAGGAGACTTCAGCTTCTCAACATTGCTTGATTGCAAGAACTTGTTGCATAACAGCTGCTCTTCCCGACTTGCACAGCCGCATCTTATGAAGGACCCATAGGGCGAATTCACAACAGTGAATTCCTTCATCGGGCACTTGTAAAGCCAACGCCAATGGCCACTGCGCTTAGGATTGCAAGTGGTGCCTGAAATTAGGCTTAACAGTTTCTGTCTGTAAGAAACTAACCTGGGTGCCCATACCACGCGACCAGGAGTATAAGGCAGCCCTGGCAATAGGACACTAGACCGAGCAAGATATGGACGAAGCGGCCGTATGCCATCAAGCCTCCCACTGTTTGCTGCTTCCCAAGTGCTCCCAGGACACATGCGTGGACAAGCCAAGGCCGGGTCCTGGATTGTTGCTGCAAAGCTTTTTTGTTTTTTGAAGAGTACCTGTTTTGGGGAATTCAAACCGAATCTTGAGACTGACAACTACTATTGGTTGGCTGGGGAATTTCAACCAACCACAGTTCATTCCTGATTGCCCATGTGCCCTTTTCCTGCAAACAACAAAAGGTTGGGGGGGGGGGGGGCGACTGTGCCCAGGTTGGGCTCCGCCAGAAGGCTGGGGCCTGGAGTTTGGCCGGCGAAGGGGTGGCCTCCGGTTTGAGTTCTGGAGGTGCCCGTTTCGCTTTGAGCATGAAGACTTTTTACCGATGTGTTTGATAGATTGTCAAGGCCCACTGTGCACACGCTTCAATGCTCCCTTGCTTGAGCCTGCATGAATTGCGGGCTTGCGCGAAGGAAGTGGCATCTAGAGATGTATCCATTCGTACCTCACTTGGATTCGCTTCTGAAACTTTGAGCTTGGAAACGCCAAAAACAATTTGCAAGCAGAAAAGCCGGTGGCCGTTTTGTCTTAAGCCATGGGTCCGGGATGCGGTTTGCTTCAGACGGCCTCTCCAGCAGGCTTCTTGACACGAGACCCGGGTGGCACCCAGCGGTCCTAAGACCTCCCGGAGCCTCGGAGCTCGAAGTGTGCAGGCGACTCCGAGGAAGAGCTGCTGGCCGAAGGCGGATGGACCCCTCGACCCCGGACTCAAGGTGTCGGAGCAGGGGGTGTTTCCCCCAACACTCCGACCGTATTTTGGGAAGCGGCCACATTCTTGGGGTTCTGGGGAAGGTGTTGTGGTCTTGGCTTTGGAAGGACTTGATTGTTTTCATTTACCAACAGGAAGCCAGGACCTGCTTTCTTAACTTCGGCGGGAGCGCTGCTAACCAATCAGCATTCGCGGGGGAGGGAGTCTGACGCCAACCCGCGAACGGGGGTGCGATGCTCACAGTTGCTGATGGCCAGGATCTCTTGTTACGTTTCATGCTAATACCGAAGTGGTAGTGGTGGACATGGAATTTTGTGGAGTGTAGAGGTGTTTGCAGCCAGCGAAAGTCATGTCGAGAAAGGCTATGTACTGTAGGCAAGTGGGGAGTGATAGGAGGATCCTGCATCCGGTGTTTTGAAAATGTGGCGAGCCCCCGGACAATCTCATTCTTGCCTGACTTCCTCACAGCAAGACATACATATTCACAATGAACACCAGCTGGCACACTCAGTTGCCTTTGTTTCTCCTTGAAACAATAGACATCTCTGCGAGGAGGCTGTCAATTTTGCCAGGCGTTTTCAAAATTCAGCTTCTGCCTGTGGTTGCTCTAGGCCCATTCATGGCCCTTGCCTGTGCAACAGCGGAGCCTGATGCTCGGAACAGGTTCAAAAGTTCACCGAGGTTTTGTCCAGGGTCCTTCTATTGGTTGAGGCTTGTCCAGCCCATTTGACCAGGAAGGGCCATCTCTTCATGAGAGTCTGCATGCCCACTTACATAAGGACAGGACAGGTCAACATATCCAACGGTCTACGGTTCATGATGGACGGATGTAGGATTCACGAAATGTTGCGCTCCCAAATAAAACAAACTAAAGGACCAACACTCATTCTCACTTTCCCAATGTCCTTTCCGGCAGCCACACAGCAAGCTGACCACTCAAACTCCTTTCCAAGCCCTTGGCTCCCCAAACCGGAAAAAACAGAGCTGAATGAGCAACTTTTTCTGGAATACCCACCTCCCCCCTCCCCACTGGGGCGTGTATTTGTCTCCATCTTTTTCATTTTCGTTTCATAGGCCCCCGGCTCCGCCAGGCCCAGACCGGCTCCGCCAGGTGCTGCTTCGCCTGCAAGGGAATCCAGGCGTTTTGCGCGTTTTTGCGCCAAGTTCTTTTTTGGTTCGCCAGTTTGCAAGGTGCACACTGAAATGGGGGTAGCCCGAAGAGACTAGCAGACAGGGCGCAGTAATGCGTTGGCTGGACCCGGTAAATGGGTGTGGCTTGTTTGGTGAGCAAAGAGCTCCAACCTTGTACTTTGGGGTTGTTTGGCGCTCACCCTGCGTCTGCAGGCGATCTGATGGAGGCTGACTATTGGACAGGCCAGGGAGTATATGTGGATCAGGCAGCTCTGGGTACCTACGCCACTCCAGAGATTGTGGTTGGAAAGCTGTGTTTTGCGATCGTTGAAGGGCAAACGGGGAAAAACAATCCAACTAGTCAATGCTTTGCTGACATTAGAGGCCTTTTCAAGTATCAGATCAGCGAGATCAACATTGTCTTCAAGTGATATGCCTCCAGTCCTTCAGTTTCTTCCTTTTGCAGGTCAACAAACGCCCTTGGTGTGCTAGGCACCAAGGGTCTGTTTTTTTTTTTGTTTTTGTTTTTTTTTGCAACATTTAGAATATATAAGCAGATGTTGCTGCCACGAGTTTGGGGAGTCACGGCAATTTGACAGGTGTTGCAAGGTAGAACGAGGGCGGGGTGCTGCGATTCGGTCGCACTGGTGCTTAGAAATCACGAGCCATTTCCGCCTGTGCGAGGCATGGCAGAACGAGATGCAGCGGGTCAAGCTGACTCGGAGTCTTTTAGTTGCCTGGCAGGGGCATCTCGATGCTAGCTAACAGGGTGGTCAGCGCTGTGTTCATGTTTTTTCTTGATTTACGGCTTGGAAACCACATGCTCGCTCACTGAGAAAAGAGAACGCCAAGGTGCAGCAGAAGCAGAGCAGCCGGCAGAGATGGCTACGTGGACTGTGGAGCAGTCCGCCGAGCAGCCTGCCGAGCAGCCTGCCGAGCAGCCTGCCGAGCAGTCTGCAGAACACTTGGTGGAGCAGCTTGCAGGTTTGTATGCAGAACAGCCTGCAGACCAACCTGCAGAGAAGCCGACAGGACAGCCACAGCAAGAGGCTGCCTTCGTGGTGGACGAAGGCAAGTAACGTGCATTTCTGTGATTTGCGCAGCATACACACAGTTGAGGGTTTGGTTTACGGCACTGCTTGTGTTTGATGCGCAGGGATGCATCGCCGGTACGGATTGTGCAAGAAGTCTTGTGCTTTTGGTATGAAGGCATCACAAACAACTACAAGATGTTGCAAAGTAGTCGCATCGGAACGTGCCACATGTTGAGTCTTGGGTGCTGAGATTCTGTTGACGTTTGTCCCCTAATTAGGATCTGTGTTTCTTGACTGCTGCACGGAAATCGTGACGCCAGTGCAAGGCGTAGCAGAACGAGATGCAGCTGGTCAAGTAGACTCGGAGCCTCCAAGTTGCCTGGCAGAACAATAATTGGATGCTGGCCAACGGGGTGGTCGACACTGCGCGACTGGATGTTGGCTTGTGAAAACTCTCTTGTGGCCTGAGCAAAAGCAGAGCCTCCAACTTGAAGAACTTGCAACAGTTGCAGGACAGAAGCAAGACAGAAGTGCGGTCAGGCACTGATGGATTATCACCGAGCTCTCCCAACCACATTCGTTGGCGTTTTCAGCAGCGCCAGAGTGCTGATTGCCAGACGACAAGCCAAGGAATTGAAGACCAAACTGCACGGCACGCGCAAGCGCAGCGAAGCGCGAAGCTTGCAGAAGCCAAGCAAGACAATGGATGTGATTCAGCCTTGCCAGGCGGAGGCAGGAGACTGTCATGTTTTGTGTAGTATTGCTGGTGGAATTTCAGAGGTATTCACAGAGTGTCGCAGAAGATGTTGTAATGGCAGGTTGCGTAAGGTGACGGGGAGTAGTGCAGTGGTGGGAGGGGGGTGTTGTGAGGCGCGGCAAGGTGGTGCTTTCTCTTGCCCGCAGTACGGAATTTGTGGGAGCGATTCCCTGGTGTTTGTGCAAGGTGTAGCAGAAAGAGACGCTGCTGGTCAAGCAGACTCATTGCCCTCGAGTTGCCTGGCAGACATGTCCGAATGCTGCCCAAAAGAAAGCATGTTTGCAGTGGGGAAACAAGCAAGCTGTGAGAGGAGCCGAGCTAAAGGGCTGTCGTTTCAAATTGAGCAATTTTGTTTTGGAAGACATGGGTGTGTTCCTGTTTTGGACGCCTAGATGTTGGTGGGCAACATAATCTTTTTCATGTGGCATCAATTTATTCCAGCTCCAATTTCGAAGTGGCAAGGTGAGGAGCAGTCTGTGTACTCGACAGAGAAGCCTGTGGAGCAACCTGCAGAGTCTGCAGAGCGGCCTGAGTTGCAGCCTGCAGAGCAACCGGCGGAGCAACCTGCAGTGCAACCTGAGGAGCAACCAGAGTTGCAACCTGAGGAGCAACCAGCGTTGCAAGCTGAGGAGCAATCCCAAGAGCAACTTGTGGAGCAACCTAGGGAGCAACCTGAGTTGCAACCCGCAGAGCAACCTGAGAAGCAACCAGTGCTGCAACCTGCAGAGCAACCTGCAGAGCAACCCGCGGAACAACCTAGGGAGCAACCTGAGTTGCAACTTGCAGAGCAACCTGAGGAGCAACCAGTGTTGCAACCTGCAGAGAAAATTGCGGAGCAACCTGTGGACCAACCTGAGGAGCAACCTGACTTGCCACCTGCGGAGCAACCTGTAGAGCAACCTGAGGAGCAACCAGTGGACGAACCTGAGTTGCAACCTGCAGAGCAACCTGAGGAGCAACCTGTGGACCAACCTGAGGAGCAACCTGAGGAGCAACCTGAATTGCCACCTGCAGAGCAACCTGTAGAGCAACCTGAGGAACCTGAGTTGCAACCTGCAGAGCAACCTGAGGAGCAACTTGTAAAGCAACCAGAGTTGCAACCTGAGCAACCTGCGGACAAACCTGTGGACCAACCTAGGGAGCGACCCGAGTTGCAACCTGCAGAGCAACCTGCGGAGCAACCGGAGTTGCAGCCTGCAGGGCAACCTGCGACGCGACCTGCGGAGCAGCCTGTGGACCAGCGTAGGGGTCAACCCGAGTTGCAACCTGCTGAGCAACCTGCGGAGCAGCCCGCGGCAGAGTCCGAGGAGCATCCAGAGTTGCAACCTGCTGAGCTTTCTGTGGAGCATCCTGTGGAGCAACCTGAATGGTATGGAGGGTGGAAAGCAGATGGATGGTGGAATGCTGATGAACACCACTATCCCGCGCAGGGCACCGGGTGCGATTCAGCCTCTGTAGTACACAGAGGCAGGAGAGTGCTTTGGTTGTCTGAACAGCTGTACTGTTTGCACGTGTGCCATGCTTCAGTGTCGGATGTGGTTGCATTCGGCACTCAGGTGAGGGAGAGCCGTTTGAGACTGACAAGGCGGCCCTGAATGAAGGTGCCGGGTGTTACGTGAGGCAGCCAGGCGTTGCAAGTTGTGCAAGGAGATCGGGAATCAAGTCAGGGACGGTAGGCGAGGCGTTGTGAGGTGTGGCAAGGTTTGGTTGCGTGCCGTGCGGCATTCGTGAAAGGAGTCCACACAAGACGCCTCAGTTGGAGGACCACCCACTCAGTTGGAGGAAACAACGAATTGCCCACAAGCAACGACCAACAGTTACCATCTTCTTTTGTAGTAAAGGGAAACTCCAATGTCGCTTGGGAGACATAACGAAGATTTACTCGTTGCTCAGCTCAGTCACTTCTATGCCAGGTGCCCAAATTCAAGCCTCGACTTTGGAGTTCAAAGCGCCTCCGGCGCCGCGGCTTTGTTGTGGGGCGAAATGAAACATGCGGACGGGATTTTGTATATGTCTTCGCCTGTGTGTACGTGTCTTTTGTGGAGTCGGCACCCTTTGCACGAAAGCTAGCTTTGGCTAGCTGTGGCTTCTACTTGCGTAATCAAATGCATGGGCTCCATCAATAATTTGGGCCGAACAATTGACAGAATCAACAAACTAAGCCTCCCCCCACAGAAGCCCCTCGAGGTCGCAGAAGATTTCCGTTGCACCCCGCCCCCTCTTACACCCCAACACGAAGCAGGTGGCAGGAATGATCTGACAGTTCTACTGAGAAGTGAGCAGAAAAGCAACTCATGCCGATCTCCTCAGTTCTGTTTGTGTCCTGGCTTCCTTTGGTGCATGGGGTTTCATGCCTGGCACAGAGTGAAGTGTGGCATGGCAAGTGAAGCCCCACGTGAGACTTGACAACAATCTGCTGATTGGGTTTGAAGCGAGTCCTCCCATCTCGCCGAGGTCTCCTTGCCACCGCCGCAACACTTGCATCTTGGCAGTTGAGCAATGGAACGCATGACAAGGTTTTGGGATTGTCGTGTGCCCAGCAGCCAGCTTGAAATGGATGTCTCCTTTTGGGTTCCTTCATTTGCACAGGGTGCGACAGCCAAGGTCGCAGTCAGGCGCTGGGGGAGGGTCTGTGGGTTCGGGGAGTTGATTCTCCCATGCATTTGTTTCTAAAGACTAGTTTCCCCACTCTCATAGCATGTACCTGTACCCCGAGTTTGGTGTCGTTTTGATGGTCAAGTCCCAAATGGTCCTTGGAAAGGAACGCAAGATGGGATCTCCAAAGGTCATCATCCGTGATGTGAAAGGATTGGCTTAGTGGGAGTGAGGATCCCCAAACACGGGGCTTTGACAGGCGGCTACCTGATGTCATGCCTCGCTCCATGCGTGAGCACGGCAAGCGCTTTCAGTCCCGTGCTCCGAAAACCAAACTGAAAGAGGGGATCGATTCGCCATCTCAGGCTTGGAGCCACCGCGAACCAAGCCAGCGCCCACCAGCCTGCTGAACAAAGACTTCACCCCGCTGGCTGCGCGGGCGCCGGAAAAGGCCCCCCCCGCGTGGCCGCCGCTTGAGCCGGCCGCTGGCTGGGCGCCGGGGCAGTGGGTGCCGCCGGAGAAGGCGCCGCCGGAGAAGGCTCCGCCACGAGAGCCGGAGAGGCGGCTGCACAAGGCGCCGCCAGAAAAGGCCCCGCCGATGTTCGCATCACAGCTGCCCCCACCACGAGAGAAGGCGCCGCCGCTGAATCCGGCCAAAGAGGCCAAAGTTGCCAAAGCGTCAAGACCGCCGGAGAAGTCGCCGCCCATGAGCCTTGCAGCACCGCCCATGAGCCTTGCAGCACCGCCCATGAGCCTTGCAGCACCGCCCAGTTTCTTGCCAACCAAGGCGCCTCCAACAAGTGTCAAGGCTCCACCACAGGGCATCCAAAATGAATCAGCAGCGAGACCGCCGCCAGAGCCCGCTTCCAAGCCAGGACGATTCCACTGCCCAGCCTTTTTGGTGAACTTCAGCAGTTGAATGATGGATAAAAGCGATGGATTAGGGGTGACATTCCTTCGGCAGTCTGTTTTGGTACCTGAGCCAGACTGCAACCTGGGATCAACCTCTTGTCACGTAGCGTGTGCTCAGAGTCACAACCCATGGAGCAATCAGCAGTCCGCTGTTAGGAGCCGGAGCCTGGCAGCGCCTCCCGGAAGAGGCGGGAGTCGTCAGCATCGACAAAGCTAAAGGGATTCGTTTGGCTGTGGGTCAAAACCAACGGTGCCATTTTGGGGGTGGTGCACCACCCATTTTAGTCTATTTTAGTCGGGATTGGGATGTTCACTGGGGGTATCGGATTTTGACCCATGGCCATTTGTCCACTAAGGTTTGACAAGTGTCGCACACCTACTCGCGAATTGTCAACTCAAGGAGAGCAAAGCAAGATACGGGTGCTTCCCTGGTGCTCATGTTCCAAGCTTTGTCTTCGGCTTCACTCCATCATGTTTGTCGAAGGCCCAAGCAAACTTTTCATGTCGGAACCATAGTGACTAAGCTCGCAAGAATGCCTGGGACAAATTATACTGTACATGGAACGCGCTTCCCAGGTCTTGATATTGTCAGCCGATACACTTTGTCATGCAGTATTTTCTTTCACAGTAGGCGAGGATGTAAATCCGCTCCCACCATACCAAACACACCTCCGGTTTTGATCAAGTTTTAATTCCCCAAGCGGGGTGTATTTGGGGCAGCACATTTGAGGTCCCCTCCACAGGTGCAAAGTTCACAGAACAGCCTGCAGGCATCGGCAGCCCAGCCGCCGATGACCACGAAGCCTCCGCCAGCGTGCTTGGCGCCAGATATGGCATGCCTTTTCCCATCTTTGGCGCATGTGGCGGCTGACAAGCTTTTGGGTAAATGTAGCAGCCAGGAGATCTTTGGGTCGAGGCAATGAGCCTTGGAGAATCAGCAGTAGCAAGGGGCCGCAAGATTCAAATTCTATTTCATCCACATTAGTCCGGCCCCAACCATTCATCATGGTAGTCATATCTGACACGCACACTATCGGTGCTAAGTCTCGGGGAAGCACCGACATGCACGAACTTCTTTCGGCGCGCAGGTTTGGAAAGCCGCGGCCAAGCCTAGTTCCATTCGCATTTCTACAAGTCGAACCGGGGGACGGTTGCGAGCGGATTCCAACGATAGGAGAAAATTGGTGGCCAAAGATTTCCATGCAAATGTGCACCAAAGTGTCTCCAATTCAAGTTCCTGGCTTCAAAATGCGATAGCCAAGTTGGACGTCTCTCTAAATCGACCCCATGGGCCTCCAATTGCGACCCATCGGCCCATCGAGGTTCCTGCGGGGCGGCGTGGCTGGCGCAACAATTCGGCGGCTGCAAGCAGAGGAGTGGCGGAGGGGGGGGGGGGTTTGGGGGTTGGGGGTTGGGGGTCGGGGCTGAAGCCGGAAGCGCGGCCATTTGAGTTGCGCCCTTTTGGCTATGGTTTTGTTGTGTTGGTTGGCGTGTATTTGGTTGAGGCTCGGTACCATTCTTTGGGTTGTAGTTGTTGTTGAAACGGAAGCCAAGCGCAAAACAACCAGTCTTGGGGGTGAGGAAAGACCGGTTTGACCCATCATGAAGGCGCATCATTTTAGATTGAATAAATTGTTTGCTGCGTGGTTGCTGTCCACACTTGCAGTAAACTACTTGCGTTGACATGCATCATTTAAGAAGACGTCAAGTGTCCACTGCTCGTTGAGTGGCGACTAAAACCCGTCCGGCTTAACCACTGCGCATGCATTTTGTACTCGTGATAACACACTTAAATAATTACAAGAGCACGCCACGCGTGCCATATCTGAACATTGAACTTGGAATGGAAGGTAGACTTCATCAGCAGATCTGGGATATCGACGTTTAAATCATCCACACAGACAGGACATGTTACTTTCTTCTAAGTCTTTGGGTGAAGGTTTCGATATACCATTCGCCATCATGAACTAGCACTCTGATTCATTCTGAAGATTCGTTGGATATACATGGTGTCATCAACGGGAGTTCAGTTGGACCGAGTTGTCCAGCTATCTGACGGGCGGGTGGCAAAGAGAAAAGGCCTTTCGCGATGCTGATGTACATGTCAAAGCCAAACTGACCCCTTTGCCTTTTTTGCAGTTTTGGGTTTCCATCACTTTCCCCTTTGAACCAGCAAGCAAGGATTTATCGGCTTTCTTGCATGCTGGCGACAGGGGTTGGTCGAGCGCGAATGAACTGTGCTTGTGGGTGCTTTCCGAGACTGGGCCACTTTTTGGCTGGCTTTCAAGAAACAAGCAGCGATGGGAAAGCCCTGAAATATGTTTGACAGCACCCGTGCTTTCTCTTCGATGGGCAGCCGGGTGCGGGGGGCATCGTCAGCTTTAGCATCAGCAAGTTCGCATCTAAATAGGCTTAATGTGGCATTAACTATAGTTAAACACAATCAGCCTCAAGTGGGCATCGCCTGCGCAAAGCTGCATAAAAGCTGTTGTTGTGCCTTCAAGCAACATGACAAGGCGAAAGTGTCATGCTGCGCGCAAAAAGGATTCCATGCACGGATTCCCTACCTTGAAAAGCAACACCGGTTCATGAACAGGGTCGTTCATTTGTGGTTCGGGGAATTCAGAACTGTTGTACGGTTCCTCTTCGTGGCACCCTGACCAGAAACTCGACGCCTACGAGAGCCGCAGGTTGCGGTTTGCCCGCACTCCCAGTTTTCAAGGCCCTAAAAAAACTGGACACGTCAAGGGCCTTCCCGAGCCTTTCGAAGGTAAATGGTCTCGGATCTTTGTTTCGCTTTGCTTCTGCCCCGTACTTTTTGCTTTACATGAAACACTGCAATTTTTGGATTTCCGCACCCTTGGGGTCTCGCGCAGGAGCTACTCCGCCCCAAGCCCCGTGTGCCGCCCCAGCCAGGTGCGGGGGGCGGGGGGTTGGGGGAGTCGCCCCAAAACTCGGGGATCATCTTGCGGCGAACGAAAGATGAAAAGGGAGTCCAAGCATCAGGCGGATTGGGGATCATTTTGTGGATGTGTCCGAAGCCCGTTCTTCTTGGAGTTGACTCATTTGCCTCCACCAACCAAAGAGCCCATAGTGAGGATAATGTCTTCCGCAGGGATTCCTGAATCAGAATGGTGAACTGAACTTCTGTGGTTTTGACAACTGATCAAGTACTCGTTTCAGAACTGGAGGTCATGCGTTTCTCCTGGTTTGCCGTAGGCCCACACCTTGCATGGTTCAATTCATGTGAAGAGTCCAGCTTACTTGCAGAATGTCTCAACATTTGGGGGTTTCCCACACTTGGGAACCCCAGTTTGGTAAGTCTTCCAACGGAACCACAGGTAAAGCTGCCTTGGGTGTTGATTTTGGAAGGAGGTATGCAACTTACTGCAATCTTGGGACACAATTGGTTGTGTAGCTTAACAAGCGAATATGTTAGACACTGTTGTGATGATTTAGGGTCAGAGAAGCCACAAGGTGTATACATTATGTATATACATATACATGATATTATAAGCATATGTTCGTATGTGTGTATATCGCTAGACACCAACAGGAGTCTATCACAGTGATTTGAGTTGTCATCCTTGAGCTGCTCTGTTTTAGCGCCTTGACACGTCAACTAAAGCAAAGCACCAGGAAGACCGCAGAAGCAGGAAAAGTAGAGGCCCAAAATACCAGAAGGAACCCCCCAGCAACTCTGCAGGCCCCGAGGAAGAGATCGTGGACGTGTGACTCCCAGCGCCGTGGCGAAGCGGCCAATGCGTCCTTCGGCGCAGGTGACCGCTTCGCACGCGAGCGTGCGCCTGCGAGGCGCTCGCTTGCGGGCGGCGAAAGTGGGGTGGATCGGACGTAATCGCGTGCGCGCCGAAGAAAGTTTCGGGGGCTCGGGTGCTTTGGAGCCATACTAGCTTGCGCTTGCTGTGCAACTGAGATGCTGCTCCAAGTTCAAGTAGGGTGGACTTTGTGGATGTCGTGAGATGTGCCAGGAGGTTCCGTAAGTTTGGACAAAGCAAAGCGCTGGGCTGTCGCGATCTCCATGGCGAGCAGTGTTTCTTGTTTCGAGAGCGCGAAGGGAATTCACTGATAGCTTTCATTGCTTACCGGCGGCTCAAGCATGGGGTGGTTTGGGAGCAGCAAAAGCAATGCGCCCAGCCCGGGAGCCCAGATCCCAGGGCTAGCATCGTTGGCGCCGGAGGTCGTTTCGAGAGAAAAGTCGCTTTTCCAGGCCGCTTGTCATGACGTTTCATGGCTGTATTGGAACACACTTTAATGCTCATGTGCGTGGTCACAAATCAGAATTCACACCCAATTGGATGTAAAACGCCTCTTATAGAGATGTTCGTTTCCACCATCTCTGGGGATCGAGGCAAGGATGCGCCTGCGGCAGGTTCAGAGCCGGCAGGCAAGAGGGGGTTGTTGGATGGCTTCATTGAAGGGGATCCTTAGCTTTGTTTCTATGGGGTCTGTCACTTTGGTTGCTTCGAGGCAGCGTGTTGTGCGAATGTTTGTTTATGACCTTCCCGCTCTTGAGGAACAGGGTTTGGGTGGTTGTTTTGGGTAGGTCTCATGCCTGGTTTGCGCTGACAAATCAGGGAACTTTTCTCCACCTGACTCCCACTCGACTGATGGGAAAACACCACGTCTCGGTCCCCGTTTCTTTGACGCTTTCAGGCTACAATGCTAGCCTTTTGCAGACTGGAAACATATAATATAAACATCTACACTCTTGTTTGGGGGAGCACACTATTCCGCGAGGGGCACAGGCGAAGGGCTCAGAAGTGTCGCAGCACTTGATGGCTTGAACTGTTTTCGGGTGAAAATTATTCTTGCAATGGAAGGCTCCTGGGGGCTTAGAGCAAGCAGGGTTAGTTTCTCCATACGTAGTGGTCACAAGCACTTTATGAATCCAGAACTGCAATTGGACACTCCTTTTGCCGCGCTTGGGGTTGATCCATTTGGGCCTTCTCCCAGAAAACAAGCGCGACCTCGCTGAACCCTCGTGTACCCGCTTGCAGGGCCGCCCCTTCCACGATCGGCAGATTGATTCCGTAGCTTTCGCACTTGGGGAAAAGCAAGCAGGGAACCTGAAATGAGAGTCCTTGTAGGAGGCTTCAGGGGCTCACGTAGGTTGCACATCTGTGTTCGAGAGGTCGGCCTGCAATGAATCGATTTTCCGAAGGAGCACCAAAGGTGGATGGGTCAATTTTCCACGTGGAAGACCACGCGGCCCAGTGCCGCCCCGCCGATTTCGCGCCAGGCGCGAGGTCGCCCGCTTCCGCGAAGTCGCCCGCCTCCGGCCGCGCTCTGACCTCACTGGGCGGGAGCCCTGGCAGCGAGGCGCGGGCTGGGTTGCGACCAAAAAATGGCACCAAGAGGCGACCAACACGTAGGCTCCAAGTACTCCAAGGTCCTAGGTGCTAAAAAGGAGATTATTTTTAGGGAGTTTGTGCTCTAACTGTGTTGTTTCGGGCGTTGGTTTGAAGGCGAGATATTTATGGGGTTAATTGCAACCACCCTCATCATTTGAGACAACCGTGTGGGACTGAGCGGGAGTACCGGGGCCTGGAAGGGTAAAAGGGAAAGGACAATTTGTATTCTGCACGACGCAGGGCTGGGAATTTGTGGCATCCCTCATCGGGTTGGCTGACAGTTCATGTCAACGCAGGTGTATGAGCAACCGAGTCTGGCGTTTCAGACTGGCAAACGCCATGGGATTCTAAGGAATCAGGCAAGCCTGAGCACGAAGCCAAGAGGCAGTGGGGCAGTTTTGGTTGATATCCCGCTCCATATCCAGCAGTTGCTCAGGTAAGATGTGAGGCCATTTGGCTTGATGGTAGGCGCTTAGGCGCTTGCAACCTTTAGGCTCTTTCCGAACTCGCAAAGCACCACATCTGGAGACCGCGCTATCACCACCGGCTTCGTGTGAGACAGCGAACACGTTTTGAGAGCGGAGTTTCTCCAGCATGCCTCCCTGTTGTCCAGGGGAGGACATAGGAGGCCCCATCAATTTGAAAGCATCCGGATTGATGCAGCAACAGCTTGACCTACACCATACCTCGTAATAGGAGCCATCCCTTACATTGCGAACAAAAAAGTGTCACAACCTCAACTCCCTGCAAATGGTTTTATGTTATTTTCCATGTATGATAGAAGAGTCTGCACACGGGGCGCGCGCGCAGATGTTTGTTTGTTTGTTTGTCTGTCTGTCTGTCTGTCTGTTTGTTTGCTTGTCTGTTTGTTTGCTTGTCTGTTTGTTTGTTTGTTTGTTTGTTTGTTTGTTTGTTTGTGTGTGTGTGCGCTGTGTGTTTAGTGTTGACTGAACGCGAGGATTTTGTTTTGGGGCCGGCTTCCGTTTCGAGAGATTGCAAGCTTGTGCCTGGCGTCGAACCGAAGCCAGGCGGGAGGCTTCCGGTGGCCCGAGTTCCCGGCGCAGGCGAGCAGCTTGGCTCGGCTTCTCCCTTGGGTCTTTATTTTTCTCTCAAAGTTCTTTTTGGAAACATTGGAACGTCCTGCTGATTCCCAACTTTTGTCAAAAAATGGTTGCTTTGCCTGTTGGTTTTTGTTTAAAGGCCAACCCAGGGTGCGGTGCGGTCGTTGTGAATCGCCGACTTTTGTTGGCCTTTCACGTCGCCCTGCAGATCACGATGGCTCACATTCAAGTCGGGCCCCGTGAATCCCCGTCTTCCGACTTCCGGCGGTCGCGATCGCGGCTCCTGCCAGGTCCCAAATCCGCGGAAAGCGCGGCAGGTCCTGATCGTCGGCCGGGCCCCCAAAGCGAGCATGGGGCTTGATGACGAGGCGAGGGGAGGGAGGGAAGGGGGGGGGCTTGAGGATTGAACTCGCCAATTCCGTATTCTTCAAACCAGCCCAGCCTTTCCAAACGAAGTGGTCTTGCCGTTTTCTTTCTTGGTGCCGCGAAACGCCCGACGCCCCTTTCCTTTTTCGCCACGGTCCCCCAAAAGCCATTTTGTGCATTTGGCGAACCTGCTATGAGGGGGCATTTCGGGGGTGCCACGGAGTTTTCGAGACTCAGACCTCTCACAACATTACCCTAAAGCTGGTTGCATATTCAGTGTCCACCGGACAGGACCCACCTTTTCAGCCTTCCTTTTGCTCTGGTGTACTGCACCCGCCCGAGGCGCTGACCCGGCTGGGTCCGGGCCTCAGCTGCCTGGGCGATTGGACCCGCGAGTAAAACAAGGAAGGCCACCCGGATTTGGACACTTTTGGAGAGATTTGGTGTATTAGATCCGCCAAAGGTGCTTAGGTTTCTTTACTTCATTGGCCAGGAAATCAGGCATTCTTTTTGCTGTACACCCAATTGGGCTTTAGATGGTGAAAGGGAGCTATAAGATAAAATAGCAACCACCAATGTAAGGTTAAGAAGGCAATACCAAGGTTGCGGACTCGAGGGTTCTCCAAGACGTGGCTCTTGGTTGTTCGGCATTGACATCCACGTTCAGACGAACCAATCTGACCACAGGGTGTGCCCATGAGTCCAAATCAGAGACATGGCCAGCTGCTTCAAAGGCGAGTTGTGCGATTTGCAAATCATGGGCAAACTCATGACAGGGCTTTTGATAGATGCTGATAGATGTTGGTCATCCCATGCATCATGTTGAAGTTCAATGATTGGAGCACACCTGTCTCCATTTGCTTCCTCATTCAATTCTTCTTTGCTGCAATGGACGCGTTTTTCTTTGCGGTGGTCGTTTTGTTGTCCTCAGATGCCCTCTTTGCCAGAACTGACAAGTGGCCGGGCTGGTGCGTGTGCTCTGCAAAGGGAGACACCCGTGAGTGCGGCACTGCAAGTTCGAGCAGCAGTTTTAATCACTGAGCTTCCAACGAAAAGGTGGGTTCCTAGTTGGAAAGCCGCCACTACCTTCGGGTTTTCTTCCTGCGCACCAATTTCATGGCACTGGAAGCTTCCGGTTTGCGCCCCTCACAACTTTGCAAGGTTGACCCTGGCACTTGCCCTCGCAGCCAATGGCATCGCCGCAACTTTGCAGCAAGGGTGGCAGCGGGGTCGGGGTGGTGGGCTGGTGAGTCACTGGTGAGCTCACTCCAGGCCAACTTGAGGTTTGCGTGATTTACTCGCATGGGCGAATAAACAGCTTCCTAGCGCAACATTCCAAAACGCAGATCCTTCTGCTACAGCCACCCATCTCACATCCATATCCCACCCCAAACTAGCGGGCGCTAGCACTAGCATGTGTTACTTTCGGTGTGTTTTCCTTTCTATGGCACGTGACTACAAGAAAGTTGGACCTCCAAAATTAGCAAGCTCAAGAAGTATCCCCAACATCCCATGCAGCCTCCCCAGGGCCCCAAAACGCGGTCCAAAACCGCACGAATTCCGCCGGGCACAAGACATGGCGAGACTTTTGGACGCCGGCGGCCTTGGCCGTCCGAGGTGACGGTGCTGGAGGCCCGGCCCAGCTTGTGTGGCTCGAGCCGCCGCTGCAGCTGGAGTGCGCGGGCCCCAATGTTTTTGGAGTCATGGAGTCATTTTATTGGCGTTGAAACGACCAAACGAAACTGGGCCCAAACGGCGTCCATATCCTTCTATCGCAAGCCTGACCTGTGGGGGAGTGTCTGGTTGTCAGAACTGACAGACCCCATTTGGTGAGGCCCTTGAAAGGGCCAGGGTGCCAAGAAGGGTCCTCATTTTGGGCAAGTTGCGTGGTGCTTTTGGCGTGGCGCCACTTTGGCCCATTGAGCCCGTTTCAGTTTGTGAGCCAAGAAAAAAGTAGGTCACATCAGTCACATCATGGGGCTTCTTGCGCGTGGCTTGACCCCAGTTGTTGACACGATCATGGCCAAACTGGGCTCACACATTGCACAGCCGGGCTCTCACCAAATGTTGCTTCGTATGTCAAACATCAAGTATTTTAACAGAATGTTTTGTAACTCGCATATTTGTTTCGACACCACCACGCGAATCGCAGTTAAACTTGCTGATTAGGCAGGAATGGTGCGCTCAAGTATTCAAGAGGCCAGACAAACATGGCATTGTAACCTGCTTGGACACAATCCTTTTCACCGGGCCAGCAATTTGGACAAGCGTCCGCTTTTGCAGAACTTGAGCAGTATGAACTGGGTACTTCCATTCACGTGTTTGTCGGGTACGGCTACCCAATATGCTGTGGCTTCGGGCAAGCATATCGGATTTGGCAAGATAACTCCGTTGTATTGAACCAGCACTCCCGTGTACTTACCCCAAACATAAGTATCCCCCCCTCTACTAGTAGATTGCTGGGCCCAAACGATATTGATTTTTGTAGCTTTGTAAGTACGGTGCAAAATTTGAAGAGGAAAGAAGGACATTGGTTTTGTCAATTCTGGTTAGTATGGGGCCGGAGGAATCTATCCTGAAGTACCCCCTTTTAAGATTGGAATCGGGCTTGGCAGGGAGTCAGCCAGTGTATTGGCCTATTTTCTGGGCCTGCGGCCTCTAGCCGGCGCCTCTTTGAAGTTATACCATGTCATGTATTTTTTTTGTATGAGAAACATATTGTGTGCTATGATATAGTTGGTTAGGTTGTGCATGTTGCCCACCCCAACCCCAGATGATGCAGGGGATGCCAGCTTTCTGGGCCCCAGCCGGAGGCTGACATGGGGTCGCGCGCGCGCGCCAGAGGACCCCGAAAAAATCCAGCCCAAAAAGAGCAGCCCGCAAGCCAGCCCGGAAACGCAAATGCAACAGAACACCGTAAATAGCAGCGTTTTGTGGCTGCCAGAAGGCCCGAAAACCAACGGGAAAAAAGCAAGGACCGCGCAGCATGCGAGCCAGCCACAGCAACAGCAAAACGGACAGAACAACAACAAACCCCTCAGCACAACAGTTTTTGACGGTATTTACAGCGTTTTGTAGAGCGAGGGCCCAGCGCCGGCATGCCCGGCAGCGCTTGGCGCCAAAATGCGCGAAAATGAGCCTCGCTTATATCCCTCCGATACCTTCTAAAAAACAGTGCTTCATGGGTTGAGAGGCTTTTTGGAAGGAAGTCTTGATGATGCAGACCAAGCCGCTGAAGCATCACCCAGGCCCAACCCCAGACCCTGATGATGTCAGCCACATGGCCTAAACCCTGCATATACGCGATGTTTTGCGAGGGTTTCCCACAGGCAAGCGAAACCGCAAGCCCGAGCTGGTGATGCAGAGGTGCCGGATTTAGGCAGCGCATCACGACCAAGCGGCGAGGGTCGGCGGCACCAGGGTGCAGCCCCTATAGCTAAAGCTAGCAGGCTAATTGCCTAGCGGCGACATGCTACCCCAGGAGGCGTAGCCGGATTTAGCAGGCTGACGCCTGATGCCGCCGACCCGCGTAACATCATCATCATTAGCATCAGCATCATTATCATCATCGTCATCACTGTCATCATCATCCTCAGCATCAGCATCAGCATCCTCATCATCCATCATCAGAACAACATCACCAGCGGCAGCAGCATCCGCAGCATCAGCATCAGCATCATCCACCATCTCATTTTCTATAATTAGCATCAGCATCATCATCCTCATCATCATCATCATCATCATCGTCAGCGCAAGCATGCCCATGGGTCAGAACTGCCTTTGGCTAGAGCCCTCGGCCAGCAACTTGAGCGAACACAACCCCCCCCCTATTTGCCCAGCGGACGTTCGATAGCAATGTTCATTGTATAGTGGGTTGAACTTACCTCCCGCCGAGGCCAACCTGGAAGCTGCTCTTTTCATATTGCGAGACTCCAGTGCCCCAAGTGACCACCGTACAGATCGGCGCGAACCCATTCTGAACCATAGATTTGCAAGCGAAGTGATGGAGACGACCCTTCTCGCTTTGCCACTCGTGCTTTCCTCCGATTGGTCGTGATTGAATCTTGGCGCCTCGCCCTTTTGACGCATGGCAACCCTGGTGCTACTCATTTTGCATTTTGCAAAAGGCTGCTCTTCTTTCTTTCTTTCCTTCTTTCTTTTTGTGTGTGTGTGTGTGCGTCTTTTGCCGAATTTAGTTCCCGTCCTTTTCCGGGTTTGTGATTCGTTTCTGGGGTGCCAGTGCTGTTTTGTTTTTGTTTTGTGGCTTCTCTTTGACGGCCTACGAGGCCCAGTGTCTGGAGCTTTGGCGCCGCTTGGGCGTGGAGCTGGCGGAGGCGGTGCCGCTGCGGAGGCGGGGGGTATCTGCCTCAGATGGATCGCGACTGGGGCAAAGAGGCGTTTGCTTTTTTTCTTCATCTTTTTCCGTTTGAGTTTTTTGGTGTGTTTTCAGCTTTTGGGGAACATAGACTCGCTTTTTGTTTGTGTTTTTTCTCCGGAGTTTTGGCCCGTTCCTGCTTCTCCCTTTGGCTTGGGTTTGCGTCAAGTTTAGAGAGACGTATACTCGCTTGACTTTCTTTTGGCTTCTCTTCAAGGGGATTCCGTGTGTCGGTTTGATTGCGTTGGCAGCTTTGGGTTGGTGTGGGCCTGGGTCTTCCAGACGCTGTGGCGGGCAACAATGAGGAGCTGCATTGACAGCTTGCCCTGCATTTTGTTCTTCTTGTTACGTTTCAAAGATGCTTTCAAAGAGACGTGGAGCATGCATGTTCATAAGCTGGTTGCAGGATTCCCCAGAATCTGTCATTGTAGCACGTGTATCTGCGGAGCCGGCGTCTAGGCTGCAGTCTGCAACAAGCAAACACACGACATCCCCTGTGGTTATGGTGCTTCGACTTTGCCCAAAATTCCTCACAGCCTTGCCACAGAGAAGTTGTTGAATTTAGCGCTCGACTTGCGAAAGGTGAGACAATGCCAATGAGTCATGTCAGTGTCACGCCAGGCAACACATTTGTGTGAAGGATCCCGCGCAGAAGGCGGGGCAGGCTGCTTTTGGCAACTGGGTATGCTGCCATGCTGCTTGTTGTTGGCGCTGCACAGAGAAGAATGTTGGGCGCTTGAGTCTATGAAGGACCCACCTGTTTATATCGTCGTATCTTGTGTATCTTGCAGCGATACCACAGGATCCCGAATCGGACGGATATGCATTCTGGCCCTGTCGTGGCTGAACCTGCATGTTTACGGACAGCCCCCGCTATTTGGACTTTCGTGGCAAAGCGATAAGAGCTGCTAGGATGGCCCTTTTGGAACGCACAAACAGAAACAGTCTGCAACTCGTCAAGGAAGACCACCCAGGCTTCCACTACATGCCTGCATGTTGTTGTTGATTGTGCACTGGGTGGGCTTGTCAGTTGCTAGAAGTCAACTCCCTGTTGAGCCCAGATACGCAGCAGACCACTTGGCGGGCTCAGCCCAATGTTCACACATCCACTGGGTCAAGGGTCGTACGTCCAAGTCAAAGAACCAGGAATCGGGCATGTTCCTTGAGAAGTGACTGATGCACTGGCGGAGGCCGTGCTGGTTGTCGAGTCTGACCTGGCAGGCAGGGGCTCCAGGGCCAGCGCCTGGAGTAAAGGGGGGGGGGGGTTGGAGGCAGCTAGTTGAAGTTCTCAAAGTGGTCGGCTTTGCCTGACAGAAGGGACAGCAGGCATGGAGGTTTCCGATTTATGCGATCACAGGCATGAACCTATGCTGGAGAGGCTCGCAGGGTTTCCTTTGCGTGCCTCCCGCACTTTCTGCCTGGCTCAGAAAGTGCGTGTGCCCATCCAATATCGGACATGCTGAATCCTAGTGAAGCTCTTTGTCCAGAGGAGGGCTTCTGGCTTCCGCAGCTTGCAACTGGCGGTGCGGCAAGACTTCACGCATGAAGATTGTTGTGAGCCCTAAGTCTTATTCTGCGGTTGTGCCAGGCTTCCGGCAATGTTCTTGTGAGATCTACCCACCCACGTTGGAGCGAGAGGTTTCCTGGAAGGCAATTTTGTGTTCGCAGTTCTGGGAGTTGGTCATGTTGGGACATAAGGGAACTCCCCTGCCAGGTCTACCAGGTCCAAAAGTGTTCAACCAGAGATGCACCCAAGATTTTGAGGCCACAGCGGCAACCTGGGTTCCGCACACCTGCAGCAGCCACTTGGCTGTAGTTTGGGTGGGTTGAACGGAATGTATCTTTTGGCCGTTGGTCTTGGACAGACCTGGGTTGGTGTTTGGTGTCGGTGTTGATGGGTTGCACTTTCTCAGATACTTGTTTTGGTGGCTGGAGGTTGGCTTGTTTGGGTCTGCGCTTGTTGCTTTGAGAGTTTCCACGAAGCGAGTGGCCAGACTTGCAATTCTGAGTTTCGGTAGCTTCATCGAGTTGCCCCAATCCTTGCAAGCGATCCAATTGCAACTAGAGAGGGGAATGAGACAGTCTCACTCTGACGGGGAGCAGCTGCGCACGTGGAGTTGTTGACGCCAAGTCCCTATGAGGGTTGTTGTTGAACTCCATTTTAACACGCAGCTTGCGACATCATTGCAAAAGGCCGCTGAATGGTCCGCGGAATGTTCAGAAGTAAACTAAGAACCGATACGGTCACGGGCAAGCTGAGGGATCAAGCTGTGGGTCAGACCATGCACAGATGGTTTGGTGACTTGGGCTTGAAGTCTGCATCATTCAAGGCCCTTCCATAGGCTCTGCTTAAATTTGTTGACCTCTCCAAAATCGACAGGTTCAGAATCCGTGGTCCCAAGAGTTCCCGAATGCCGACCCATAGCCAGGTGCAATCCTCCGGAGGAAACTTCCCCTATGTTTGAGCATATCTGTCAGCCGCAGGATGTCAAGCAGATTCTTTTGATAGTTCCAGGTTTGCCTAAATATTTTACGCAGCACAAAGAAACAGGTCACGGCTTCAGGTATCGCCTGGAGTCGCTCCTGCTGGAGGCGTGGCTCTCGGGTACTTGTCGTGTCTTGGTGCTATGTGTTTATCACACTTGGGGTTTGCTTGCAGATGAGCTCCCCGCTTCACCAGGGTCTCCTCATTTTGTTAAATATATTTTAGGGCAGGCCGACTATAGCGCAGAATCTGAAGCTATTTGTGGAGTAGTACCTCAGAGTTGTCACCAAGTATTCAGGCTCCTGATTGAAGGTACGGCGCATCGAAGCGGCGATCGAAGCGGCGTGTTGCGGCCCATACTCTAACTGCACAGTGAGGTGCCCGCACGACTAGCGCGACCGTGTACAAGCGAAGTCACAGCCGCATCTCATTTGCTTAATTGTAGTTGTAACCGTAACCTGCGATGCAGCAGCCCCTTAGTACTCACGATGTATCACTTCAGGGATGACATGTGATTCAACCACTATGTCTCACTTATGTTTTCAATGAAGCCGAAAAGCTGTATTCAGTTCCATCAGAATCGATGAATGTTGCTCATCCCTTTTTGACAACACAAACGGTGGGCTGAGCAGTCCTTTGTCAAGCATGCACTACCCGACATGTGCAAGACATGCTGTCCTGGTAAGAGAAGGTCAGCCAGGTCCTCAGCCGCTCAATGGCAAACAAGGCCTTATGGAAATGGACGCTTGGCCGGGGATCCAGCATTTGGGCGAATCTGGACCTCACAGGGACAAAACACATGAATGTCTTTTTTTGGGATGCTTTGCTTCGGGCCGGTGACAAACATGTTTGCTTTCCTTGGACTTTGCCGGCCTACGCTCGTGCAGAGTGCCGCCGATATCCATGGGCAGGCCCTTGCGAAAGCTGGCGTGCTTCAGGCGGAGGGCCGGGAGGGAGGGGTGGGGGGCGGGGCCGAAGGATCTTCTTGGGCTGAAGGGGTCGTCAAGATATCACTAGCCACAACAGGAAGCTACTCTTATTATTCCCAATCTTGCCCAGTCCCCGCTTCTTTGTTTGCCCGAGAAACTAGGGCAGGCGGAAACCAAGCGGGTGCACTCCAGGGACGAGACTTGGATGAAGTTGATGACTATAGCGAGCAAAGCGCACAGTTGGGAGATAGGGGGAGGAAGCAGTGATTCAGAAGGCAGTGTTCTGCATTGATTTGCACAGTAGACACAGTTAGATGTCAATGTGAAGACGGTGTTGTATGGATGGAGCTGGACTATACTTGCAGGTTGCACACCCCACCTTCCCCCCAACCCAACACATTGAAGCCTTTGCCACGGGCTCCCCGAGAAAGGTTCCACGTCCTGGCCTATGCGACGTTTCCTTGGAAAGAGATGCCAGAATAAAAGGCTCGAGTTGAGTGGCGAGGAGACATTGTTGGGTTTGGAGATGGTGGCTTGTCTTTCCATAGCTTTCCCTGTTTCCGAGTCAGCAGCAGATTGTCCTGCACGCACTTCATTTCCCGGAACAGGGAAACAGCCTTTGCACCTCACAAGGAGTATCCGTTCCGCTTTCTGCACGGCACTCCTCAGGAGGCAGAGCCAGAGGCAGCAGCACCAGAGGCGGTAGCAGCACCAGAAGCGGCAGCGCCAGAGGAGGCAGCGCCAGAGGAGGCAGCGCCGGAAGAGGCAGCGCCCGAAGAGGCGGCTGGGCATGGTGGAAGGGAGGTGATGGCCGAAATGGACTGAATAAGACCGATAGGCCAAACTAAGACTAGCTTTTCTCGGAGCGAGGGTCCAGAGAGGTCGCGATCGTTGTCTTCGGAACTCGAATCCCAAAGCGCAGTTCGCCAATCTCGATCCCAACGTGAGCTTTGAACTTATATTTACAGACCTGAAAAGGACAATCATAGCAACACGGGCATGTTTTTTGGCAGGGTAAGCAACATGACAGGAGTGTAAACCATTGCTAAACTTCCAATACAAACTCATACTGTATTAGACTATACCAGTAACGCTTCCAGAAGATGTTTAAACCGGGGCCGAAGAGGGGCAGCAGACTACTTTGGCAAGCCCAGCAATAGTTTTAGGTGACTTGCCTTTGTGAATCCCACCAAACGAGCTTGAGAAGGGACCCTTTTGAATCACTCCTCACATTGGTGAACTCCAGATTCGGGAGTCACAAACTCCATTCTCCGGGGTTTGGGTATCCCAACACGCTGCCAGGTTCGGAATTCACAACTTTGGGTTTGGGTTTCGGCATGCGTGATTCCCAGTTTCAATATTCATGCCCTGCCATCTTCGGGATTTTGGATTGGAGGCCATCTTCGTTTTTTTTTTTTTTTGTTGTTCGTTTGATTGGTTGGTCGGCTTTTGCCAGCTCTGGTGGCTTTTTGGCTTTGGTGGCTTCTGGCGGCTTTTGCGAATTGTTGGCTTAAATCAACCAAAACACACCCTAAACGACTCCAAAACCCATCTTAACCCCTGAACCTCGGCTACCGAAGCGGGGGGGCGGCAGGAGGTGGGGGGTGGCAGGTGGGTTGAGCCTATTTGCATTCTCTCAGCCAGATTTCTCGCCAATACTTAGCTGCCTTGAGGAAACCTGTCAACCTGCGCCTAGTTGTGCTGTGTCCTGGCAGGAGCTCGCTGCAGAGCCCTCAGTTGAGCGGGCGCAGAGGGGTGACCTCAGACAGAGGGAATGGGAGTGAAGGATTTGTTGAATCCGTTTGGACTACGATAGATTAAGGCAACAGTTGAGGAACAGTATTTGCAAGCATACACGGGGCGAGGCAGGGGAGGGGGAATCCTTGCCCAAGCCGGTATTTTATGTTGTCCAAACCTGCCGAGGTATATCTGAACACTGGCCTCTGGTTGGGAGACTTCGAAAAAAGCGGCTTCTGTTGCAGGCATTGGTGGACATCCACTGGCAAATGTCAGTTCAGGAGCGCCGTGCAACGCTCTTGGTGGCTTTGGGGGCAGTCCCGCTTTGGATGGATGGAATCCTGCATCGTTGGATCGCAGCAGATCAGTATCGTTTGCGCATTTGTCAAGCATCACCAGAGCCCAGTACTCTCAAATGGTTTCATGCGGTGCCCCGGACTGTTCGATGAACGTGTACCTGCATGCAAATCACTTTGCTTGCGACGCGCCGCTGAAAGCAGTCGGCCGGGTCTCTTTGTTCAAAACACTTGAGGATTTGTCGAAGATGAAGGTTCCCTTTTTGGCTGCTGGTTGAGGGGAGAGCCGAAAACAATCAGGGTCTAGCAAGTCGCATGTCTTATTTTCGCCTTGCCATGTGTCACCCTTGCTTCCCAAGTTGCAGTGTGTGCAAGCACTTCTGGAGTCGACTGGCACCCACTCCATTCAGGCCCCGGCTGGGGCCAGGGTTGACGAATCACACGCCTTTTGACATCGAAGAACATGGTCGATGGTTTTTGTTGGCTTGCTTTGAACTATACGAACAAGTCATGCCCAGGCCATCCCGGGTCTTCATGTCTTGGGGCCGCAGGAGATCACCGTCCAGGATGAGGCTGTGCTGGTGAAGGCCACCTCGCAGGGGGAGCCCAGTGGAGTTGAAGTCGACCTGTCTGGCCATGCCGTGTGGGAAACCCGGGAAAGGGTGCTAAAAGATCGGTGTTATGGTTCTCTCCCCTAAATTGATAGCAGCGACAAGTAGAGCACCGTGCTTCCATTTGTCCTCCAACGAGATTCCTCAGGCTCGTGTTTCGGACAAGGGGTGATTGTAATGAGATTCCACCTTTGCAAATGTCAAGTTGGCCCACGCAGTCCTACTTCCGCGGGGGCCTTGCGATTTATGAGACTACGGGGGCTCACCAGTGGCTCACCAAGAACTAGCGTCCTGGGAATCTTGAATCTTGAATCTTAGATCCAAAAGTGCTTCAAAGCGCTTTAAACCGTTCTTTTGGGTCCCGTACTGGATTCAAGATTCAAGGTCTAGAGTCCTGGGAGTCTTGAATCTTGAATCTTAGATCCAAAAGTGCTTTAAAGCGCTTTAAAGCGTTTTAGGTGGACACAGTCACAGTCAAATGTCAGCGATGCGGGCATAGTGAAATGCTGAGAATTGGAGTGCCTGAAAAGGGGGTGGAATTCGCGCAAAAGTACTGCAAATACCGTCAATTGTTTTGTTTTTTATTGGTTTGGGGGGGGGTACCATATATTTATACACTACAAATATATCCGCCCCAAAACACACACACACACACAGGCACCCTCCAAGAACATTTGCTGGCCCTTTGGCACTTTGAGTCATTTCACCCTTTTCCCAGACACGCAAACACTTTTTCCCGCTTTAAAACCGTTTAGGCACCTGAGGTTGCAAAAAATGAAGATGTTCAGAACTCTGGCATTTGATGCGCCAACTCAATCTCTAGGTCCCCAAGGAGCTCCAAATTGCTTCAAAGCATTTCTGGGTCAATATTCAAAATTAGTCTTGAACCCAGCAGGTCTTCAGACAAATGTTTTCGATCGCGTTAAAGCATTTCTGAATTCAATACTCAGGATTCAGAATCTTGAACAGAGCAGCGCTTCAACTGAATACCTTGAAACCCTTTAGAAGCACTTTTTTTGCGTACAAAACTTGGATTCAAGATTCAGAACTAGAGTCTCTAGAGTCTCGAACAAAGGGAAATGCGACCTTGTTTAGACTTTCAAACGCAGAATGTACTGAGCTGCTCCATATTGGAATGCAAATTCAAATTACACGACATTCTTTGTAGTGTCATGTCGTGCCATGTCTCTCTGTCCTTCCGCCCGTCCTTCCGTCTGTATGTGTGTATGTGTGTCTGTCTGCCTGCCTGCCTCGTTGACTGGCTGGCCGGCCGGCCGGCCGGCCGACTGACTAACTGACTGACTGACTGACTGACTGACTGACTGACTGACTGACTGACTGACTGACTGACTGACTGACTGACTGACTGACTGTTTCTTTCTTTCTTTCTTTCTTTCTTTCTTTCTTTCTTTCTTTATTTGTGTCTGTCTGTCTGTCTGTCTGTCTGTCTGTCTGTCTGTCTGTCTGTCTGTCTGTCTGTCTGTCTGTCTTTCTTTACGTGCATCACCGTCTATAGACATGTTGGTGAGTGTCCCATGTCCCTGCCAAAAGACAAACAACTGATGCTCAAGTGAGCCTCATATGAGCAGCAGTCGTATGCCATGAGGCCCGCGGGCAGCGTGGAGCTGCTGGCGCCCTATGCGGTGCTGTGCCCGGGAGCCCGATGGCGTGTCTTTTCGCTTTGAGGGTGCCCGGTTTGGGCGTGTTGTTTGGAAGGGAGCCCATGGAAACCACCCATGTCTGAGCTTGGGTCCAGCATGAGACAAACCCATGGCCAATGGCCGCTTGTTGATTTCAAGCCTGCATCATATGAAGAGGTACCAACCAGGCATTTGGCCCTGCCCCTATGATTTGGTTCCTCAACACAGGCAAAGAGCAACCAGGCAGACAGGTTTATCCTGATATGATTGCTGGGATGGTCACAACAGTTATTGAGAAACTCGGCTTTTTGTAACATGGCAGCTAAAGCAATGTACCACCAAGAAGGCAGGCTGCAGTGGTCAGTGGTTTGATCCTTGCGTTGGCAGTGCTGATCACATGTGAAGCACAGTGCTCAAGTGAAGTTCTTTCAGTAGCCTGGCCCCATCACAGGACGCTTTCTGAGCCTCGTCCTCTTGTTTCTGCTGCTGGTTTGGCAGTGGTCAAAATCTGGGCTTTGCAAATCGGGTCATGAAGGCTTTCCCCTTCCCATTGCAACATGAAAAGGCGAGCGTCAAGACAACAGCCAGACACAGACAACATCCGTAGCGAAGCAGGCCCAGACTTGGCAAGACCAAACACCAGTTTTTGTAGCTTGCTTTCTGGTTCCCTTTTGTGACTATGGTTGCCATTTTATTTACAGATTGTGCATTTTATTTCGAAAACCTCTCAATCTACAGCCATTTCATGGGCAGCTCCTCAAATTTGGGGTGTTAAACAATGTGATCAATCCCAAGAATGGATGGTTTTCTTTTGTTAACGCTTGGAACATCCAACAACGCTTATTCTGAAAAGGAATATATATATATATATACATGTATATATATATATATAGACCAGGGGTTTACATGTTGCGATCACCATGTGAGAGATAAGCCAACCTGAGGGGAGGGCTTCTCCAGTTCCGCGCTACACAGCCCCATGCATTTCCTTTCGAGGCTCTGCAGAGGCCAAGGCGGCCGCGCGCCTGGGCTCAGGGCCTGCGGCGCGGCGCGGCCGCACGAGAGGGAGGGTGGGACTGGGTCCATGAAACGCGTTTCGGTCCCGTTGAAGACGATGGCTTCGCTTGGGGGGGAAATTTTGGACAGGGATGGGCGGGGAAGGTCCGGGAAGGCCTTTGGGATGCGTGCTTAAACAATCCGAAAGGGAAACACAACGGATAGGTGTGTGGGCATTTTGAGGGAAGTTACAGAAAGTTTAAGGGAACTTCAAAAGGGGTGCACTAGAAAACCACCAAAGGTCCTTTTTTGAGAGGACAGTCTGGTCGGCCAACTATGGCAGTGATCCGAAGGACAGAAGCCCTAAGTAGGGCTGAGGTGCCATATTTCTTGTCAGTGGTCGAACAACTTTTTTCTCCCTCCGTTTTGCACACGTTTGACTGGAAATGCTTAGCGGTTTGAGTTGCACGTAGTCCCGCTCGTTCTGGCGGCAACCATCCTTTTCAGAGATTTTTTTTTATCAGAAAAACAGCAGAAGCCCAAGTTAGTTCGCCGGTGTTCGAGAAGAATGATGCTCGAAAAGCATGGACTGGAAATACACCCCTAAAACTTGAGGCCTTTTTTTGGGTCGTTTGCAAGGGACGCCATTGCTGGAAAAGCCCTTAATTTACGGGAATCACCTCTACAATTTCCCAAATCGACCTTTGTTTTTGCGCCATGACCAAAACTCAGGGCCACGGTTCCCTGGTTCCCTAGGATAAGAATCCACTCCTAGATCTCGCCATGCGATCTCGCCATGCTTTTCTCCCTTCCGAGGTCGGAGGCCTGCTGCATGATGAGCGCGGACTTCGAGGTGGAGGAGGAGGCGCGCAGCGGGGAAAGGGCGGTGTTGGCGGGTCGCAGGTCGCAGGTCGATGGGTTGCTTTGTGTTTTTGCACTGCTCTTAGAATCTGACTGGGGTTATCGAGAGCAACTGGCTACACTTTGTTTGGGAAAGACATGGGGAAACAAGTCAACAATGATTCTAGCGGAATTTCCTCTGATTTCTGCTTTGTGTTGTATGATTCACGAAATTTGAGCCAGAATCAAACATGCTATTTTTGGTTGGCGGAGCAAAAGCAGAGGCGGGTTAGTGTACGGATTGCGAAGCGCAGCCCAGTGCATATTCATGACTTTTGCGGACCATTGATTCTGTCTTGTCGGTTGGCAGTTTGTCGCCCTTTGCTTAGCACCGTTGCAAGCCTTCACTTCAACAGGTGGGGTGCCCAATGATATGCGCAGGCCTGTCATATTCCAGCTGGCCTCTTGGTTCCTGCATAGTTTTGTTGAATTTATTTCTAGAGGAATAAACTACCAAGGGGTTGGAGACCCGTCAGCACCATTTCCCTGATCCCGATAGCTCCAAATTTCCTTTGATGTGAACACTCATTCCCCATCTTGGCGAGTTCAAGAAGTGCTGGTTCAACACTCCAAATTGAGACAAGCGCAAACAAATAAGCACTTGAGCCCGTGGAGAAGGGGCCATGGCGTTTTGCGCTCCCTCACGGATTGTTCTATTGGTGAGGACTGATGTACAAGTTAATTGAAGTCCGATCTTTTAAGTATCTGGCAATCCTTTGATTTTGTGCCGGCAAAGTGATATCGAGCTGGGCCGAACGTGCTGCATTGAATCTTCCCTGCTTAAATATGCGATCGGCATGTCAGGCACACACCCTTGGACGAAAGTAAAACATTCCAGGCCAGCTAGCTGAGGGCTTGACAGCGCATAGCATAGCATCCCCCAGGCAGCCGCAGGCTGAAGCCGCCCCACTTGGTTCAGCTTGGCCACAAGTTAAGCTGAACCTCAAGCTGTTGGAATGTGTCTACATTGGGCACCGCATTTAGGACTGTTTTCAAAGTGAAGTCAAAAGAAACATGCTTTTTCGGAAACACAGTCAACTGATTGGCATGACCTCGCAGAGCAAAGTGCTTGTGTGTCAAAACCAGGCAATGACTCCTTTTGGTCCAACTGGAGAAAAACAACATGAAACCAAACAGGCATTTGGAAGGGAGATTCCTGGCTTTGACACAGCTGATTTTGTGACCCGTGGGTGCTTTCTCTGACCCTTTCCGACCTTGTGGCGCGTGTGTCCTAACATATCGGTCGGGATCCCAACATATCGGTCAGGATCCTTAAGATCCATTCTCTTTTAGGTTGCATTTGGTTGTAGCCCTAAACATGTTGGTAGTTTCGAGCCAAACATGTTTTGGTTTGCCAAACAAGTTGGAAGTTGGCAGGATGAGCCAAACACGGTGCTTGTTGCTTCCCCTCTTTGCCCACTTTGGTCGCAGGCAGAGGCACAGCAACGCTGGACCTTGCCGCGGGAGGCGCTTGGCTTCATGCCGCGGGTGGATGTTTTGCCACGAGGGGGGGGGGATGGTCACCAAGGCCATGCTTTGATACTTTGCTTTTGACAACAGTCCCAGGGTTTCGTTTCAAGGTCCGTTCTTCCCTTCAAATGAACGTGGAGCCCCAAAAGGGGGTGCTCAAGAAAGGATATTTCTCTGCACATGATGATTTGCTGGGTTCCGTGCTAGTTGATCTGCAGGGGAGTATGACCCAGGCTCGAGCAAAGACACTCTTTTCCGTTTTGCCACCTTACCAGAATCCCATACTCGCGGTCTCGGGCACTGGCCAAGTCTTGTTTTGCCCTGCCAGCGGGTCTCGCAAAGCCAGGGTGGCTTTGGCCGACAGTTTCAGGGTCACGCCAAGGCTAGCCTTCAGCGTATATTCAGCTCAGCCCAGGTTCGCCGGCAAGATTGCAATGCCAGCAGAATAGCCAAACAGCAGTTGCAGGCATGCGTGCGTTTTGCGAGACTGGTTCACAGCGCCTGCCTCTGTGGATGGTTTGGCACACTGTTCGGACGTCCAGGGGTTTTGCATCGTCTTGTCAAAAATGACGCCCTCACCTTCGCAGGGATTCGGTGGAAAGAACTTGTTCTGAGTGCATCAGCACACTGCACACTGCATGATACCTCCATTTGCGGGATTTCTTTGCATGCCCAGGCCACATGATTGACAGAGCTTTCCCTAAACCGCCCGTCTCAGAGCAGGGCTGATCCATTCTGATTACGCGATGTACCCACCAAGCTCTGGTCAGTGCTGGTTACTTGAGGTAGATGCAAACTGTGCTAAAGCCATTCATTGTAGATTTCCCCCACCAGTGCGGATCTCTAGTAGAGACGGCCAAAAGTCATGGGTCATGTGCAGCCTGACTGCCCTCAGACTCGAATGGCAGTGTTGGAGCGCCTGGTGCCGAGGGGAAGCGAGGGCAGGGCCAGTTGTGAGGCCGCAGGTTTCTTCCTATTTCAAACTTGTGTGCCTAGTTGCCCGGATGTGCGGGTGTCAGCTCTTTTTGTCTCCAAGTAGGGAAGGCGGCTTCCCAGCACTTCCACTATTCTGGGTTGACTTGCAACTTAGGCAATCCCCTGCACCATGGTGACAAGTGCACAGGATCAACTTGAGACCATAGAAGAGTCATAGGAAGGTCATGTCAGCTAGGTCACGGCCAAACATCCTCACACACACACACACTGACATCCCCGCCAAGAAGTTGTGGCCCCGCTTGCGGCTGACAATTATTTGAATGATCTCACTTTGGTCAGGAAGGATTCATTCTTGGCCCCAGTTTCCTTCTTTTGGGCCCACAGTGATGTGTAGTGAGTGAGGCTCACCTCCCAAAAGTACAATCTTGGATTTCCAGATCCTGGCAACTGAGATGATCAGCCACCCCGGGATCCAAAACAAGTCCGGGATTTTCCTTCGACTGTTCCAAGTCAATCCTTCATCCTGTCACACGGCAGTGGTTTGCTTTGCGATTAGGATTAGGGAATCCCCCCCCCCCCCCACCATTTCTGAATAACTGAGATTTCCTGGGTGCGGCCAATCCCTGGCAACCTGCAGGAACCACGGTTTGTTCGCAACCTCTGGTTGGTTTCCCTTCCAAGCGCACCATGGGACCTACTCAGCTCGAGGCCAGCTGCCCGGGAAGCAGCTGCGAGTGGACGCCCTGTTTCCCGCAGGCGATGGAAGCGGGTGGAGATGTCCAAATGGCTTGGTCTTGCTATAAATGGGTTGCCCTCCTCCCAAAACGGCTGGTTTTCTTTGGGTTTATCTTGAACACGACCCCCAAATGGGAACCATGAAAAGATGCAACACCAAGCTGAGAGGATGGTACATGCTGCACCTTGCAGAAAACCAGGAGCAATCAATACTGCAGAATCGACGCTTGACGACGGCGCTGGACAGCGTCGAAGTGGAATCATACCGCCTTTAGGCGGTTTCAACCAGAGACCAAAAGGACAGCTGCAGGCTGGCGACCAGTGTTCGTGCCAACATGATGCAACATTGACCTTGCTAAATCGGGGTGGTGGCGGTGGTGACGGTTGTGGCGGTTGTGGCGGTTGTGGCGGTTGTGGCGGTTGTGGCGGTTGTGGCGGTGGTGGCGGCGGTGTGGTCGTGGTGGTGGAGCGGTCGGTGTGGAAGCTGATTTGCTCCAATCCGAAAAGCTTCTATCATTCCGAAGCAGCGCATGGATTGAGATCTTTTGAATGGTCCGGCTGCGCCTTTGCCGCGGTTCGTCAGCAAAGTTTCTGGGCGCATCTGGCTACATAAATGCCGTGACTCACACAAGGTTTGATCAACATGTTCAGCAGTTCACGTTTGTTATGCGTGAAACAAGGGGAAGCAGTTGGAGGAAGCTGAGGTTGAAGACTGGAAGACCGGTGACCAGAGTGGAAACCGTGTGGAAGACTAGAGTGAAGGAGGTTTAGACTTGGGGCCAGTTTTCCATCTAGTGTTTGCTCATGTCCTGGTGGGACCTTCCAAAGCAAAGAAAATAATTTGCGAGTGAGTGGAATTCCGCCAACCAGAAATTGCTACTTCGCTCTGGCAGGATTCGACCTCGCAAAGTTCTCGGTGGAGGCGGGTGGGTCACTACTGCTGGTTTGGGAGGGGGAATATTCCCCAACTTTCCCACACAAAAGCCCACGGGGAGAACCGTGCAATGTTGTCCATGTTGCACATGAGGCGCAACATCGGATCAGAAGCCCATGATGCGGCAGAAACAGTGACGCGCTTTACGTGGTAAGTCTTCGAAGCCCTTCTTGGGGAAGTGTTGGGTTACCCCGACACGGATCCAGTAACAGGCTGTGAACACGCTCAGCCACTGCAAAACTTGGTGTGGAGAACGTGTCAAGATATAAGAAACGAAGCCTTCTGGCAGTACCTTTGACAAAATTTGAATTGGGACATCGGAGCACATTGTTGGGACACTCCCACTTTGCATGTAGCTTCAGGACATACTCCACAAGTGGGGATGTCGATTTGTGGGTTGATCTCCAATGTTTGCCACGAGGCGTGGGAGCTCAATGTTTGACCATGCAAGCATGGGGATCAGGTGTGAAGTAGCACCCTTCAACACGGCCATTTGGGTTCAAACAAAACAACTAGACCCCTCAGACGCTTGGCAACACGAAACTGTGGACTCTCGCTCCCTTTCCTTTTTCACAGCAGCTCAAGGCTATGCGTCGGCACTAGCTGCGCAAACAAAGCTACGTTGACAGCAGAGCTCTTCAAAGCAAAGCTGCGCAAAGTAGAGCTGTGCAAAGCAAGGCTGTGTAGAGCATAGTTGCGCAAGCAAAGCTGTGCAAAGTAGACTTGTGCCAAGCAGCTATGTTGAGATATGCTGTGCAGCAAGGCTATGTTGAAGATGTGATGTGCAGCAAAGGTATGTTGAGATGTGCTGTGAAGCAAGGTTGCGTTGAGAGCTAGATGTTCTTTGCTCGTTTTCGGAGAAAAGGAGGTGAACCATTTGCAGCAATCGCATGTTTCACTGTTCAAAACCTGACAGGAGCTTTGGGCTTCGGTCTCTGCGTCGCCCTGGGCCCGGCTTCGAAGGGCAACTTCATGGAGACTTGCCTTTTGACACCTATCTTGTTGGGGAGACACATTCGAGAATCAACCAGGAGGTATTTGTCCGGAGTCAGCGCGTCGTGTTGAGTCTTTGAATGCTTCTCATGTATTGTGGTGCAACAGCTTGGCATTGTTCTTCAATACATTTCTGAGCAACCCGCTCGTGCTCGGACTCCATTTGGCAGTGAGCGCATTCACCACAGGTTGTGAGCGAGACCCAAAACTTCAAAACCTCAACATAGGGCCCGACAAGACACACCCACCGGGTGAATCAATAAAACTAAAGGGTAACTAGCACTTTTACGACAATGTGGTTCTCTATTGTAGGGTCAGTATATATTCGTAGTTGGTCATCCGCATTGGAGACATGCTGCACGGGGTCTCAGAATGTTTGCCTCGTGCTTCGTTTGCCGTTGTGAATGGACTGAGGCCCAAGCCAAAGGTGCTGGCCCTTTGCACGGAGCACATCTCCTCGCCCGGGCCTTGGTGACACCAGGCACCAGCTTCTTGATTTCGCTCCATTGAGCAACGGCTGAAGAGGCAGCCCTTAGGTTCGGGGTGAGCTGGTCGACTTGGATTCCACAAGCCACATATCTAGCTAGCCAAGCGCACGGTGTGCAGGAAACAATGTCACCATGTCTCTCGGAGCTGCCAGCCTGGCTTCACGTAAGGCATGGAAGGTTCTGAAAGCAACAGCCTCCGGAGGCAAGTAGCTTTCCGAGGATGGCAAATATGGCCACGTTGAAGGGTCCAGGGTTGGCGGAACATTCGTTTGCTCAGTGGGCTGAGGTCCGCAGGGCTGAGGGCCCGCACTGGCAGGCCACCGGAGAGGGGATGTCAGGCTTTGCATCAAGCAAGGTGAGGTTGTCGAAAAAACCCGGTGGTCTAGGTTTAGTATTCGCAGGTTCCTCGTGTCCAAAACTGGCATAGCTCACTGCGAAAGACAACTTGTTGGGCAGCAAACTGGTAGCTGACCAAAAACCAAAACACAACGACAACAAAAATGATAACGTTTTGCACATAAATTGCCTTTGCTGCGAAAGTGTACTTCGCGTACTACGCTTGTACTGAAAGGTTGTGATTTTCCAAGATGGAGTTGCCAAGGTGTACTTCGTGTACTACGCTTGCACTAAAAGGTCGTAATTTCGAGATTGAAAGCGCAGAAAGCTCAAAACACTGCAAAGCGATGAGGAGTTCAAAGAAAGATAACCCCAGAAAAGTAACTCTAGAAGCAACGAGGTTTCATACAACCTCAGGTGAGAATAGGGGTTAGAGGCAACACATTCTTGACATTGTTGCGCGACTAGGATGTCGCGGAACAAGAAGCCGCTGATTCGCACATACCGGCTAAGGACCTGTTCACGGCAAAGCCAAAGCAAGTGAAAGATACCGGGAGCAAGAAATACATCCACACATTGACAGTTAACATGCATTGATGTGGCTTCTATCCCTGGTCCACCCTCCTGCGACAAACGAAGCACTGCTGGGATTTTGGACTCGTAGAAGCATGGGCTTCCCTTGTAGCCAGCATGACATATGCGTGTTTCAAGGGCGCTTGTGTTGCGCTGAATTAGCAGCAGGCTGTTCCTTTGTGGAGACGCCATGACAATGCTGCAGCCTCAGCTTGCTGAGAGGCCGCCGCATGGTCCTTTCCAAGGTCACCGCTAGATGCCTCTCTGAAGAATGGGGCACTTGGACAATGTGGCAAAACTGTTAGGAGAGATCTTCCGCCCGCATTGCCGCAAGTATGCATCGTAGCAAGCCACAGCACTTTTTCAAGGTATTTGCGGTAGCAGCATGATATGTAGCAAGCATGAGTTGGCACGCACCAACTATCACCCCTAAACATTAGAGGTGCATAGGATACGAAGTGTGGGATTGGTTGCAAGATAGCACAAACATCTGCCATGCCGAGTAAGATTCACAGGACCAAGACACTGTGTGTGTGTGTGTGAGATACGCGACACACACTCACACACATTCATGAGCTTTATTATTTTGCTCCAAATGCACAGTACTTGGAACAGCCTCTCGTTTCTGACTATTTTTGGAATCGTAGCTTGTCTTGCGCGAACCTCTTCGGACCTTGGGCTTTTCAACCGCTTGCTGTGTTTGCCCGCCTTTGTTTGAAGATTGGGCGCCACCTTGGTGATTCCAAGGAGGGGAGGGGAGGGGCGCATGGTCAGGAACTGGTCCGGCAACACCCAGACCCAGCCGGTTATGCAATACACACATAGTACATATACATATACATATATATATATATATATATATCCATATAACGCTGCTTTTCATTCCATATGATGTGTTCAAAACAAACACGAAAGACGCTGGACAGTTTGCAGCGATCCTGAAATTAGCGCGCAAAATGAGACCTCTCGATCGCAGCAGAAAAGAAAAGAGCCCTCCCCCCCGGTGCAAAGAGCAACAGCTCACACATAAGCCGCATCATTCCGAAACGTGTCTTCAAGATTTCAGGCCTCATCCCTTGGTTTGGGCCTTCAAAAACCAGTTGGCCCCCCCTTTTTTGGTCTGCGTCGGGAAGCCGTTGGACCACTCAGCCAGCGAGCTGAGGCTGAGCCCCTGGAGCGGGGACCTGGGCGTGGAGGATGCCGCGAACCTGGCGAGGGTCGCCCAGGGGCGGTGGGGACGGCGGTGTTTGGGACTTCTGTCAGGTAACTCCAAGTTGGTTGGGATTGGTTGGGATTGGTTGGGATTGGTTCGGATCGATGTTTGATCCCCACTCGCGCCCGCCGCTGCAAACCTGCAATCCGCACGAGTCAGAGGTCAGGTGGCCCATGCTGACATGCCGGCGTGAAGGGCGAGGCGCTTCAGACCGCAGAGGAGACGCAAGTGGCAAGCTGGGCATTGCTCCGAGAGGACATGGCTAAGTCCAAGAGGGCGGTGCTTTCTGCTTTCCCTCGGTTTCAGGACGGAACGCCTGATTCTCCCTCCCTCAATCATGCAAGTGTTTCGACAAATATCTGACCAGCTTGAATTGCTTTCACGGAGGTAAACCTTGGGTTTGTGAAATAGTGAAAGGGCCCAGCCAGACACGGAGGACTGCTGGTATTGTATGATCTACGCATCCTTGTTGGCAAATGCATGGCCTTGGTCGAGGAGTGTAGTGGGAATGAAGGATGAGTCTAAAAGTGACGTTTGTTGTTTTGAGGACCGTGACATGCTGACACATTTCGGCTTGCCCTATGAGCAGGAATCGACTGGTTCGTTACCAGCAGAGGAGGCGCAACGTATTTGACTTGGGCAGCAGTCCCAATCTATCGCGAGCAACCGGGAACACAAAGAAGAGGCGCTGGGATCCGTGTCGAATCAGATCGGTCCATACCTGGTTGGTGCTCCTGTCAGCCTCATTGCTGCCCGCTGGCTTTGTGGAGATGCATTGTTTTGTGGCTTGGGTGCTACTCCGTTGCTGGCAAGGATCTTATCGCATGCTTCCGTCTCCAGACTAAAACTGCACGGCTGTTTTGCAGGGACCACCTGGTGAGTGCTGCTCTGAAGGGAAAGGCACACGCCTGACAGCGCAGCTCCGCGAATGGAACCAGCGCTCTGGTAGGCAGCGCTTGGTCGTGGATCCACTATGAAATCATGTACTCATTATGTAGCTACACATGCATTAAAGATATATATATATATATATGCGCATTTTACATGGGAAGGGCTCCCTTAATCTTCATTCAGCATGGTCCTGTCGATATCCTCCTGACTAGGGCATGAAGGTGAATCAGTGAACAAAGGCAGCAGCAAGCAACTAGTACTCGTGCAAGGGGACAGGCTCCCACCGTCCCGTACAGTGCTCTGGCCAGCGCACGTTTGGCCATGGCACACGCGAGGTTCTTTCGGGTTGCCCGAGGCCTGGAAGTTGTCACTGGTTCTTCTGCAAGCCGCCCCTCCGGCGCTGCTGGATACCTATCAGGCAGCAGGGAGGGTGTTCGATCGCGTGCATATGCACATATGTACATATACATGTCTAACGTACATGTACCTATATATATGTATAAGTGTACACAATGTATGTATGCATGTATGTATGTATGTATGTATGTATGTAATGTAATGTAATGTAATGTAACGTAACGTAACGTAATGTAATGTAATGTAATGCAATGTAATGTGTGTATGTATCTATGTATGTATGTATGTATGTATGTATGTAATGTAATGTAATGTAATGTAATGTAATGTAATGTAATGTAATGTAATGTATATATGTATGTATGTATGTATGTATGTATGTATGTATGTATGTATGTATGTATGTAATGTAATGTAATGTAATGTATGTATGTATGTATGTATGTATGTATGTATGTAATGTAATGTAATGTAATGTAATGTAATTGTAATGTAATGTAATGTAATGTATTGTAATGTAATGTAATTAATGTATGTATGTATGTATGTATGTATGTATGTATGTATGTATGTATGTATGTATGTATGTATGTATGTATGTATGTATGTATGTATGTATGTATGTATGTATGTATGTATGTATGTATGTATGTATGAATATATGTATGTAATGTATGTATGTATGTATGTATGTATGTATGTATGTATGTATGTATGTATGTATGTAATGTAATGTATGTATGTATGTATGTATGTATGTATGTATGTATGTATTAATGTAATGTAATGTAATGTAATGTATGTATGTAAAGTATGTATGTATGTATGTATGTATGTATGTATGTATGTATGTATGTATGTCTGTAATGCATGCATGCATGCATGCATGCATGCATGCATGTATGTATGTATGTATGTATGTATGTAATGTATGTATGTATGTATGTATGTATGTATGTATGTATGTATGTATGTATGTATGTATGTATGTATGTATGTATGTAATGTATGTTATGTATGTATGTATGTATGTATGTATGTATGTATGTATGTATGTATGTATGTATGTATGTATGTATGTATGTATGTATGTATGTATGTATGTATGTATGTATGTATGTATGTATGTATGTATGTAATGTATGTATGTATGTATGTAATGTGTAATGTAATGTAATGTAATGTAATGTAATGTAATGTAATGTAATGTAATGTAATGTAATGTAATGTAATGTAATGTATGTATGTATGTATGTATGTATGTAGACTCACCACTTGATTGCCGACCATGCCTTCGGATGGGCCAAGAGGTTCACATCTTGAGAGAGCATCGCTGGTACCTAGCACCAACAGGGTGCTTTGTGTCCAGTTTGAAGCGAGCGAATCTTTGGGGTTTACTACATGTTGCCAGAAAAGCAGTCCAAATCTTCACATTTGACGGGGTACTCGCTGCGCGCTTCTAGGAAATCAACAGACCGCCCACGTGCGCCTCGACCGGGTCACCATGGGTCACCTGTTTACTTGTGGTGAGACCATTGTTGTGGCATGCTGTGCTGAGAGTTCCATGGATCCCGGTTCTGGGCTATGCCTGGGCTGGGGAAGGCCTGGTTGGGTGGTTCGAAGCTGGGGTCTGGAAGGGAGAGCTCGTGGCTGGTAAGCGATGGGTTGCCGAGTATTCTCTTTTCAAAAGGGCATTCCCCATTCCCAGCCCGTTCTACTGATTCTGATTGCCTGATTGCCTCCGCTATGCTTCCTCATTGACCTTTGCTTTCAGGAACCCTTTCTGTCGTAGTGAAGGAACAAACAAACTGAACTCGCGAACCCGGTTTGTAGTGAAGAAACAACAAACAAGTCACTCGCGTCAGAGCATCTTGTTATTTTTTGTGCTGCAGCCGTCGCGTCTCGAAGTTCGATGGCGCCGGATTGGAGCTCGCGCCCGGCCAAGCCGGAGAGCTTCGTCGCCGTCTCTTGGCGAGTGCCGGGGTTGCGATCGCCGCGGGCTTCGGGGGGGGGCGAGCCCGTTTAGCGCGCTCTCGTATTCTTGGGGGCATTTGGAGGATCATGTGACCATGGCCTGATTTGAGGATCACCTTTGGAAGGTTGAGGGAAGCCTCGCACATGTCCAGGCACATTCCACCGCTTTGCAACCAAGTCATGAACATGACAATGTATTGAAAGCCTTTGGAGGCACTGACAATTCAGACATTGACATTTCAGCGTCCCTGAAGCAGCATGGGCCGGACATTGCTTACAAGGGATGTTTGGGGGGCACTGGGACAGCAGGCACAGCCACATGCGCATTCTTCTCAGGACGGTGGGCTTTTGCCGCTCCTACCTTCTTGTCGCCGCCGACGCGAGAGCACTGAAGAGCAGCGCCTCAAGGAGTTTTTGGCCTTGTATGGGTTTGAAGACGTGCTGCTCGGCTTCAACAGGCCCTTTCGGCTCTTTTGTGGCTAGTGTGATGCTTCACAAAGCTTGCTTCTGCCTGATTTTTGTCCTACCTCCTGAACGGCTCGGCCGTCAATCCATTTTCTCCTTAAGCGTTGGTCAAGACGTTGGGTTCTCTGAAGCAAGTACAGTGCAATGACCTTTGGCTCGAAATGTTAGAGGTTCGGCAACTTGTCATGCAATCAGTCTCATTTGCTCCGCCCGCGGATATTTGGAGTATATGTGCGCATGCATTGCACAGCAAGACCCTGAAACAAGAGTCCAATCAGTAGTTCAACATGCATAATGCGAGAAACATTTGGAGCACACCATTCATTTTGAAAGCACAACTCTTTTGCAGCGGTTCTCGCAGTGTTTCTTGCAGTGGCTTCGAAGCTGCCTCCCAAGTCGAAGCTTAGACGGGCGTCTACGAGTCTGCATGATCCCTTTTTCTAGCTCGCCAGAGCTACAATGTCTTCTCAAGCGGCTGTGCAGGTGATAGCAAGCCATTGCTCGAGGCGATTCGGATCGATGGGTGTTGTTTTTTTCCCCTTTCTCCCCATGCCCTGGCCTTTTCCGGGTACCGCTGGCCACGCGGCACGGAGCGCATGCGTTGGCCATGGCAGGCGCGAAGGCTGGTGATGCAGGTCTCTGTGTGAAGGCTTCCCAGATATCCATCTGGTGATGCCGATGACGCACGCGTTCCGCTCGTCGAATCCACAAAAAGGGGAGTTGTCATCACATCGAGGGAACGACCTTTATAACCATAGAGCCAAAAGTCAATGGGTTTCGGGCACTCAAGTCAACCGCAGAGCCAAGGCATTCCCCTCGACTTGCCTCGCAGTGGGAGATGGTGCAGCCCATCCACCTAGCCGCAGAGATCGGAGATGGCGACTTGGTCCGGATGTTGCTTGCCGCGGGGGTGGACCGAGCTGCAACAACCAGCAGCGGGAAGACGCCTGCGGACTTTGCGCGCGCGGCTGACAGCCACGGCTCCCACATAGATGTCCTGTACTTGCTCTGCTCCGATGTGAAGGTACTGCGGGCGCGGGCAGTCATGATGCTGGCCAACCCCAAGCCAAGCAACACTGTCTTGAGCATCTAGTTCCCGCGCGTTTTGGCAGATGTGCAATGCGCAGGGTAGGTGAATTCAAGCGTCTCAAGCGGACCTCATGTGCCTCTGGCAGTTTTCCCCCCATTTGCCATGCGGACTAACCCCGCTGACCGAGACGTTTTTGCATGCTATGCTTTATCATAAGTTCCCTAGCAGACTGCGCGCTTGTTGGCTGAGCTTTCGTTTCAAGAGAAAGCTACCAAGGTTAGGCCAGCATGTTTTGAAGCAGATGGTTTGGACAGGGAAGGCCGCACGTCGACACGGGTCACGTGGGCCCAACCCTGGGCCGAAAAGAGACTGCAGAGCTGCTCTGCAGGAGCCTGTCGCCGCCTGTTTAATCGGCACGTAAAGGCATACCGTTATACCTGCTGCACGCCAAAATGCAAAAAGCAATGCGATTTGGCTGGGTAAGAGTATTGCTCCCGCTTGGAGAGTTCCGAAAAGGTCCAGAGTTTCATTTCATATACCTTTGTTTTGAGAGCATCACAAGTCGACGCTTGGAGGTTGGTCATCAATACAGGTCTCCAAGGCAAGGACAAGGTTTGGCTTGGGTAGGCCCGCTGTTTCGGGGTTGCCCATCTTGGAGAGCCAACTTGTTCAGCTTTCTTGGAATTTTCATGACAAACTCGTGGTCCATCGAACAGATGTTAGGCACCGCCATTCAGTATACGCCTTAAAATCGGAGACCCCCCTCGGCATGCTGGGTTTACCTGCGATCATGTTTGAACACCAACCAGCGAATAAGTCCCCGAGTTCAGGATACTCCCATATTGCGCCCAGCCTAGTCCGGCTGGCGGCACGATAAAATGGGCTTCGCCCAACCTTTCGCTATGGGTTTGGTGTTCCCACGAGGTTTGGAGGTCACGTTTCTCAAAATTGGGGCACACACACACAGCACTGGGAGATCGTTCACCCGGCTCACTCAATCCTGAAAACCCTTGCCATCTCACTGTATTTCAGATGCCTGCTTTCGCATGCCTTTTTATTGTTCGAAATGGCAGGATCATGATGGCATCTTTCAAACGGAGCCCATCTTTGACAGGACGACGCATTGCCCTCGCTGCGCTGTTTGAGCTTTCAGGGTGCCCAAGTGGCCCTCTGGCTGTAAAGGGGAGGCCAAAGGAAGTAACAAAGTAACAGTCAATGTTCCCAAGGACGCGCCACATTTTTGGGGTTCCCTGTTCCCCTGACATCCAGCCAGGCAGAGAGGCAGCAGTGTCACCTGGCGGCCTTGCAGCAGCAGAAGCTAGAGGAGGCCAAGCGAACGCAAGAAATGGAAGCCTCACACCGGGCACCTGAACCATCCATGTGCCAAGGACTGTCATTCCTTGTGATCCTGTGCGGCTTGAATGGGCATCCGGATTCAGTAAATTCATTGGTGCCCTAGAGCTGACGGGCACCAACGGTGGCATAGGTCGACACTCCAAGCTTGAAAGCGCAAGGAGTCCGTGGAATCGAATCCAACGATGTGAATTGGAACTTGACACAATTGAAAAGTGCCCGGCGTAGCAGGTTCCTTCTTGCCTCTTGTCCAGGTGCTGGCGCCCGGGGACGGCACCAGCAAGGAGCCGCGGGACGCGGTGCCGCGGCTGGCGAGTGAAAGGGGTGGGTGGCAGGTGCTTTCGAGTCACATGTTTGTCCTCAAGATGGAGACATCCTTTCGGGCCTTAAAGCAAACTCAGAAGAAGGAACCTAGTTAGTTTGAGCAGGTGGGACTGAAGTTGCGCCTCTTGTGCAAAGGACCCTTTGAGATGGCAGAAGGGAAGCAGGAGCGTGAAAGCGGTCGGGATGTGTTCATAAGTGGCTTTGATGAGCAAGGCTTGTGGACCTTCATTCAACCGTACATTGATACTCCGCAAAGCGAGTGGGCGATTTAGGCTGTATCTTACTGGTTTTGTGGTGTGCTACTATCTTTGTGTGCGTGTGATTGCGTACAACGGTTGTGGTGCTGCTGCTGCTGGTGGTGGTGGTGGTGGTGGTGGTGGTGGTGGTGGGGATATGATCGTGCTTCTTCATTTTTACATGACCAGAAGCTTTGGTTGACTGAATTTGAGTCACAAGTGTGGGAGACAAGGGCCATCACAGAACCCTTGTTGTAGCAAGCGATCGCGCAGAGGTGTCAACCGACCCAGGCCTTCAAGATGAGACTCTTCAAAACTCGGTTGGAATGCGGTGGGTCCCGGCTCAAGGGCTGCAGGCACAATCCAAAAGCAGCAGTTTCGTTTTGAACGGAACCATGGTCGGTGTCATTGTGTTTTTGACCTTTCTCAACTGCAGTTTTTTTTTAAAGGTGAGAGGTACCTCGTTTCTCTTCTGAGGGAATCCAGTCCTTTCTCTTCTGCCACACGGAGACATGGGTGTTTCCCTAAAACAGAGGACTTGTGAATGTGGTTGTTTTTCCTTGTCTTTTTCAAAGCCAGCTGGGACGCTTTTCTTCGGCCCCAGCCTCAGCACTCCCAATCGCAGGGCTTCTCCAATGCTCGCAAAGCGCACATTGAGCTATCACGTGACCAATCACATCAAATAGCGTCAGACCCTACACATAGCTGGTGTCCTTGTGCTTTCTAAATCCGACCGTTTTGTGGAGTCTGATGCCTTTTACCTTTCAGACAAACGATGTCTCACTCAAATGCCGCCCAAGAATTGGGACTCAACTTCCTTTGCCGTTTTCCCTTTAGACTTGGGCCTTCCCTTTCCCTTTCCCGGCTTTCCTTTTCCCTGGCCCCCAGACGTGCCCCAGTCGGCCGGAAGCGTTTGGAACCCAGGCCTTGGCCCTGCTTGCGGCGGGGCTCTTGGCCCTGGACCTCGCAGGAGAGGGAAGATCGACTTGGGGTCCGATGTGGGGTTTCTCAACTTGGACTTTTCGGCCTTCTTTTTGGATGGGTTTAAAGGGACGGTGCTTTCGAAAGCCTAACAAGAATTGTTTAATGTTGGAACATGTGGAAACATGTACTGTGTAGGCAATGCTTGGCCAATATGGCTGGGATGCCATTTTGGCTCAAGCTTTGCCTTTGGTTGTTGATCTTTCTGTAGTTGAAAAACAAAGAACGCACCGATTGCAATGGCCTCCTCGATGTGTACCGCATCTTCGTTTGAGTTGGTGGAAGAACAGCAGATCACGGAGGCGGACGTGGCTATGGCCGCCCAGGAAGCGCAGGAGATGCGCGACCGGGAGGCAGCGGTGGCCGCAGGCCTGGTGCTGACGGAACCTTCCACCCCCCCGGCGGGCACGGCAGCGGATGTGGTGGACGGCCTCTCCAAGGCCCTGGAGCGCCTGCAGTTCATGCTCGACCGCCCCGAGTCCGACAAGGGTGCCTCCGGCCCCGTGGACGAGGGCGACGTGGAAATGGGCGATGAGGTGCCCGGTGACAAAGCCCCACCGGCCAAGAAGTTGAGACCCAGTTAGTCACCCTCGAGCCGGTGGCGAACAAGTCGGGTTACTTCAAGGTGGGTGACCTCCCGGACGCATTCCCATTGCTGCCGGCCTCAGCAGCGGCCTTGCTGCGGGACATAACGGTGTTGGAAATGGGGTCCCTGTTCCACAAGTTTGTCGGCAAGCTCACGGAGGACTTGGTTCTCCGCATCCTGGAGGCGTACGTCCCGATGAAGATCCAGCTCCGGCAGGAGGAGGTGCGGCGCTCGCAGCTCCAGCAGAACAAGGTGGGGATTGGCCCCCAGCGCATGCGCAGGCTGGATGCCGGGCAGTCAGACTACGACCGCATGTGCAAGTCGTGCGGCACTGGATGGCCGGAGGCGGCCAAGCAGTGTTGGGTTTGCCCGGGCGTGGAGTCCGTTCCGTACCAGGCGCCTTCGGCCACCTACGAGTCCGAGGGCATCATCTACCACTTGCGGATCTTGGACGGCAAGCCGACCTGCTTCCAGCAGCAGGACGGGGGAAGCCAGGGTGCCTCCGGCCCCGGCGGATCCTATAAGGCAGCGGACCAGAAACTGGTGGATGGCTCCAATCTTGGGAGGCCCCCACCGAAGACGGACTCCATGGATGAGATCACGATGGCGGACGTGGTCCCCTTGGACAAGCGGGTGGACGTTAGGCAGGAGATCCTCACGATGAATGCGGATGTGGAGATCCCTCCAGAATACGGAGGCCCAGAGCTTCAAGCTCTACCACCCTCAGATCGATGCGGCAATTAAGAAGAAGGCCGCGCTCCAGGAGATCCTTGCCAGAAAGCGGGAGTTGGCCCCGGAAGAGATTGCGGCAAGGAAGTTGCACAAGGAGCCCGAGCGCAGGCAGGTGTTCATCAATATGGGTCACGAGGGCCAACATCGGGCGGGCCAACTCGATCCACCACTCTCTCATCAAATTCGACGAGTGCCGCCTCGGCCAAGTGGTGGTGAAAGCTACGGTGAACAAGGTTGGCACCTACGGCATGGCCAGTGCTCAGTCGTACTGGGGACGCCTGGCGGCCCTTCTGCTCAGAATCTTGTACGCGCTCTTCCCTCAAGTAGACTGGCACTTCGTGTTTGTGGATGATTTCCTATGGCTGCTACGCATCAAAGGGGCCGTAAACTTGGCGGCGGCAGTGCTGGCCACGCTGTTGGCGCTGGGCACACCGCTAAGTTGGAAGAAGACGCACCTGGCGGAGGTCAACACGTGGTTAGGCTTTGTGGTCCATCCCAACCTCCCACAGGTCCTCATGGCAGCCAACAAACACATCCTGGTGATGGATCATGGTTGAAGGCCAGGCGATGCACGCAAAGGACTTAGTGGGCGACTTTGGCCTGTCCTCTGGCAAAATCCATGCTCCAACCGCTCTGGGCGTGGAAGATGGCTACCACCACGGTGGGGAGGCCACTGGCATTTGTGGGGGGATGGTGCTCCAACCAGAGGGAACCGACAAGTCAGCGGTCTTTTGGTTCCACGAGCAGATCCACCAGGTGGAGATCCCAAGCGGCGAATTGCGGCACTGGAAATGCTAGGCACGCTCTTCCTCTGCAACATGATCCTCACGCATCAGGGCCCCCTGGCCTCCAGGGTGAGACTCCCGGTAGGCAGTGACAACCAGGGCAACGTGATGGCCATGCTCAATCTTGGTTCCAAGAAGCCCTATACCGCGGCCATCCTGATGGAGCTGGCGCTCTTGCTACACGGGCGTGGATGCTCTCTGGCAGTCAATCATGTGCCCCGTGAGTTCAATGAGTGGGCGGACGAACTAACCCACCCTGATTTTGCAGGCTTTGATCCGTCGCACAGGGTTCCGAAGCCGGAGCTGTGTGAAGGTTTTACATTTCTTCCGCGTCTCCTGAATGGAGATACATTTGACCTTAGCGTGGATCCACCCAAGCTCCCGTGACCGGAGCCGGTGGGTGACTCACTTCCCTTCGGTGGCAGACTCCCTGAGGCCTGGGTGCCTCCGGAACGCAATCAGTCTGCACACTGGTCAATTTCCTGTGGCACGGAGAGCCACCCAACCTGGAACTCCTGAAAGGGAAGATGAGTCCATGGCACCAACGCAACGCTTGGATAAAAGAGTTATCGCTGGCTTGTGTTGTGCCGTTTGGTCAGCTTGCATTCACAGATAGCCAAACAAGACAGAGGATTGTTCAAAACACCGGACCTGAGGCACAATATATACACAGGCAACCACTGAATCTGATGTATTGCAGGGGTCCATTTAGGAGTGCTTTGTTCGAGAGTTGGGGTTGGTTGAAAGGGACACCAAAGGAACCGGGCCTCATTTTGCAGATCCCCCCCCCATTTTAAGATGCCATACAAACAGCACAAGGAACGGGCTGACAGGCTTGGCTTGCCGAGAACAACGCCAGGACCTCGCCCCCAGATAAGGCGCAGCCCCTTGTTCTGTGCAGATGAGGCGCGTGGTTCGGGGTCGATTCTGGCGGGGGAGGGGGTTTGGTCACGGCGAAGGCTGCTGCGGGTAGCAATCCTAGCACAACTGAAGATGACCTGGCGCGATCAGTTGGACGAAGATTTGAGTGGAATCAGTTGACTGCCCGGATTGCCTGCCCAATCTTAGGGATGCTTGTCTCCGCAAGCTTGCGATTGCCATCCCATTCTTTCGCTTCCTATCACATGAGTTCTATTGGACATCCCTCTTTGGGATGTCCAAGCCCAAACCCCGCTCGATGCGGCCTTTACAACCCGCTGCCTTGTTGTTGCTCTTATGGCTGGGGATCTTGACAGAGCTGCTGCCCACACTCGATGCTTTCCTTTAAGCACCACCTTATTTGTGGTCAAAACGGGTTGCATGTGAGCGTCATAATCTGTTTTCTGCGATGTTCAGGGAATCCCTTGAAATGCAGCCAAGAAGTCATAGGGATGCCTCACTTTGGTGTCACAAGGCTCCCATTTGAGCAGATACCTGATGATTGCCAGACGTCCGTGACCACCGGTCTCAGACGCGCGTGTGGGCATGCCCTTTTTGTCCTTGGGGGGCTGGTTTAAGCCAAGGTTAAGCCAAGGCAAGCCCCAATTTGGCGACACAAACATGGAACCTGAGGGGTCCTGGAAGACTATTTTCATTCAAAGGGTCCCACGTTAGTGGGCAAGAGGGGTACTCCCATTCTGCAAGCAAAGCAGGTACATTTTTTTGCTCGTGCATCCAGGCGGTGGGTGCCTGCTTCCAAGGCGCCCCAGAGGTGGGCGAGGCGAGGGGGGAAGGGGGGGAGTTGGGGAGGGGCCATGGATTACCATGTCTTCTCTGGAAATTCTGCAAGAAGGGGTTTCACTTGTTTTGCCCACCAAGTAGGTGTGCAAAGCTGCTTGGAGCCATGAGATTTAGCAAAAAGCAGATGGCGACAGCCCAACAAGCGGAACTCATTCGGAGCATTTCCAGTGGAGAGCGCTACATGCATCGACATGCACACAGACACAGACACAGACAACGCACCAAGTTACTATTTGATGTATAGTAGAGACTCCCCCATGTTGAACATCAAACACACATTCGCCGACAAAGAGCTGACTCCCAAGATGATTGTGGGATGTAAGCTCAGAGGAACCTTGCTGCACGACTGGTCAACCTCCGCCCAAAGTGCGGAAAGTTGAACAAGTGGCCACATCTTTAGGGGACTTTGCAAGAACCGGATGTTTGTTGTGGATTACCACTTTTTGGCTTTGGCGCCAGAAGCACACCAAGTCCAAAGCAAATCATGTGCGCCTCCCCCAAAAGGCCACCCACACCGGTAGTACGTTCTTCTTGGTCCATTCGGGCCCGGACCGACGCGGTTCACGAGGCCTTTGCGGACTGTGCCGTGGAGGATCTCGAGCTCGAGGTGGGGGCACCTCTGAGGGAAAATGGTCTTGGACTCAGTCAGCTTCCATGAGGCTCCCCTGCAGATCATGGACACCCCTAGACAAGACATCATTTGTAAAGGACTTCCCATTTGGGGGCCGCCTTTTTGATGTCCATGCCGATTTGCAGTGGAGCAGGTCTCAAACACACACACCCAAGCCCCCACACCCACACCCACACCCACACCCACACCCACTCCCACTCCCACTCCCACTCCCACTCCCACTCCCACTTCCACTCCCACTCCCACTCCCACTCCCACTCCCACTCCCACTCCCACTCCCACTCCCACTCCCACTCCCACTCCCACTCCTCCCCCCACCCACACCCACACCCACACCCACGCACGCACGCACCCGCACACCTGCACCCGCACAGCCGCACACGCACACGCCCACGCTCACGCCCACGCTTACGCGCACACGCACGCTCGCACACGCTCGCACGCACGCACGCCTGCGCTGGCGCTGGCGCGCACTGAGCACACTGACAGCACGTCAGCACACACACACACAGAGACAGGACGCAGACAGCTCAACATAGCACACAGACAGCACACAGACAGGCACCCAGAAAAAGAGACACAGGAATGGGCTTCGTGTCAAATCACTTGGCTGGGACCCCGCTTCCATCCATACAGTCAAATCTTTTGCGGGACGATACTACAGTCCACTTCGCCTTGCCCTGCCACGCAGGTGGAGGCCAAAGCAGCGCCTCCGGAGGAAGCCAAGAGCGCCTTCGGCAGATGTGGCGCACAAGTTTGGTCCACCCACCAACGGTTGTTGCTTGAGTCGCAACGTTCCTTCAACCTCGTTTGTTGTTTTGTTTGTTTGTTTGTGTGTTTGTTTGTCTCTTTCTTTCTTTCTTTCTTTCTTTCTTTCTTTCTTTCTTTCTTTCTGATGTTTGGTGCTCGCTTGGCACCCTTTTGGGGGGTCGCCCTGTCTGAGTGCTCCTCTGTGTGGAAGATTGAGCCACTCCCAAAACTGCACCCCGGACAACAGAGCACTTGAGTTTGTTTAATTCCACTGGCATCACCTATTTTATCCGCCCTAAGATGAACTTAGCTTCCATTGCAGAGGTAGGTCTGTAGCTTCCGGACATGTAGCTCAGGGCTGCTCTCTGCCATACCTGCGAGGGTGTCCCCCTTTGAAAAGGCACCAATTGGTCCCATCAGTGGGCATCGCGATTCCAACAGTACTTGAGGCAACATGTTCAGCAGAATTGCCGCCATGAAACAGAATGCTTTTACCAAGCTTGTGTTTGGCGGGAACCTTTCCAGTTGCAGGCCGAATCGCATGGGGCTGTCCACATCTCTCTCACATCCGGCAAACACCAGTAAACACTTCGGAACCCGACATGACACAACTCCATGCTCTTCAACAGCTTCCTTGCTACCCCCTGTTGTTATTTCCACAAGTTGGCTGTCATGTATTCAATCTCACATCAGGGCTGGAGACCGGATTTGTTCAGCTGGTGTGGCTCTAGCCGAAGCTGAGGCCGCGGTTTCCTGCTTGGCCACCTGGGGCCCTTTTTTACCTTGGCCTGGCACCCGGGCCGACTGGGGGCGGGGAGCTTTCGGATGCGCTTGGCCATGGTCTCTGTCGGCATTGGCTCCGGGGTGCTTGTTGCGCCGGTCTACTGAAGTTAATGCTTTTCGGGCAGCGACAGAGCCGTTCCTTGCCTAAAAACTGGGACACTGATCCACACCCAGTATCTCTCGTGTAACAATCAATGATGGAAGGCTAATGCGTTGCTTTCATGTGCCATTGAGGAATCCTGCACTAGCCGCGAGGCCATATCCTTGAGGCGTTTCCTCTTGCCCTGCCATCCATACACCATTTGTTTCACGGGAATCCTACAGCCTTTGCACAGCCCGTACTCTAATCTTTCGGCAACTTCCTGGGCAGCGTTGACGCAGTTTAGCTGATGCGATAAATCTCATGCTGGCCGCTTTCCTGGGCGAGGTGGTCTTCTGCTTATCAGTGGAGGACGTGCCGTGGGAAGCCGGGCCCTCGTATCGCCAAGGGGCTGTTGCTCAGACTGACGGGATTAATTTTCACATTTCTTGTGTTGATCTCAGCCAATCAGGATACAGGATTGGAGCAACATGCATTCAGTGCTCCACATTTGCATGTCTTCAATATGGAAGGGGCTTCGAACGTCTGAGTTTTCAGCGCTCGGAGCACCATTGAGCTTATTGTTTTTTGTCGCAGTGGTGCAGCACGGTCTGCTTGGTCTGATATCTTTGCCATTTGCGACCCTGCGTCTTGAGAGCAAGTGTTTAGTCAAGTTGGAAAGTACAGGTCAACTTCTGACGGTTGGCAGGAGTTTTTAAATTACCGGTGTGTGTGTGTGTGTGATCCAAACGATGTGACACGTGGTCAGCCAAGAGTCAGGCTCTGTGGCAGGGCTCACTACTTAGGCACATCCCGCATTAGCCCAAGTTTAGGGGGGTTGCGTTTCAGGTTTTGTGGAGCCTCGTTTGCGAAGCTTTTTTCGGCCCTAAAGCCACTCTTCTTTGTTAACATAGCGGAAGCTCGGGTGAACCAACCGGCTGCAAAGGCTTGAGTTTTCGCTTAACTTGGAATCGACTAGTTGGATTCTGACAGGGCACTGGCTCATTTCTCTACCTGCAACGGGTGTTTGGGATTTACCTGGGAAGAAGGGATGAACATCTAAATCTCTGCAAGGAGCTACGAAGTGTGGTTAGCAGAAACTGAAGTTTTGGTTGGAAAGGGTGGGTAGAGGTCGAACGCCTCAGGCTCTGAGGCAGCTGGACAGGCCGGAGACCGGCTGGGCATGTTTCGAGCTGGCGATGGGCTGCCAATGGCCAAAGATCAAAATCCATCCTAAGAATCCCAGAAGCGAACAAATGCTTTTGCCGGTTCCTGATTTGGAGCCAGCCCCAAGTGGTGGCCTTTAGTTGGTAACATTTTGTGTCGCATTGGTTTCTCCCCGTCTCTGCATCGCAATCGCAATCCGGCATGTCTCAATTTCTTTAGGCAATTGCTTCCAGTATCGTTTGCCCTTGGTATTCTGGGGCCATGCCTCTCGAGGTGATGACAGACTGTGGCTTCTGTGGTTCAAACGGCTCCATTCCAGTCAGTATCAATATGAGACCTGTTTGACTTCAGGTTTTCACCTTCCTGCCGGCAGAGGACTGGACACCAACTAAATCAAAGGGAATTGTCCCTTTCCAGGTTCCCCAAAGAGCAGGTGGAACCGTCTCATTCGTGCCTCCGCCCAAAGCTCAAGCCCCGCGCTTTGCTCCACCAAAGGACTCAGAACCGGCCTCGGGTGAAAGCTTTCCCAGAGATCCGTCGCGGGCTGAGTCATGGGACGTTTTGGGCAGGTCCAACTTCCAGCTGACCTTGGAGTTGGTGCGGAAGGTGGTGGTTGCCCGGGTCTCGAAGCCACGGTCGGAGGTGTGAACATGGTGAACCTTGTCGTCCTGCAAAATGCAAGCCAAATGGGAGTTTTTGAGCATTTGGCACTCAGACACGCACATGTCAGAGCTCAGGGGCTATGACTTGCGCAAATTCGAAGGCTCTCCTTGCCACAGGAAGACAGGATTTTTGCGAGATGCATGAACTGGTTCTTGTTGGCATGGTTTATGAGGTGCCCATCCGGTGCAACCTTCGCCTTCTTCCTGTTGCCAATCGAGCCCAAAAAGGAATGGGGAGCCAGCGCATCTTTCAGGTGCTGGACGCTTCTTCTTTGGAACGCATGTCTGAGAGGCATGTGGAGGCAGGGTGCGACCTCGCAGATTGGAGGACATGCCACTGGAAAGGGGCCGGGGAAGGATTCAGAGTTATGCTTTCTTGTTAGTGTGCTACAAATCTGGGCTAGGGCCTTTCCGGGGTATGCAGCCATACCGATCATTCTTCAAGAGGCAACGTGGCAACAAGCGATGGGCAGCATATAAAGCAGACGCACAACAGAAAAAAGGCGGAGCGAGAGCGGCTCCCGTCCCAGCTTGACAGACCGTCCTTTGCAGAACCACCCTTTTTTGGGCCCCCGCCTAAACGTATAAGAGTCCTTTTCGAGGTATGGCTGGCACGACACCATTGGAGGGGGTCTCACTTTAGGGTTGATTCATGGTTCTCTGCGCGAAAGAAATGAACATGAAGGAAGCTTGGGCAACCACCTTTGAGCTGGATCTACGACGACACAAACCATGAAGGGCCCCAAGCCTTTTGACTGGGAGTCGAAATGACAGCCATGGCATGGACCAATGAAAATCAATTCTGGAGAAACCGAACAGCTGGTGCGTAGCATGACCTCACCATACAGGGTTCCTTCTTTCCTGGTGATTTGATAAGGACCTTCCTTTTGAGGCCTTCTCCCTCCTCCGGCGAGGCAGTGGCCCGGGCCGCCCGCCTGGGTGCCCGGCTGCTGGCGGACCGAAGCCGCGCCTGCGGCGCCTACGACGCGCGGCCTGGGACCGCGGCGCCTCCGCGCAAACTGCGCGATTCGTTTGGGTGTGAAAAGGAAACCAAAGAGAAGCTACAACAAGCCATTTTTGAGGTCCCCTAGTTTGAGACACCCATTTGGCTGCTGTGTTTCTAATTGAGGGGCCCTTTCAAAACCAATTGTCAAAGGAGGCGTGATAAAAGAGGGACCCTTTTGAGGGTTGGTTTTAGGGTTTTGATATGCACTTTTTTTGAGAACCCGAGGTTGCAGACAGCTCAGGGACCTTTTTTGTGCGGTGCTCCAGGATGCCACTTTTCGAGAAACCCATAGGCAAACATCTTTTTAACCCCCCCCCGGTCAATTCCTCGCAAACCGTGTGGCGGATGCCCAAAACCCGTACTGTCCAATTCGGCAGGTGGTTCTACTATCTGACTTGATGCTACAGCAAGCCCCATGTAAACCTTCATAGGCTAGAGCCAAATGAGGTGCTGCTGCGCCCAGACTCTCTGGTCGCGGCGCGCTGGCGCCAGCTGGGGGATGAGCGGGACGTGCAGCGGGCCTTCCTGCGGGCCACCGGGCCGGGGGCCCGGGCTGTGAAGGCGGCAGGGGCTTTTTGCATCCGGGTTCCAATGGAGAACCACCTCACAAGTGGTGGAAGTCTCCAGCCGCCCCGCCCCCCCCCCCAGGCACCTGCTGCACGTGGTGCCGCGCGTGCCGAGCCCCCGTAGCAGCGCGAGTGGCCGGGGCGCCCAGGGACATGTCTCAGGTTGGACCCTGGTGTTGTTGTCTTGCCCTCTTTCTTCCCTATCCCCTGTTTCCTCCATCTCCTCTTGCACAGTTTCTGGAGTCATTTTTCTTCTTTCTGCTGGAAATTCCCTCAACAAACGCAAGGGAATTGCCACGTGACGCAGTTGGCTGTGTCAAAACTAGGGGCTCTTGGGGTTGGGCTTAAATGTAAGATTTGCAGAAACTAATCATGTAAAGGGGCCTTTGGTTATACTAGTTCCCATTTGTGACTCAACAGCAGAATGGCACTGTGAACGCGATCCTCGTTTCAACTGATTCACGTTGAGGTAGCCCAACCGGAAACAAGATCCTTGGCTCTTTGTGATTGATCATACAGGCATCACTGTTGTTGTTTTCCCAGTCCAAGTTTTCATTGCTGTTTGTGAAGAGGCGCGACCAGCCAAAGCCGCCTCTCTGGAAAGCAAACGGCTCCCTGCGAGTTGTTCTCCCACGTTTGAGTGAGTTTTGGGCATGTGTTTTCAGTTTTAGTTTGGGAGATCAAAGGGACAGCCACCATTTTGCGGCGAGGCGACGAGCCCCAGCTCCGCCTGCAGCCGTGGCAGGCGAACCCCGGTCACTGGTTACTAGGGGATGGTTCCAATGCAAAACCTAGACCATTTGAACCAATCCCAAATGGTGCTGCTGCATGTGTTTCCCTTCAGGACCCATCTTTCTACCCTACCGTCGTCTTTGGAGCTCGGATCGGCCATAAAGTGCCAATCCAGGGTGAAACTCGACTCTCCACCGAGGCTCAACCCACGCAAAAGCGACCAACACATTGAGGCCTTGCAACGTTGCGAGCCTTGGACTTCCCATAGGGAAGGCCCAGCACCCCGTCCAGCCAGGGCTGCGCCCTGCTGCGGCACCTGCAGATGCCAGCTCAGCAGGCCGTGGCGGCCCTGATGCTGCTGGCGAGACTCGGCGAGAGGGGTGCCGTTTTTTGGCCGCGGGCGAGCCGCAACGGGCGGGGGGGGGGGCGGGTGGCAGATTCCAAGATGGAGCTATGATATGACGTTTTGTGACCACTTGCCGGAGTTGGAGCTTCACTCCTTGTAAACTGCCAATCTTCCCGTGTTTGTTTGACAACAACGGGCCTCAAATTACTCAATCGGGGAACCTGGGGCCTGGGCGGTTCGTTCCAGGGCCGCCACAGCATGGCTGGGTGAGCCCCAACAGGTCTGGGATTTCAATGTCGCCAGCGGCCTTTGTGGCGTTTTCCGAGAACCAGCTCAAAGCCAGTTTGGGTTCTATTTTGAGGGCATGTTGGGTACGATGCGCGAACATTTGCATGATTGAGCTCCAACTGATGCAAGATTGCCTGAAGCTTCATGGCTAGTGGAGACGGCTTGTGAGCTTCACGTGGTCGGGAAGCGGAGCTTTAGGGGAGCGCGAGCAGCATTTCTGGAGGCTGGCCGAGACTCTTGCACGTATGTTGTATAGCTGCCTCCGACCCCAAGGAACACTTTCAAGTCAGTCACTATGATTTTCAACGGTCAAATCCATCTTTGCAGCATGGAATCATGTCTTAGCACATTGCGCCCTTGAGCCGATACCTTGCGCCCTGAGCCTATACGTGTATATATTTATATTTATATTATTATATTATATTATATTATGTTATATATTATATGATATTATATATATATATATATTATATTATATATTATATATTATATATTATATATTATATATTATATATTATATATTATATATTATATATACATATTATATATTATACGCCTACAGCTACATTGGCAACCTGGGCAGTGCCGGCTTAGGAGCTACCTGGGCGAGGCGCCGGTGTTGGAGGCCGTGGAAATGGCCAAGGCGGCGCTCAAGAAGGAGCGTAAATTGCAAATTCCGGCATGCTGGCCAAAATCTCGTGACAGGTGTTCTCCACTTGCATGAAGTCCATTACTATCATTCTACTTGGAGGAGACGCCTCTTTTCCTGGCCGCCAAATTCTGTGTAAACTCCGACTCAAAACTGGCAAGGCCAACCCGAACTGCAAGCCTTATGATCAATCTGGAATGGGAGGTCTTCCAGATGGTTGAGTCACCAGTGCATCCGTGCCAAAGCCAAACAATGCCTAAAGGTTCCTCTCCGTTTGTAGAACGACTCTGATTCCGCATAGCATACGCATCATACGTATGTACGTATTTGTATTTTCACATATGCATCACATACGCATGTGTACATGTATTTATAGCAGTTCCTTTTATATCGGTGTTTATGTGCCATGCTCCAAACTCCTTATATGTAAAGGCCGTATGTCTACCAGCACCAATTTGGCACACTTTCTAGCTAGCTGTTTAGGTAGACGAGCCAGCGGAGGAGCGTTACAATTTCTTCCTTCTTAATGAGCAAAGTGATGCAACTTCTCTGGTTTGGTCATGACTGCTCCCCAAAAAGTGCGCCCTGTTTGCAGAGCGATGAAATGCCACACGCACCGCCCCTCACGCCGGAACGCCTGCGTGTAGCGGCTGACAGTTTCTTTTTGAAAACGAAAGACCTTCTGCCATGTTTTTTGTTTATGATTTGTCTCGCTCACGGCAAGAATCCCACCGTCAAGGCTCCCTCATCCCAACCCTTGCAGTATTTCTGGTGGGGTGGTGAGAGAGGATTTTGTTTGATCGCAATTCTCTCTGAGGGGTAAAGTAAGAGGGCCACAATCAAAGCCGAGCTGGCTGCGCGAGGACCTGGGCGAAGTGAAACCGCTGAAGCTGAGCCTGCCCGTGGCTTGCCAAGGGAAGACAGGTCTAGGGAAGCCACAAATGGGGTGGTCTCCGAATGGATATGGAGCCTGCAAATGAGGGGTATCTCCACAGAAACGGCCAACACGCGGGTACCCGTGCCGGTGTGACCCTCAACTAAGATACCCACATCGGAATATGTCAAGATGAGCAGGAACACCCGACTTGGTGGTCATGTTGACGCAAACTGTTCCAATCATGTCTCACATCTCTTGAAGGATGAAGGGATTGGCAATAGAGGGATCGGGCACGTGTGTTCGGGTAGTTGCTAATCTACTCTTTTGTGGATTTGTCCGGTTGGGCTGCATCGCAATTGAAGACTTTATGCTTGGCATCATGGCGGTCAGTTTCCTGGGTTCCCTCCTTTGTGGCTTTGATCATCACAATTCGAAGCGAGTTTTCCTTTGGGGTGATGTTTGAAGGGACATGTAGGGAAACGCCGCTTTCCGCAGCTCTGCTTGAAATGTCGCTTGGGTGTTTCTTGCAGACTCGGGGAAGATTGCCGAGGCAAAAGAGCCAGGCATGCGCTGGGGCAGCCTGGGGACAGTTTGGGCACAGGTACATTCCAGCATCACTTTTGCAAATTGATTTGGAGTCTCCTCTTTTGACGCGTGTGGTTTTGATTTTTCATTGGGGAGGTGTGGTGCAAGTGGTGTGATGCCTAGGAGATTTCGGCTTGATCCTTGACTCTCGTGCGACGGCTTGGGGATTGAACGTTGCGGTAGCTTGTTGGCAACCTGGCTTGGGGAAAGGCCTTGTTCGTGGGCATGGTGGATCACTATTCATGAGTGCTCAATTTCCGGCTGTTGGCGAGTTCCTCGGAAGCTTGTGAGGGGCTCATTTTCCCCCCTCGACAGGGGCAGATTTGCCTCGGCCACTTGCCGGTTTTCAGAAAGCACCTACGCACATAAACAAGCGTGAATGTGCAGTGTGCCAGGCCACCCCAGGCATATTTCAATCGCAAAGCACTTTGTTTGTGAGTAAGCTTGGCTTTGCTGTGTCATTCCTCCATCCCTCATGGTCCGAAAGCAACGGAGCACCCTGGCCCGGCATTGGGCCCGGCCCTCGCGGCTTGTGGCAGGTCCTGTGCCTCCTGCAGATGTCTTGAGCGTCGTCAAGAGCTTGGCGGAGGACAGCTCCTGGGGCCTCGCCTGCTGGATGCAGTCCTGCTATACGCACAAAGGAATGGATCCGGGCAAATAAATGTAACCTCACGAAGGGGGTTTGCAACCTCCCTCATGGTCACGATGAAGTTTCCTTTCATAGGCGGCTGCACTGGCTGGCAGTCTTGGGCCATAGCATGGCAACATGTGCAGTTCACGGCTTGACGAACTACCACAGTGAAAACCCCAGCTTGCATGTCCTTTGCAACAATCGCTGGCGCAGCTGCTCTGTTCTTATCACCGTGTTAGGGACGAATTCCGGGCATCAGTAGTATAAATTCATGGAGTTTCCGGGCGTCCGATGTTTGACATATGCCTTGTGAAGTAGTAACCCGCACTGTTCAACACGTGAAACCACAGGTGAAGCATGACATGCGCAATTTGAGGTACGGTGCGAGATGCGCCTTTCGAATTTGCCATTATTGAAAGAGGAGGAGGGGGATTAAATGTCATCCGCACCAGTAGTCATTCGCAATGTAGACACGTGTGGGCCGGCCTTGCCCTTTCGTTTTGCTTGAACCCCCGAAGCGCCACCTTGGCAATCCCCATCTGAAGATTTTCTATAGCAGAGTGCCAGGAGGGCGCTGGGCTGGTGCCGCTGGAGCTGGCGGTGGACACCATGCATAAGATGCTGAAACAGGCAACGAGATGGGTGGGGTACCGAACTGCCCTTTGTCTCCAAAACAATGAATCCCAATCTGAACTGGGCGGTCCTGACTCCCATTTGCTTAATTGAAGTGGGATTTTGGGAAGGCCCCTACATGCCTTTATACTGTTTGGGCACTCTCACGTACTGTCCGAGTGTTTGCGGAGGGAAGAAACTTGTGAGGGAGAGGCCTCATTCCTGCATTCTCTGCATTCTTTACATTCTCTGCATCGCCTGCATCACCAGCATCACCTGCATCACCCGCATCACCTGCATCATCTGCATCACCCGCATCACCCGCATTACCTGCATCACATGCATCACCTGCATCACCTGCATCACCTGCATCACCTGCATCACCTGCATCACCTGCAGCACCTGCAGCACCTGCAGCACCTGCATCACCTGCATCACCTGCATCACCTGCATCACCTGCGCATCCTCTGCATTACTTGCATCACTGGCATTATGTGGGATCAAGGGGTTTCTCCCCCCCTTTATAAAATAATATAGTCTTTGGGAAGCCCTTTCTGTTGTATCACAGAAGTGGTCATTCCCCACAGCCGTGATTATTCGCGTTACGTGTATCAGTGTCATCCCCTGCATCCACTGCATCTGCATCTACTGTGTGTATGCATCATCCCGCGCCATCCCTGCATCCCTTCATCAAACAGGCGCAATCCCTGCGTTGCTTGCGTCCCCCGCGTTGCTTGCATCACCTGCACCACTTGCATCCAGGCACCGGTTGTTGAGCCAAGAACAATGCAAGGCAGGACCTGGCTAGTATGGTGAACTTGGGTGGGGCGTTGACCTCCATGCCTTGTGTCTCCGTTCTACGATGAAATCAATCCGCCCGGGTTGATTTGTATTTGAGACCCATCCCTCATTTTCTTGGGCCAGTGCAAAGAACAAATCAAATTCAGGGGTCGAGCTTCTAGCCCTGTAAAATCGCGCACGCCAGGAGCCGGAGATCTTAGCATCTATGGCGCCTGAGCAAGGTGTGGAGGAGCTCGGCAGCACTTTGCAAGCGGGTTTGTTCTTTTCCGGTCGCCTCCTTGAATAGAACTGGCAGTGCATGCGACATGTGAACACAGAGATACAAATGCTTACTGATCTGAAGACATACCCGCATACATACATACATACATACATGCATGCATACATACATACACACATACACACCCATACGCGCATACACACATACACACATACAAACATACACACATACACACATACACACATACACACATACACACATACACACATACACACATACACACATACACACATACACACATACATACATACATACATACAGACATACCCACATACACACATACACACATACACACAAACACTCATACACACATACATACACACATACATACATACATACATACGTACGTACATACATACATACATACACACACAGACATACACACATACACACATACACACATACACACATACATACACAATGATGCATGTATGCATGTATGTAGTTATGTATGTACGTACTTACGTAAGTATGTATGTACGTACGTACGTATGTATGTATGTATGCGTATGTACGTATGTACGTATGTACGTATGTACGTATGTACGTATGTACGTACCTACGTATGTATGTACGTATGTATGTAGTATGTTTGTATGTATATATGCATGCATGCATGCATGCATGCATGCGTGCATGCATGCATGCATGTATGTATGTTTGTATGTATGTATGTATGCATGCATGTATGCATGTATGTATGCATGTATGTATGTATGTGTGTGTGTACGTACGCACGCACGCACGCACGCACGTATGTACGTATGCATGCATGCACGCATGCATGCATGCATGCATGCATGTATGTATGTGTGTGTCTGTGTCTGTGTTTGTGTATGTATGCCGGTATGTCGGTGTGTTGGTATGTCGGTATGTCGGTATTTCTGTATGTCTGTATGTCTGTATGTTTGTATGTCATACAGACATATGTCTGTATTGCCTGTATTGTCTGTATGTGTGTATGTATGTGTGTATGTATGTGTGTATGTATGTATGTGTGTATATGTATGTAGGTATGAATTTTTAGTAGGTATGTATGTATGTATGTAGGTAGGTAGGTAGGTAGGTAGGTAGGTAGGGATGTTTTCATTGCTTTAAAGCTTCTTTTTTTCATATTATTGATTTACTTTAAATATACATATATATATATATGTATCATACACTTCCCCAAAGCTCACAAAAAGGCAGCACACACCGCACATAGCAGTGGATTCTGCATTAAGATCCATAGGGCGGCACCATGTATATATATATATGTGTGTATATATATATATGTGTGTATATATATATATGTGTTTACTTTTTTGTAAAACACGTTTCTTGTGCATTTGTTTGGTTATTTGTTTATTCATATATGTGTGTATGTGGCATGTACGTATGTATTCATTCATTTATTTTTATAATGTATTTACTTACTTATGTATTCATCTATTTTTTGTTTATTTGTAGAATTAGTTTGTTATTTGTTTATTCATGTATTTATTCATGGTTTTAGACCTAGCGTTTTTTTTCCACTCATGTTATTTTTTGCATGTACAGCATTAGGGCTTTTCCTTTTCGTCTGCAAGTGCATGTATGCGTGTATATATATATATATATATGCATATACATGTCTATGCACACACGCACACGTACAGCATTAGTGTTTCCCCTTTGACCTGCAACGCAACTTTTGTTGCAAGGTGACCTGCTGCACTGACGCACATCATGCAGAGCTGAGAGTTCTGTGGGTTTCCAAAGGATTCCTGCTAGGCTGCCCCCTATTTTGGCACACAAACCCAAATATGTAGGCGGCCTCATTTGAGCGATCCTCGGTTAGGCTGATTGTCCTCTTTGTAATCCGAAGCAACACAGGAGTGTTCCTACATGTGGGAACCTTATGTTGATGCTTGAAAGCATGGGGAGGGACCACTTGCCGCCCCTCGTTTGCGCAACTTGAGAAGCACGCCAAAAGCTCAGCAGTCCACACAATACCCCTCGAAGCGACCTCTGGCTGATTCCTATCTGTTTTGTTTTTTGGCTACCCTTCTTGGCATTGGGTTCAGAGGAAGCCAAAGGCATACGCCCAATTTTGAACCAAACCCATTTGGCTGTTGCGGGCTGAACCGCAGAGTTTCAGGAGCTGCGGGAGCTGCTGGCCAAGCAGCTGACGGAAGCGGAAGGACAGGAGGCGAGGGACTGAGGGGGAAGGGGTCTAATACTTATGCAACTCAACTTGTGAGTCAACTTGATGATCTTAGTTTATGCTCCGGCAACTTATTTCCATATGACCAGGACTTTCTTTAGTTTCAAGGTCCTAAGGTTCCCCACAGAAGGCGGAGGAGGGTGGCAGAAGGGGCGCTTCAACAATAATGGCAGACGAGCGCCAAAGCCTTTTTTTTAAACTTCGCGCAAATCTGGAGAACTGTATTGGGGCGGCTCTTTCGGCAGCCTTGCCGCGGGGCAGGCGGCGCTTGCTCAACAACACCGGCGACAATCATTGATCTTCATTTCTTATCCCAAGCAATCACAGTGGCAAGACTCGCCAGACGCGACCACTACTTGCAACGGACAGCTTTTCAGAAAGGTGATCTTCTACGCGGCATGGGACTGGCCGCAGGTGCTGGCGTCGCAGGTCATGGTGGCGGACGGCGCCAAAGCGCTGGAGGCTCTGCTGTGGGAGCTCGATGAGGCGATGTGCGGCTGGGACTCCGGGCTCGGGTGGGGGTCCGAAGTGTTCGATCAAAGGGGATGTGCAGTGGACATATGATGTTGATGTTAAAGTAGAAGGCAACCTCCGTGGCCTCGCAGGCAGCCAGGCGCACGCCGCAGGACTGAGGGTGGGACTGCAGGGGAGTTTAGCCCAAAGACCTGAAGGATTTAGACTTGGAGAAGTTTTGGCATTGCCGGCTACCAAAGATATGGCAGTGACATATGTGTATAATGCATATATAGATATATGAGAACATTATATGGCATGTTTGCCGTTGAAGGATGTCCTGCGGCTTTTGCCACGGCTGAGTCATACAGGTTCCTCGTAAACAGGGCGCGTGCTTGGTTGTCATCAACTCTTGAGATCATCTTGACTTGGTCTCTACGGCTGCAGGAACCAAGAGAGGCCGCAGCGGGAACCTGTCGGGTGCGTGGGTGGGTGGGTGGATCATTTGAGGCTCGCAGCTCTACTGAAAATCTGTCTGAATGATGTTTTGGCTGCCATCGGCTGTTCTGCGCTTTCTTGATGCGGTGGCACCGCTGGTGCCTTCTTGCCAGTGGCATCGATTTTTTCTGGAGATGTGCGACCTGTGCTCGGGGCATAAAGAAACGCTTGTCTCGTCAGAGGTTTTCCCAGGTCAGAGTTTGGGGGCCAGGGCAGGAAACCGGTTGAACTCAGGCCAACAGATCATCACCCGTGAATGTAGCAACAATCATAGAGATGCCCGCCGATGCATGTTTCCCTTGAGAAGCAAGCAGGTGCGTCTTGTTTTGCAGAATTTGCTCGTAAGGCCAGAGACACGAGCGAAGCTTGCATGGCCACCTCTAGAAAGCTGACAGCCAGCTGCCTTGTCCCAGCAGGGGGTCCGCCTTTCCCTCCGGCCAGCTGCTGTTCGAAGCCGAGCCAACGTCCAATCGGACATCGTTTGCCCAGAGTTCCGGAACTCCTCTCATTTTTGGGCACGGAAGAACGGCGTCAAAGTTGCAGCCCTTACAGGGCAAAGCCGGCCGCCCCTCCGCCCGTCCGGATACGCATCACTTTGGCAGGTGCTGGTGGTGGGCTGCTGCCCTGAGCAGTGGAGCACCGCATTGGACGCCTGGCAGGCGAGGTGGACTCGGGTGGTGGGGAGTTGGGGTTGCTGTTTGCCAATATTTTCTACAAATCGGTTTGCTGGCTGGCTTTGGGGGAAGCAAATGGGGAGGGATTGGGGGTTGGCGCCGTGGCGAGGTGAGGCACTACTTCCCCAGCGGGGAGTGCTTTGAGGCGCTGGACAGAGGGCCACCGCGGGGTCGCGGGGTGGGGGTGCATGACTGGCCTACTTGCAGGCCGCGTCTTGAAATGCGCCATTTAAAGGGGATGATGTGCCTTTTGTTTCCCTCCAAACACAGTGGGAAGGGTTGCCTCGAAGTGAGGGAGCCCCAAACATGGATGGTTTCGTTGTGGCGTCCTTTGAAACATGTCAAAGGGGCACCCTAAAGGCAGTTGGCCCAGGAACCAACATGAATCCCTGGATTTGAACGAAACCCAGTTTAAAGGGACTGTCACTTTTTCCTGGCTTCCCTTAGGTTTCCCTTGGGTTTCCCTTGGGTTTCCCTGCTTTCAGGACCCCTTGCTCCCACCCCTTTTTGAGCTTCGGTGGCGTTCTCAGGTGGTGGCCGCTGATGTGGCGGCCCACGTCACGGGGCGCACGGTGGCGGTGCTCCTGCCGCTCTACGGCCTCGCCACCGGCGTGCCGCCTTGGGCCCTGGCTCTGTCAGCTATTGAACCAACAACTCCTCGCGATTCCCTGCTCTTTTTGGCGGTCCCCTTTGCACCTTGGTTGAAAGGGAAACTAGAAAGGAACAGCAGCATGTTGAGGGTCGCCCTTCCAAGGTTGAAAGCGGTCGGAAGCGAGGGCTTGCAAGACACTTTTGAACACGTCCGCATGGGGTGCAGCAGTGTGGGATTCCCATCATTGACGCTGGACTGGCCGCCTTCTGTATCCACAGTGAGCAAAGGCAGGTTTGGAGTTCCCTTGTGTCCATCCGACCACCAAGAGGCACAGGTCGTTGTGTTCCCCCTGCTTGGATTGTTCAAGCACTTCTTGGCGCATTTTTTTTCCGAGATTCGTTGTGGCGTGGTGTTCAAATGCCCCGCCCAACACACTTCCCTTCTCTTCGACCAGAGGGAAGAGTAGGTCGAACGTTTCTGGCGTCGCTTTGCATCGAGGCTGACCCAGGCGGAGCTGGCGCGCCTGGGCCACTTTGTGGACTTCGAGGCGAGTCAGGGGACACAAGCGGCTGACCCGTGGATTGAAAGGTCCGACCTTGAGAGGCGGTGTGTTTTCAGAGTGGGTACCCTTCTTGGACGCTTGGGATTTTATGGGGCTCGGTTTCAAGCCGGGTGTGACAGCGGGAAGATAGGGAAAAAGCGGCTCTTGTATGAGTGCATGTGGATGTCCCAAAATTGGGGTGGGAGGGGGCGGGGGAGATCTGCTTTGGGATGGTTGAAGGGAAAGCAAACGCAAACGCACGAGGACAATTTTGGTAGGGGTCCTCTCCGTTTTGGGACAACCCCAGATGACATGCCGAGCAGGAACGCCTTTGCGGCCGGAAACGTAGCTCGCAAGTCAGGATTTGTGCCTGGCATCATTTGTAGTGCGCAACCCGCGAATGCTTTGCATGGCAAAGCTTCTTGCTGTCGAGATTCCATTTGCGTAGGAATATGTTATATTTTCCTCTGTTGGTTTTCACCACTGACAGGGGACTGAAGCAAATGGAGGTAAATTGACAATGTAGTTACAGGAACCGCCCATTTTGGTAGTACAGAACGGCGCGCATGAACCTGCGCGTCGGCTGAACGTTCCACTGCACCTTGTAGTTTATCCATTCTCCTTGTTGCATCACGGAGCTCCAGCTCAGCGGCACAAGCTTCCAGGAGCGAGCCCTGCTAACCCTGCCGACCTGTGCGAAGTCACTGCGTCCGTCGCCTGACGGCTGTGTGCCAGACGGTCAGCAAGAGTGCGATCTCTCATTAAGTGGATCATCTCGTTCCCCGGGCATGCAGCCGTCACAGAGTCAGGGTCGCCAACTGGTGCTTCTTCAGAAGCATGGCAGGCATAGCATCAGAATGCACCATAGAGCTTCTCAGCAAGCAGCCGTGATCTGGACATTTGCTTGCTGATAGCCAGATTTCTATTTTCAGCTTGGTCTCCAGAACGACCACCTCCCAGAGCACAATTCCGGCGTCTTTGCCCAAAAGATGCGTTTCATTCAATCTCTCTGGAAAATCTCAGCCACAGCCAGAGCATGCGGCTGAGACTTATTGATTGAGTTGGCAGGTCTTGCACTTTCTTCTGTAGTCTGTAGCAGGTGTTGTTCGCCACTCTGAAAACTCCCGAAGATTGTTTGACTTCTTGCTGTTTGTTTGTTTGTTTGTTTGTTTGTTTGTTTGTTTGTTTGTTTGTTTGTTGGTTGGTTGGTTGGTTGGTTCTTTCATTTTTGTCTTTGGTTTTGTAATTTCGATGTTTGTTTGTTCAAGTTCTTGCCCCTGGCTTCGTAATTTCGTTACATGTTCCGGGAACGATTTGCAGCATGTCTGCAATTTTTCTCTCTCCAGGCGGCCCGGCGCCGGAGCTCGGGCGGTTCTTTGCCTTTGGCGCTGCTGGTGGACGTGGGGCTCCGTGGCTCGGCGTCGCCCCCCTGCGCGCAGGATGAGCAGATGGCCAGAGGTGACCTTTTTTGTTTGGTTCGATTCCTGGTTTGCCTGGTGGTTCAATCAACCGGGGCCATCTATTTTCCAGAAAGGACGCCTATTAACATCGCTTTGGCGGTTGTCATACTTAGCTTTCCTGTTTCACTTCACAAACCCTTTTGGGTTTGCCCTTTCAACCAGCAAAAGATTCACTTTCTGCAGGGGGTCTAAGTCGGGCTTGTTGGAGAGGGACAGGAATTGGTTCTGGAGGCACAGAGGGACGGGAGTTGGTGCTGGTAGAGCCCGTGGTTGCGCAGCCTATGTGTTTGTCTTAAGCAGACGATTTGGGCTTGAATCAGCCAGAGACTCTGGAGCTGGGCATGTCAAATCGCGGAGGTTTCCTATTTCAGTGTGAAAGAAAGTGTTTTGCGCAACACAAAATGACATTGACAACTCCCGGTTTGCGAAGGAGCCTAGTGCAAGAACTGGTTTTCGAATATGTTATGAAGCCGAAATAGCAAATCCAGTTCCCTAGCAATACCCAAGACGCAAAGACCAGTACAGCACCATCCTGGATGTCTGGTGTTTTACAATTGCAATGTGTGCTATCAATTGATTTGCGGTGCTTATCGGTGCACTGGCTTGCGTTGCCTGGCCACCTGCTTTTGCACGTCGAGGGATGCACACTATGTGCTCAACTGGCCTTTGCTTGAGCTCAGGCTTGCGCCTAGCTTCTGTGCGCCTGTTCAAAAGTCCTAGCTTCTTCGGATTTGTCATCTAGAGTCTACTCTAGACAGGGGAACCCTCGGGAGGGGTCCCTTTGACTTCTCTTCAGTCCAACCTCAAAAAGGATATGCTCCCAGCAACTCACATGGAACCGGACTGGAGGCCCCTCAAAAAACGCACGGTTTGTCCTCTACAAGTCTACCTTGTGGGTTCCAACCTGAGAGCTCTCACAGGATCTCTGCAGCTTGACGCGCAGGCAGAGTGTCGCTTGGCTGGTGAGAAAGCCGAGTTGGGAATCACTTGAAATCGGGGAACCTTTCATACAAACCAGCTACAGTTTTTCTTTTTTCTTTTTCACAGGACATGTTGCCAAATACCCAAAACAGTAGGATTTATGTTTTTTTTTTTTTTTTTTTTTTTTTTTTTTTAATTTTTTTTTTAAATTCACGGGCCTTTAGACACTCTTCAATCGCTCATGAGGTAGTTGCTTGTGAGAAATGGCATGAGCGTTGGCAAATATGCCGAATGCTATCAGCCAAGCAGACCAACAAGACAATCTAGATATGAAGCGGGTAAGTATTTGTGGTCTAGCGGGACACCTCCATGGCCTATTTTTCCCTGCGGCAAATTTCTGCAGATATACTTTGTCCGAGATTTCTACATGATCAACATGGTCATCACGCATACAGTACATCGGTCATCCTGTGTCGAGGGTGCTGACATAAGCTTTGAGATGCAAAGCTCATATCGACGTGAATGTCAATGTGGCCTCCGGCAAGCTTCCATGGAATTGCACACCAGACCAATGAGTGGCCGCATACTTGTCATGACGCACATCGTTGCGCTTTTTTTTTGGGCTCCCTTTTTTTTCACCCTTCATACTTGTTTTTTCAACCCTTCCTTTTTTTAACCCGACCTTTTTGGAACCTCTCAACGGGGACCTTGTTTGTCTAACCCTCAGGAGTCCTTTTTTTCCAACCCTTGAAATTGTTCTTTTCACCCTCAACCTTGCTTTTTTCACCCCGAACCTTTCTTTTTTCACCCTCCCCCCTGCCTTTTTCACCCTCGGCCCTGGTTTTGTTAACCCTCAAACTTTGGTTTGGCGCACTGGACAGCAGCTTTGGTGTGTAACAGGCAGAAGTTGTTCAATTTCTTATTGGTTTTTTGTCCTCGACCTTGCTTTCATCATCCCCGACTGTTTTTTACATCATCGGATTGAGTTAATCAGGGCAGTTTGCATGGGAAGATAATGATGGGTCACGAGTCACTTAGACAACGGGCTGGACAACGGTTGCACTCTGGTTATTGGTCCTATGTTCCTCGCCGCGTTGCTGTTTTTAGTTGGAGTTGTGAGCTTATGGCCCCATCCCACCTCTTGTAACTTCTCAATAATGCTTACCGTAGTTTCAGCCTTGCTTCTTTGTATCTTGAGTTTAAGTGAAGTTGTTCAGCGCATAGGTTATCCGTACACGGTTTGCTAGGTAGGCGTATTGATGCGGGCTGAAGCAGATGTTACTCAAGGCAGAAACGATGAAGGGAAGTGTTTGCGAGGTAGATAGGTTGACTGCGACCGATATGTGGACATCGCGTGCTTAAGGGGAGCTTACTCCAGCAGCGTTCGTGCGACTTGTGGTTTGCAAGATTAAACGAATGGCAAAAGCGTGGGCCACCTTCTTGTCACCATCCATACTTGTTGAACAAGGTAGCGCGAGCAGCGTCTCATGCGCGGAGTTTAAGGTAGCGGCGCGCGCACACTGTGAGTGGCCCGTAGGCTTCGGTCACAGGCCTCGGTGAGGCAGCAGCGTGCGCGTTGGCGGCTGTCTTCCCCTAGCTCAGCGCAGTTGGTTCAGGCCTCGGTCACAGGCCTTGGCGAGGCAGCAGTGTGTGCTGGCAGCTGTCTTCATTTATGTCAGTGCCATTGCTGCAGGCTTCGGCCACGTCGCCATAGAGCGGCGCAGTTGATGTCGCTGTCGGATACTCCGTCGAGCATGTCTTTCCGGTAGCAGGCTGTTGCCACGTTCCGCACAAGCAGCGTGAAACAGGGGCACCCCGCACAAAAGAGCGCGAAAGATAAAAGGCTGTTGCCACGTTCCGAACCAGCAGCGTCAAACAGGGGCACTCCGCACAAAAGAGAGCGAAAGATACATAGAGGGAGAGACAGATAAGAAGAGAGCAAAGGTGTAAAGGTGATGCAGAAAACTTCTTCCCATCCGCGAGTTTCAGACGCATCGCTCAGGCTCGGACGCAGGCGAACAAGACGAAGATTGCGTTGATGGGCGGGCTTGCGCCTCAGACTGAGCCCGTGTGCAGCAGTTGCAAGAGTGCTAGCAAGCGCGCGAATCACCAGCAGACAGTGGCATGCAAGCGCAAGCCGTGAATGGGTGGCTCGTGTTGGCTCAACGTGTCAGAACGACTAGCCACGGAACGGCTTTTTAGGTGCACGAACGGAACGTGTCTAGTGGGAGAGCAAACAGCTCATCAGCAGCATGGAGATGGCGATGTGCTACGCGGTGGCGTTCTTGGTCGGAGTGGTCATGGGCGCGATGGCTGCGGGCCCGCAAGTGCGCGGCGTTGTGGCGCGCGGCAAGGTTTTGAAAGTGAAGGGCCGCCGCCGCGGCCGAAGATGGCGGGCGTGCTGGGCACGCTGATGTTGCTACCAACAGTACAGGGGCTTTTGCATGGGGCTGCTGGCCTGCTGCAGGTCCCGCCAGCGATCGTGGCTTGTCTTGGCATTGCGGTTGCTGGATGGAAGTCCTTCTTGTGGGGCAAGAGGACGACCAGCTGGCAAGGATGTTCTGGCGCCAGGCAAAGTTATGCGGTGCGGGGTGGCGCGGAAAAGCAAGAACAAAGGCAAGAGTGCAAGCTTGAGCGCGGAGAGGAGCAGTTCGAAGGCACAGGCCTTTGCAATGCGGGCAACACATGCTACATGAATGGCGTCCTACAGGCTCTCTTCCATTCCAAGCAGTTATGCCTTAGGCTGCAAACACATGTTGCGCAGAGGAAGTGCGCGGCCGACTGCGCCACATGCTTGCTTTGGCAAACCAACGAACTTCGACTCTTTGGCCAAGCGGACCGTGCGACCATGGAGATGTGGAAGCCTTTCTTGCAAGCAGCTGGGCTAGGTGGCGGTGAGCAGCAAAGTGCTGCGGACTTTGCCATGTCGTTGTGCTCCAAGGCGCGGGGCAGCAAGCCGGTTGTGTATAGCGCCGGTAAAACTCTGCGAAACAGGAAGGTGCAGTTTCCCAAACACACTGGTAGACAGGGCGCGCGAAGATTTGCTTGCGGGCACACGGGGTGTCTTACACGGGGTGCCTTGTTTTTGCGGGCCCTTTCGTTGGGTTGCTCCACAAAGGACGCAGGGAAACTGCAAGTTTGAGGGACTTTAGCATTGAGATCCCGGGGTAGAGGACACTGTGAAAAGGTGCTTCGGAATGCAGGTGCTTCGCAGCAGCGCCACAAGTGCAGCGTGGACACCTGCAGGAGCTACAATGTCGCGCACAGCACGGAGATGACCGAGGCTTGGACAGTTCTCCTTGTTGAGAACACGCAGCGCAGTCGCGCCACTGCACAGGCGCAGATACAGCGCACGTTCCAAGGCCAGTTGCTGCCGCAAGCTTTGAGGTGTGATGCTTGTGGGGGCCAGAAGGACGTTCTTCAAGAGTCCAGGCCTTTGTCAGCGCCAGAGGTCTTGATTGTAAGTTTCCCTCGAAACGGCCACGTGGACCCGCACACAGGGCGATGGTGCAAGAATGAGCGCGAGGTGGACTGCACAGGGCCAGTGGAAATCAACGGCACCTTGTACAGGTTTGTAGCAATAGTGGAGCATATTGCTTTAGATTGCGGTGATGCTGAACAGGGGCACTTTGTGACATGGACCATGGAGGGTGGTAGCTGGCTCCGGTACGATGACACTGTGGTGACACGAATATCTGCTTTGCCGAAGAAGGTTGCCAAGAGCGTGGTGCTGGCTGTGTACGAGACTTGCGTCGTGACTAGCTTTGCGACAGAGCAGGCTGCGACTGGGTCAGTTGCTGATACGACACCCACAGACCCTGCAGCCAACGCGGAAGAGAATGAGCAGGAAGCATTGCCCCCGCAACGACAGAGCTGGCGTCCACTGTCCTGGACTCGCAGGCTGGGGAGGCACTGCAGTCAACAGCAGGGGTGGACGCAAAAGCGGAGAGCCTTGGCTTGCAGACCTTGCCCTTTGCGGAAACCGCTGATGGCACCCTGGAGTTCGAAAGGGATGTGGTCGCTGCCTTGTCCATCTTCCTAGCTGCGTTTCTCGCGAACCTGCCGGTCGACGTTGGGGTGGGGAATTGTAAGAATGGTGCGCATGGCTGCCTGCTCGCAGGGTGGAACCACACGAAACTGGGTAAAGAAAAAGCATTCAGAGTGTTGCTTGCTATGAGCTTAAGCAGAGATTTTGGCAATGGAGCAAGCAGACGTGAAGGAGCAGTTGCCTGCTGTGATTGCCGGGTTTGAAGCTGATGAGTTTGGCGGGAAGCAGGCGGTGGAGCTGCAGTACCCGCTGTGGCGGACAAGTTTTTACCCAATCTTGGTCCTCATGGAGGCATGGAGTCGGAGCACTGGCATGCCGACCGTGTTCTACTACGATGCTTTCTGCGCGCTTCTAATGGGTCTGCTCCACAAAGAGATCTGCGTGGATGTGGCGTACCCGGGTCGCAGCCGATACTGGGCCATTGGCGCAGCGCGCCCTGGAAGCGGGAAGAGTCCGGCAGTGGACCCGATGGTTGAGTGCCTTCGCAGCGTGTTGCAAGAGAATCTGCACCTCGCAGCTGGATGTGGCTGGGACAAGTTTCATTTGTTAGGTCCGGGCACGCATTGTGCGGCTGTGGACAAGCTAAAGGTGACAGATGGCTACGCCACGCTCATAGCTGGTGAAGGCGGCCCTTTGCTCTGCCCATCCTATCCTCAAAATGGCACTTGGGAATCAATCCACACACATCAACTTTTCCAGGTTCTTGGACAGCGCTACAGGGGGCGAGGTGCCGTGGGAAACTGCCATTGACCGCAAGGCCAAGAAAGAGTCGGCGGAGGACAAGGTTGTGCCGGTCAAAGGTGTACCCTTGCAGAACCTTTGCTTTGCTGCAGCAGCTGTCCGTGTGGCAGAACTGGTGGGTGGCTAGCGAGGTTCGTAGCCAAATTGGTTTGCCGCAGCGGTGCATGTTCTCATTCGGAGCTCTCCGGGATCCAGGCCCGCCTCGCCTGCAGGGCTTTGAGAAGCAGGTGGTGATGCCCATTCTGCGCCGCATCTTTCAATAGTCAATAGGTTGTAAGGCGCCGATGGCTATAGATGCGCCTGCAAGAGAGTGGAAGCTCACGCCGGCTCTGAAGGAGGTGTTCCACGCATACCGTCTGACTTGCCGGGATGTCACCAAACGCACTTTTTTTGGAGAGACGTTGGCAACTGGACTGCACAAGGCGCCTTATTGGGTGAGCACAGTGGCTCTTTTCGGAACTTTGATGGAGGAGCTGTGGCCCCTTGCGTGTGGGTGCCTGGGCCGCACTCACGTGCCGTAGGTAGGGTTTGGCTGGGAAAAGTGTCTATAGCTCAGGACCAAGACAACCTTGCCAACGTGGAGTGGCCAGCTTGCTTTCAGGAGAGATTTCTGTACGGCTTGGCTGTCTTGGAGGTGGATATGCGCAAGCATGGTCGTTCAGCGCGGCGCGCGCCGAAGCCATCTGTAGCAGAGGCCGTGGGTTCAATTGGGTTCAAGCTGCAAAATGCACGCAGTCGGACATGCTAGCCTTGACAACCACAAGACACGACCCATGTAAACTGCATGAAAACTCGAGTGCGGTGTGTTTGGGCGCACGGCAGGGCGTGGAAGCGATGGGGGAGCTCCTTCGCACCTTGGTGGGCTCAGGGTGGCGCGCAGAGTGGACGCGGCGGTGCGGCCCGCCCTTTCGCAACTTGCCGGCCCCGCTATGGAAAGAAGGCCCGTATGAGGAGGTCATGGCGCTGTTAGCGGAGCGTGGTCTTGGACAAGTGCGTGGGCAATGCTTCGACAATGGGCTTTGTCAAGTTCGCCTATTCAGTGTTGCCCAAGGAAGCCAAGGATTCGCTGAAGGAAATGGGCGTGCCTAGCTGGTCATTTGGGCCACCCAAAGCGGAAGCGCGTGATTGTCTGCAACCAAGGCACGGAGTTGTGTTCTTGTCTCGGGCAGTGTCTCGCTTCGAGGCGAAACTTTGCTTACCAGCCTCACTCTTTCCCATGTGGCTTGCAGGCAGCTTTGCAGCGAGAAGAAGGCGCAGCCGAAGCCGGCTATTGCTCCAAAGAGGCTGGGAGAGCGCAGGCTCCAAAAGGCGAGTTAGAGATAGGAGGGGCAGGCTGGAATTGTTCTTCTCTGCATTGAAAGTGACAGGGTTTGCTGAACCGCTGTTCACAGGCAAGTGTACCTTCATTGCAAGTTAGTTCGCTCCACCACTCATCTTTCAGACAATGGTCAATTGCGGCTGCAACCATGATGGGAGAGAGCTTTGAACACTAATATGATTTCGTGCGATTGAATGACTATTTTGTGGGTGCACCCAGCATCACCCAGCTTGGAAGGTCAGCGACGACGCCGACTGTAAAAGAAGGAGAGCCGCCTTGCGCGCCAGAGGAGGGCCCAAGCACACCAGCGGAGAGTTGGGCGATAATCTTTCACGGGAAGCCGTGCGATGGCGCAGATGTGGCAACCTACACAGGCTTGCGGAAGGCAGTGGAGCGTCTTCTTGGACGGCGGAAAGACCAAGGCATTTACACCTTCCATGAGAAGCAGTTGAAGAGGGACGGCAAAACGTTGCTGGGGATCTGCCAGCAAAGTGTGTGCGCCGGCTGCGCACGACAGGTGAAGGCAACCCTAACCTTCGAAGAGAAAGGGCCGCTGCTTTGCGTGGAGCAAAAAGGGTGCCATGGAAACTGCAGCCCCCGCGCGGCGGCTGCTTGTGGACATGCGAAGAGGCGTGCGCTTTGGAAGGGCTGGAGGAGAAGCGGCCAAAGGTCATGTGCGAGAAGCCTTGAAGGCCCAGAACTTGAGCCTACGATGCAGCAATACTCAACTGCACAACTTTGTAGTGCGATTCAACAACGCAGGCCCACCACGCTCTGCCAAGAGCAAGGTGACGTTGAGCGAGCTGCAAAGTTTGTCACACAAGCAAGAGCAAGCAAGACAAACAGGCTCGTGTTGTTGCAGTTGTAGAATTGTGCAGATGTGTACCGAGAGCAAGCGCCGTCAACTGCGCAGGACACCCAAGAACAAGGGCAAGAAGCGGGGCGCCTCGTCAAGCCCGGAGAGACCTGCCACGCCGGCTGCAGATTTGACAAGCACGCCGGACGGGAGCACCTTTGGCTACTGAAAAAAATTGTCCAGATTAGCCGCGAGGTGCCGACTGTGCAATTGTTCGATGCGGTCTGGCAATTGGCCTTCCCGTGGCTACGGAAGAAAAGTGCGCAAGCTGCAGAGTACTTTCAGCACACGTTCTTTCAGAAAGTGCCAGTTGGCAGTCTGCGACTTTGGTTCAGTGGCTTGTGGGGAGGGATCTTGGGAACCTACCCAGGCAGCAGCTCAGGAACGCAAACACTGGAGTCCTTTCATGCATACTGGCAAAGCAGCATCAAGGCCAAAGCAAGGGTATCACCGACAGAAATCTTTGCCTCTATGCAACAGCTGTTTGAAAACGATTGGGCATCCAGGTTTGCATGGGAGGAGGAGAAGACTTTCGTGACATGGCCCGCCCGCTCCGCAGATGCATTGTTCAACAGCAAAAGCCTGCGGCCCGCGGGCAGATCCCCTGCGAGGGATTTTTGGGAGCATCGGGAGCCGCGGCTGTGTGGCAATCGCAACTACCGCCAGGTCTACGTCTACATCCGCACTGGGGAAGCAGGCGGAACCGATGTGGACGGTGTGACAACTTTCTGGGTTCTGCAAAGCAGACTGCAGGGAGGCGTGATGCCTGCAGAGGCGGTCGCGACGCCGCAAGTGGCCGAGATGGTCGCAAACCTCATAGCTTCCGAAGGCCCGCAGCTCGAAAAATGGTTGTGCAAGGCTGGCATTGCCAAGGATGGGGAGTTGGAATTGAAAGCGTTGCAGAAGTACATGCAGCAGTACTGCGCAGTGTTGGAGGGGCATGTTGCACAAGCTTCCTGGCCCCGCGTGCGCCGCAAGCTGAAGAAACCAGTTCCAGGCAAGCTGTGTACATGCCGTGAGTTCTTGCTATGCAAGATGACCCACTGCCGACATGCGGAACATTTCAACCCAACGACGCCGGGGACGCAAACGCAAGACCAGGTGAAGAAGCCACTTTGCCACACGCCTGCAAGGAAGCCATTTGGCCACATGCCCCGTGAGACAAAGGCAGCGTAGTTTCATTGAAGCAAGTGTGCTACACCTGCCTTTCCAAGCTTTGCAAATACGCTTGTCTTCCCCTTTGCGGCTAGGCGGTGGGTGCGGCATCACGTCAAGAGCCCGGTTGCGCCAAGGTGCACCAGGCCCGTGAGTCAGGGCGGTCGGGGTGGATGGGGCAACACGGTGAAGCAACAAGTTGGTGTAGGCTTCGGTCACAGGCCTTGGTGAGGCAGCAGAGTGTGCCTGTGTGTGTGCCCTGCAGCTGTCTTCCTTTAGCTCAGTGCAGCTGTGGAAGGCTTCGGTGCAGCTGTGGAAGACTTTGGAGCCTTGAGCTGCGAAAGCCTTTTGTCGCAGGTCTTGGTGAGGCAGCAGTGCGTGTGTGTGTGTGTGTGTGTGCGCTGTGGCTGTCTTCCTATAGCTCAGTGCAGCTGTGGAAGGCTTCGGTCGCAGGCCTCGGCGAGGCAGCAGTGTGCGCGCGTGCAGCTGTGTTCCTTATCGCAGCTTAGCGCAGTTGCCGAATGCTTCGGTTACAGGCCCATCAGGGCAAAAGGCAGAGGGGTTAAAAGGCAGAGGGGTTAAAAGGAAAGGGTAGAGGGTTGGAAAGAAAGGGGGGAGGGTTAGAAAAGAGGGGTGCGAGGGTTGAAAAGAAAGGGGGGAGGGTTAAATAAAAAGGTTTGAGGGTTAGAAAAAAAGGGAAGGGTTGAAAAAAAAGGTTCGGAGGGTTGAAAAAAAAGGTTCCCCTGTTTTTTTGCCTGGGCCAAGAAGGAAGTCAATCACGTTTTCTCGTTTTCTTTGCTCCACATGGCCGCGGGCGGCCAGACCTCTTCCAATTGCCTTTTCAATGCCATCCCCAAAGGAACCACCGGAGACGAAGGAGAAGACGCCAAGCAGGGCCCGAAGCAGAAGCTCAATCGGTCATATGTCTACTCTCCCTGGAAACGGGTCCTCTACACTTGGGGGGTGTTTCTGTAGTTCCACCCAGCCCGCCTCGACCCGCTGCTCACCGAGGTTTGCCGGTTTTGCGGCACTGCCGCAGCTGCGCGCTGCTGGGGGACCTCTTCGGCGAGTGGAGCGCAGCACCGAAGCTCCTGGCGCAGTTTGCGGCTCGGCAATGCGTCCCTGGGGCGGGATGCCTGCGCGGGTGGGGTATGTGATTTCCATATTTCGGCTTCAGTGATAGCTGGGGCCCTTTAGCTATGGTAAAGGTTTCTGAAGGTTTCAGGGCAGATCCGGGCAGATCGCAGCAAAATCCGGAGGTAGTTTGAGTGAACTGGGGCGATCGAAGCGTCTGGGGCGCACCAAGAAAACGCAAAATGGGTTGCGCCACTAATTCTCCAAGGATTGCTATTGCTGGATTCTCATTGCAAAGGTTTCCATGTGATGGACCCCTGTTGACTGGCTGTCAAACTTGTTTTTTCTCAGTTTGGCCCATGATTGAAGAATCTTTCCAGCATATAATTGCATTCTTCTAGTGACTTGTTGGTGGGCTATTCCTTTCCCAGATTCCTGACTGAGAACAAGCGAGTCAAAGGGACTCCCGGTTGACCATCCTGGTCGAACGAAACCGGCATGCGTTTGCAACATGTGGAAATGCAAACCTACATAATTTCAATGGTGCGCTCTTTCAGATACATATTCTGATGCGCACCCGACTTTTCAAAAATACGCAGCGAGGCCCAGAGTGGTTGCGGAGTTTGTCCATTTGGCAGTTGTTGTGATTGGACAAGTGTGCTGAAGAATGGCTATGATACTTAGGGCCATGTGATCACTCTTGTCTGAGCATGGAGGTTCTTTCCAGCTATGGCACCTTCGCCATTGTCGGGTTTTGCAAAGTTAAAGTTGTATATTATTAGAACACAACCAAAGCAGCTGAGAGGAAGCGAGGGGCTCGACTGGGCAAAGGTCGCTCTAGGCGCCGGCCTCAGCCAGTACTGCCCGCGAGCTGCGCCCACAGGCGCCTGAAGGGAGAGTGGGGCACACGGGCATGGGTTAAACCAAATGCCAAAAGGGTGTCCTTAAAAATAGACGTACACACACGCGTGCTTATCACACACACACACACACACCGTGCGAGCGGGGCACCTTGAACTAAGTCATACGTATGTTTGATTGTCCAGTTGTGTTTCGGCCACCTTTGTGTCACTCATGTTTGGACGTTTTTTTTTGATGATGGATTGCACAATGTCCTTCACCTGTGTCGTCAGCAGATAGTGCTGGATAAGAAGGTGGACCCCTGGCAGTTTCCAAGAAGATGATCCTTTTCGGAAAGCAACCGGTCCAAGTATATGTTTTGCATATTGACATGGTTGTGCTATGAATCATTAGGCCGGAGGAATTGTCAGCCCGTGTGTGGTTTGTTTGTTTGTTTGTTTGTTTGTTTGTTTGTTTGTTTGTTTGTTTGTTTGTTTGTTTGTTTGTTTGTTTGTTTGTTTGTTTTTTTTGTTTGTTTTGTTTGTTTGTTTGTTTGTTTGTTTGTTTGTTTGTTTGTTTGTTTGTTTGTTTGTTTGTTTGTTTGTTTGTTTGTTGGCTTGTTTTCCTCTCTGAGTTCTTTTGCCTTTGCGGACTCGGCCCCAACCTAGACTTGCTTTTCAACTCTAGGTGCCAAAGCTAAACATTTGCTTAAGGATGAGCCTCCGGGGAGCAGGTCCTGGCAATATAGGAGTCCGTGGGAGTCGAGCAGGTCAGGGGTGTATCAGGTAACCCAGCCCCGAGACTTGATTGCCGAGGCTACAATCAAATCTCCAAGCCAATCCTGAGTCTCGTCCTAAGCTTTGCCCACACCCAGCATCGCCCACCCGAAGCTGAGGTGAAGCTGGGCACCAAGTGGGAAGAACCACGAATGGTTGAAGAACCGAAGAACCGTTTAGTTTTATGAACCCAGTTGTTGTCTTCGAAGTCTGGTTGGATCTGTGAGACTTTTTGTGACAAGTCTGGCAGTCGCGCTGGTGCAGCGGCTGGCAGCACAGCTGCCGTTGGAGCCCCGGAGTTTGGAGGGCCTGCGCCGGCGCCGCCAGATCCTGCTGGAGGTTGGGGTTGGGGTTTGGGGGTTGGGGTGAGGCCTTTTCTGGGTGCGGGGTTTGGTGGCGTTTGGTGCTGTTTGGGCTTGGGTGGGTGTTGGTATGTTTGGTGGGTGTTGGTAGGTGTTGGTTTGGTGGTTGTTGGCACGTAGGTTTTGGTGGGGTTGGTGGGTTTGTTTTGGCAGTCGACTTTGTTTGACGCCCCTGTTTGTGACAACACCCCATTCCAGCTGCGCAGGCACTGAGCCGTGCGGGCCTGCAGGTGCTGGGGAAGCCCCGCCCCTTGGACACTGAGCCGGTGAATCGGGGGAGTGGCCTGGATGTGGCAAAAGGATTTGGATGTTTAGGATTCCAGATGCAGGCGTTTGTTTAGCAGCTTCCAGGGGTGTGCTTTTGAACGCGTACAACCAGGAGCGAGGTTCAACAAGCCCCTCAGTCATTCGGGATTTCCATGGTGGGTCCACAAGAGCTATTCTCACCCCTTCAAGGTTCTAGCCGCTACATTCATTGGACAGGCTTTTTCCATTTGGGCTTCCCCACCCCGGAAAGGGAAACACGCACCCGCATTAATGCCAGCTTCACTGCCGCCCAAAGGGCACTCTGCCAGCCCGGCTGCCAGAACTCGCCGCGCGACATGATTTTCAGGAGATGCGACATGCAAAGACGTCTTGTTCTTGGCAACGCGCCGTTCCTCCAGCGACTTGTCTTCTCAAATTGAAGCCGTGTCGAGGAATCTTGTGCTCAGGTGCTGGGGGCCACATGCTGGCGAGACTGCCGGAAGACATTGCAGAGTCCGAGTACTGCACCTTGGCAGCGGTTCCCTTGTGCGAAAGAGGGGCTAGTCTTCTCTGGCACTCGATTGCCTCATGCCCTTATCCAGAAATCAAACTGTGAAGGCTCCTTGACACAATCATGGTTGCTTTCTAAGCTTCATGAGGGCTTTCGCACTGCGTTTTATGACGCCGACACATTGGCACCTGGCTCAATGTACATTGGGTTTCCGGTGGGGACGAGCAGGGATGCGTGGCGCCCTGACATTTTAATACAACAAGGACAAAGCCGTACTTGAGGCCGCTCAGCGGTGCGCAACTGTTTTTTCCTCAACATGCCACTGGTGGGCTCAAAATGGCCCAGCGTTCCTCCCCCTCCACCTTTTCGTTTTTTGCGTCACTGCCCCGTCTCTCAACATGGTTCCTGATAAACCCTTCGGATCTGCAAGAGATGCAGGCGAGGCGTTGGCACGGCATGGTGTGCCGGCGCAGCAGGGCACTTTGCTGGGCTGTTCCTTGGCCTGGGGAGGGGCCAGGGCGACGAAAACGTGGAAATGTATTTCTCTTTCGAGGTATTCCAACTCTTTTTCCCCAACTTCACCAACTTGGAAAAAGGACGTTCCTGGCTATATTGCTCGTGCCAGGGTGGCCAAGGGAAAGGATGAAACACCACGACCAACGGTCACAGTCTTGGACCTTGGCTCACCTGTTTGGCCGCTTTACCGCGGTCAATCTTTTTTCAGACGCATCTCGTTTTGGACGAGGGACAGCTTGGCATTTGAAGGCTTGCCAACCCTGGGCTTGAGGCCTTAATGGCAAGAGCTGACTGTTTGGGTATTTTGCTTGCGCAGAGGATATCCTGTGTCCGGCTGGTCTGGTTGGGCATGTGAGACACTTCGCAGGGGCCGCAAAGGGTTGCCTTGCCTTTCAAAGATTTGTTGAGGGAGTTTCTGCCGGGCTTGAAGCGGGAAGCCATTCATTCTTGTCAACTTTGATGCGGGAAGTTGGCGTCTGGCTCTCGGCCTCCGCGAAAAACGCATGCCTCAATGAGGCCCTGGTTGTGTGCGGCTCTGCTTCTCCTTGCGATTCGACCTTCTGGAGGACTCGGCAGTCCGTGTCTTTCTGGGTTTGGCATCGCATGAGCGACTGTCTGCCAAGTGGGTGTGTCCTGAGACAGGGAACCCCCAAGTTTCTTCTGTGGGTTGCAGAGGTCATTCTGTCGAAAATGCAGTTACATGGCTTCAAGCAGCGAACACACAGCAACGATGCATCTATTTAATTCAAACAGAGAAGATGCCGAATCTGCTTGACCGCGCTGGTGACCTCATCGCTGTTTGGCAGTGCGAAATCGCTTCGACTACAAATCTGCTCCCTTGGACACACCGTACAGTTCAAGCTGACTGTATGCTTGTTGTGGCACACATCCTTGCTTGGGACGGCTTGGGTGGAACCCCAATTGTCTTGCTGGGACCGACTGGGAGGATAGAGCAGGAAGGAAGGATTCCATGTGTTGAGGGCAACCATTGACTTGACAAATGACGGTCCAGGGAGTGCGAGAATTCAGCACCCCCAAGCATTGTGGGCATCTGTGTGATTCCCCTTCAAATTAACCTGAAAAGGGAACCCTCAACACACCATAGGGACCCCTGTTGGAGTTCTGCAGGACTCCGTGCCGCTCTTTGCGCAGGCGGTGCAGGAGGCAGTTTGGTGGGGATGTCGCCAGTTGGGCGCTGCTTTGGGGGTTAGTAGCCGCAGGTGCAGAGGGGTCGTGTACCTGGGGTCTCCTCCAAAGTTATTTACATACTGCCGAGCGCCCGAAGCTCTCGCGTTAAGAAAGGAAAAGCACTTTGGGGGCCATGGGGGGCAATGGTAGGATCGTTTTTTTCCGGAACTCTGGTTGTGTCATTCGCCACGGAGTTTGTGAGTGGTTTCCTGGTTGTCACGATTGAGCAAGCCAAAGATGGGTTTGGCTTCTTGTTGGTTTTCTGTTGGTTTGCGTTTTCATGGTCCACAAGAGCTGAGCATTCACACTTCACATGTCCCGTGAGGTTTTGGCCTTTTGCTTGTATGCTGATTGCTCAAGCCGCCAGGTGCGGCGCAAGACCTTCATGGTGAAGCCGCAGGTGGAGGGCCTTGAGGGCCGCAAAGAACGGACATAATTGAAATGATTCCCAGAAGTTTATGCATATATATATATAATACAAACCACTTGTGGGCCCCAGGGGCGTCGGCTTGAATGGGGATATATGGTTGTCACGAGAGGACGAGGATGAAGCTTCAACTCGAGCGTTACTGGGACACAGGTTTGCTTGGGGTGTTGCAACAACCTGAACCAACCATTGGACATGTGGCACAGGGTCAATAAAATCACAGTGTCAATAACACAACTGTATGTGCCTTGTTCCCCTCAGTCAGGGTGTCATGAGTTTGTTTTTTCCTGCTTGTTCGAACGTCCCTCAATCTCCTGCGACTTTCCCCCACTTGGATTTGTCGAGCCATGAGCTGCGCTGTTCTTTTTCGCTCAGCAAAGGATGAGATGCCATGCAATAAGGGGGGATGTGCGAATGTGATAGGAAACCTTCCAGACAGTTTTCGTTTCTTCTTTTTATATGTTGGTTTGCCTTTACAATGAACCAAACAAAAGTGGCCTGGTTTTGAAACATACACTTTATAATGTTGGCAGCCTGTGACCCCGACATGTCATTGATAAATCTCGCAGATTTTGAATGCTGTCTACTGTCCAGGAAGTGAAGTGTTGACCTCTAGACTGGACTCAGACACAAGAAAGGCTATTCACTTAGTGTCACTTTACCCGACTTGGGTATGAAGTCGCATCATATCACATCAGGGCTGAAGTGTAAGAGACATCCCGGCTCTGTGGGTGACCTTCAAAGCACTGCTTCTGCAGCAAAGCCCAGGCCGTCAGCCTCTGAAATATGGGTGATTCGTTTCCTCAGTTCCTGTCTTCTCGTATCATTTCATGGAAATGACAATGGGAGAAGATAATCCTGATAAGAAGCGTTCATCTCTGTCTCTCTACTCTTTCCTATCTCATTCCTATGTCATTTCGCACCTCGGGGAAGATCCAGGAGATGAAGTGAGATATGGAGACGTAGAAAGTAAACCGCCTGGAGCGTCACCATCCTTACATATCTTTTCCCCACCCAACCTCTTCTCAGAGTCAACCGTTGGGTGGCCGCTTCTTCCTTATCTTCCATCACCAGAATCCAGAATTGTTATTAGGTGTGGAAGGGTGGTTAAGGAAGAATGATGTGGTCTGTCTTTCACTCATGGAAAACACACATCCCTTTCTGGAATGGCTTTTGAAGTTCAACACACGGGCATTCAACCATTTCCGGGGCAGAGACGCTTTTTGAGGAAGCAGCTGCATAATTAAATTGTTTTCCTACCTGGTCTCCGGTCTCAACCTTGTGGGAGGTTGGGTTTGCTCCGCAGGCGGAGCCGAAGGAGCACACCGAGCCGAAGGTCCCAACGGAGACCGCGCCGGAGGCGGGGATTTTTAGTCGGTGGTGTTTCGGGATGGCTGATGCTCCACCTTAAACCATGCAAGAAAAGCAGCAGAACACCGGACTTCAAATTGTAGTCCCTTTCAACTGGATGCTCTAGGAGGGGGGTTGAAGAGCTGGTGCGAACCCTGGTTTAATTTTGGAGAGCCGGTGCCAACATCTTGTTTGGAGAGCCGGCAGGGAGAATACGTGCTTCAGTGACATTGATGGTCTTGATCATTTGGCAATGCAGTTTCTGAGACTGTTTCAGTGGGCGAGCAGGCACTGCGTAGGTCTTCAATGGACGGATGACTTGCCCCCCCATCTCAAACCACCTGCGTTTGTGGGGCTGACTTAACAAAGACGAATGTTGGAGAGAAGTCACTTGATGCATTTCTAGCAGCGTTCTGATCTGCATGTGCTCACTGCAAAGCGACATACTGAGGCCCGAGTGTCTCATCTTCCATGCCTCCGGCCCATTTGTTGCAGACAGTAGCCTAATGTTCAGGATTTAGTTCATCTTTCTTTGTTGAAGTCTGGCCAGTAGCCAGGTTTGTATCCTTTGGCAGGTGACTGCAGTGGACCTGGCGCGCTCCAATGAGGCAGTCGCTGGGCCTGAGGCGGGAATCGTTCAAAGAGAAATGCCAAAAGGCAACTCGGGCATTTTCAGGGGGTCACCTATTTAAGAAACCACCTACATATCAGCATGTGAGCAGAGTGTTTGTTTAGCATTGTGGCATTCGAAGATGCAGAAGCTCCGCCTATGCAGATCTGGTGCATAGCAGGAGTGCGTAGCCACTCTGTGTAGACTGTCGACTGGATTCTGCGCAAGCAGTTGTGTGTAAGATTTGTGCCTTGCAGGGTTTGCAGCGTTGCCGGGGTGGAATCGCTTTGACTTGGGTGCAACCCTTTCAAACACACGCATTGCAGCTTCGTGTCTCCACCTTGCCTCTGCACTCAGCTGCCCCCACTGCTCAATCTGTGTAACCGCGTAGGCACTTTCTTCCCATTCCCGCAACTGCAGAAGTTGCATGCGCACGCTTCCTGCGTGGAGGCCCTTTGCTCCTCTTTCAGTGCTACTCAGTACTCTTTTTGGAGATTTCAGGAAACCTTTTCACCGATTTCGAAAGAAAGCCGACATGAAACAAGCCATGCTCGGGGGGGATGTTTCCTCGCTGAGCGCCTGGCACACGGTCCATTTTCATGATATGCTGCCTGGGCTCTCGTCACGAATCGGAGGCCCTGCATGCGTTGCAGGTGGTTGGCCCACGCCCATCGCTCCGTTTCTCACAACGGACCCTTTTTTGGGGCGGCTTTGAAGAAAAACAACGGAAGCAAACCCGGACATGCTGGGATTCCCCCATAGCCAGTCTGGCAGCCGAAGAGACGTCATCCCCATTCAACTTCTGCCTGCGAAGTTTGTCCGACTCATCCGCTCCGAATCTGCCCCATGCCCGTGTACGGGTGTTCAGCTCCTTGGTCCAAGAGTTGTCTCAGGCTCTTTGGGTTGTCTCTGCTGGCCCTGCTTAGCTGGCTTTCAAGAGGAACCAAAGGAACCATTCATTTGGAGGTCTAGTCTTGAGACGCTTTGCTGGCGAAACGAACCGGCCATTTCTGGCGCCACCACGTTGGAGTGGTTTCTTGCTGAGATGTACATGTGCTGCTTGGAAGCCCGCAATGTCTGTCGTAATGTTGATCTTGGATAAATGCACCTCATTCAGATCCGGATTTTTTCCTTTCAACGCCGCCAGGAGCCTTCGCCGCCTGAAGCGAAGGCGGCCGAGGAAGCTGCGGAGGCCAGAGAGGCCGGCACGGAGCCGAAGGCGGAGGAGACGAAGGCAGAGGAACCGAAAGTGGAGGAACCGAAGGTGGAGCCGAGCCCGGAGGCGCAAGTACCCCCAGAAGAGGACGGAGTTGAGCCGGGTTTTTCCCATGATGAACTCAGCAATTTGAGTTTGGGAATCTAATTTTCAATGGGGTTCCTCTTTTAACAGCCAAACCTTGGAGCTCCGAATCTCAGAACAATGATTAATTCACGCAGGTAGGCAAATTGGTCGAAGGGTCCACACTGTTTTGTCTTTTCCTGGGATCAACTTTCGAATGCGAGCAACCCTGGAGGAGGATGCGGGGGAGGAGGACGAGGAGGAGCAGGAGGAGTCGGTGGCAGAGGAGAGCGCTGATGCAGGCGAATGAAGCAATCATTCAAAAGGTTTGGAGGTTGGGGCTGCGCACTGGTGGATAGGATGGTCACGGATATGCTGTGCATTGTAGTTTCATGTGGAGCCTCGGTTTAGCAAGTGATCTGAATGTGAGTGAAAGTGATGCTTAGAACCCTCCGGCAGAAAGCGCTGGGTGAAGAGTCATACAAAGGCAATGAGTACGGTACTGAATTGAAAGAGAATACGGGCGCCTACACCCTATTCTGCCGGACTAACAAGTGGACGAAACACAAAGCTTGAATCAACTACCACTTTTGATGACTGGTGTTTGGGGTAAATGGTCCAAGATTAGTGGATCCTTGGTACCACTGTAGGTTGGCATTTTCCCAAAGGTTGGTTCCCTTGTACAAAAGCTTGCTGGTGCTCAGCAGGGAATCCCTATAAATAATCCAACTGGTGGTTTCTTGTAAGGGGAAGAAAACGATGTCGTCACTTGGTACCGGTACGTATTTGTTGGTAAGTCGGCGCCCCACGTCCCACCTCAACAGGCGACGTGGACGAGGACCTGGCAGTGGACGAGGCGGCGCTAGCCGCAGCCCAGCAGCGAGGCGTCAGACGGGTGGCAGACGGAGGATGTCTCAAAATTGCGGGGAACCAACGTGAATTTTCATAGGGAAGCCCTCCCAAAACGCATTCTGCTATGATTATCATGGTTTCCATTGTTATTGTTATTATTCCTATGATTTGTGTTCATATCATAGTTTCCTTTTTTTTCCTGGTTTGTTTTGCTGTTCTTTTTTAAATGATTAATTGTTCTTGATTTCCGTTTAAAGATGCCTAAGCAAACATTGACCCGATTCGTGCCAGGCGGTCGGCTTCTCTGGGGAGTTTGGCCTTGATCTCGCTGGAAAGACAATTTCCCCCTTGGGACCATTGGCGAGTATCGCGTATGCAGTCTACAGGCAGACATTTGACCATGTGCAGAGAAGCCGACCGAATGACAGAGCCTTCCAACTCACACTCACCAAGTCGGCCTATTGAATGTGCAACCCCCACAAAGAAGGCAAACTGAAAAAGTCAAACATGCTCACTGATGGTTCAGCTGTGCAGAAGATAAAGGAGCTTCAGATTTCAGAAGTGTGCTGTTCGTTTGAGCTAGACAGTAGGCTGCAGTCATTGTTCGATGCAAGTTAGCGTCAAAGGCTTGTTATCGCCTCCTTGTGGGCAGTGGAAGTTTTGCTGGATTTCCGTCAGACACCACATTCCTCATCATGCATTTGTGCTTGGTCCAGTAGCCGTTTTGGGCCATCACTTGTCAGTAAAAGGAATGTGCTCGACGTGGGCAGGTAGCAAAGTGAGGTCACGGTTCGGATCTACAAACAGCGCAGAGCTGATCGGGACCCAAAGGGTTCTGCGCTCCGTTGACTCCTTCCATCTCATCTTCTAGTGAGGTCCTCAAGGTGACGCACCTTTCATCCCGATATCACATTCCCCTCCCAATCCGCTCTGCGGGCTGCAGGGCTGCGGGCTAGTTTAAACGATCAACCTCTAGTCCTTCAAAGGGACCAAGAAGAGGCTGGTAAAGCAGCTGAGGCTTACTGTAAACTTGTTTGAGCACACCTTTGGCAAAATGGCTTCCATTGAAACAAACCGCAAATGACAATCCACTCCACGCGTTAGCCAACCCGGGCGGGCCACCCTGATGACGAACTGCCTTGTCTCATTGATACGTGACATGCCGCGTTTAATTTTTTGGTGAAACAACGCTTCTTAGGTGAGAACATCTCATACGCGTTGACCCTGGGTTGGCTCCCCCCCACCTCTCGGCTTTTGACTTTTTCCAGGCGAGGTGGCGCCCCTGGGCCCGCAGCTGCGCCGGAACCTGCGGGCCGTGGCGTGCGTGGCGCAGCTCAGCGGAGCCATAGCCACGGCGCCGCGGTGGACGAGTCGTGGGGTGCAGTGGTTGGGGGGGAGGACGGTAAGGTGGGTGGGGGGTTTTCGGGGTTTTCGGGGGTTTTGGTGGGTGGGGGGTTAAGGTTGGCTTGTTTGGTTGTCAGCAAATTCCCTTGTGGGTGGTTGGTTGGGGTTGGTTGGAGGGTTTTGTTGCTTATGGGGCACCTAGGTTCGTTGTTTGGGGGCTTGCTGGTTGGGTAGGGTATGTGTTCCCAAGACAGTTCCCCCAAAGCTGATGTGTTAAGGGTTTGTGCCAAACCAGAGGTTTGGACCGGGACCCCCAAAGGTGGCGTTCCATGAGCCCTTTGGGCTGTGAAGGAAACCATGATAGCTTGCTGGCCGGTTTCGATAGGCATTTTGAACGTTTCGATAGGTTTTCTGCTTCTTTTCTTTGGGGGGGGGGGTGTGTGGTTTTGATGGGTGGGTTGGGCTTACTCCCCTGCAACTTCCTAGGAGGGTGGAAGCCAAGGCTTGGCTCTTGCAGGCCTGCTCCGGGCCTCCGAAAGATGGATTGGTGGAGTGACATTTGTTTGTTGTTTGTTTGTTGTAAGTCTTTGCCCCGATCGGATCTAATGATCATGTGACGACGGGCAGAGGGAATCCTTTGCACAGGGCACCCTTGCCACGAATCCAAAGGGCGGAGTGTGGTGGGTTGGGGATTTCTCTTTGACCAGTGGCACTGGACCTGTAGGGTGGCGAAGCTTGGCGCTCAAGCTTGAAGGTAGTGGGTTTTCAGATGTCGGCTGGCTTCAAAAAGTTGCTCCTTGCAGTCAGCTGGCTGTGAGACTGCCACGTTCTTCCTTTGTAACTGATCCTTTCTCCTCTTGGTGGTTGTAAACAGCGCTTTTTGGGTGAACTGGGCCAAACTTCACTAAAATATTATAAGAGAACACAAACCACATAGTTGCCCCATGATGCGCACAAATTCCTTTTTTGTGGTGCCCTCCCTCCCCACTTGGGATATTCTCGCGGCGGCTGGCCCGCTGGTGCTCAGGAGCTGATCGCCCAGGCGGGCTTCGAGCTGATCATCGTGGACCACGAGTACGGGCCCGGGGACTTCTTCTCCGCCGCGAACCTCGTGAGGCGGGTCCGGGGGATGCGGGTGATGGGAACCCCCGGATTCACAAACGGCTGTGTGTTAACATGTTTTTTTCTCCTCCAAATGTGAGGATCCCGGAACCCCCCCTAAAATCAGGGGTGCCACTCCCTATGAATATACAGGGGTTTATTGATCCGGAGTTGCCAGCATTTGTTGGCAACAGATCATCCCCAAGCCCAACCCCCCTGGTTTCCTCAGCGAGGGTCCTCTTTTTGGAAGGTTCGGATCCTACGAATTCCGTTTGGGCGGTATTGAAGTTTTGAACATTCTTTCCTGGGTCCTTTTAAAGTGTATTTGCCTTAAACCGAGGCTTAAAGGAGACGTCGAAAGAATCTAGGGGAGGTTCGTGTTGGAGCTGACTGTCTTTGAGCGAAGGCGGTGCAACAGGGAAGCATATTCCCATATGCCCGCCTGTTCGAATGCCAATCCGCAAGTATGCAATTTTTCGGTAGATGTGGCAAGTGTTTTGGGTGCTCCAAACCCCAAGCGCAGCTCAAGAATGATTCCTTGGGCCGGCTCGCGGAAAAATCACAGCATTGATAGGTTCTTTCTAAATTGGATGCAGGTGTGGCGTGGGGTGTCTGTTGTGGCGTACATTGTAATTAGTGGTTCGCAGTTTTGGTGCTGCCTGTGCGAGTTGTGCTACTGGTTTCCGACATCCTTCGGAAGCTCTGCTTGAACTCTGTGGCTGGCTTTCGCATTTGGTTTTCCCGAGAAGCCACCCCCCCTTCAAAAACACAGCATACACACATGGCTGTGGGTCACAATGGATACCCAAAATGGAACCCTGGTTAGTGGAAGCATGGACTAAAACCTGGCGCTTTACTGTTGACCCATACACACATGGGAGAAGAGATGATTGATGGCTCACCGTTTCTGCCACGGTTGGCTTCGTGGCCAGTGAGAGGGTCCCCAGTGCTGTTCGCAGGTCCGCCGCGGGTGCCGGCGCCCATGCGATGCTGCGCCTGCCCTGTGCCGACGCCACGCAGGCGACAGCGGTCCAAAACTGGGATGGGGGGGTTGTGTTGAAAGAGGGCACCTTCAAAGCTCAAAGCGGACAATTTGCTTTTGGTTTGCCTTGAGCACCTCAAAGAGGGTGCCCTCAAGAAGAACACAAACCCATATGATGGGTTTGCCTCCTCCAACTGTGGCAGTTTGGTATCCTGTCCAGATAGTAATGGGAATCCCTCGTTGTGACACGTGGGCCAACAGCGATCACCGTGGGTGCTATAGACACATTGTGTCTCGAAACGATACTTTGCTGCCTCGGTTGTTTTCCCTTTGCCTTTGACACCATCCGAAAATAGGCTCCCCCATTTTTATGAAAGACCTCCCGCACAATGCGAAGTATTGCTACGGCGATATGCAGCGCAGTGGAGAGATTGCTCACATTGGCACAAAGGAGAGGCCCTCGAGTGAGCTGGTTGCGGATGGGCGATGCTCATTGCCCTACCGCTAGGTATAGGGGCGAGTGCTTTGCAGGTCTACCGTGCGCTGGAAGCGGGCGCTGAAGGTGGGGTGAGTTCGGGCTAGGGGGGTTGGGGAACGCGTAGAAAGTGACGTACTAACAATCTTCCCTCCACTAGGTCACGTAGGGAGACAGGGAGGCACTGCGCAATTTCCCACTTATTCAAGATGCAGGTCAATATTCTACTCAACTCATCATGGGATAGTAAAGAGTCAATACCCTCAACCCGTCGGGTTTTGGACATCGATTGCTTGAGAACTTCCCATGCACAGGGCAAGCAGGGTTCCAGACCTCGGGAATGTCCAATTTTATTTCTTTAATCCCTGGCACGATTACTCACGTGTAGACATAGATCTGGCAGATGTGAGTTGTTTCAGGTTTTGGTTGATGGACTTATATATACGGATTTTGGAGTACCGCGCTGATACGGTTCCCTGACCCTGCCTTGACCCAGAGCCCAGGATGCGCCAACCAGCAACCGCCTACACCGACCCCACACCAAGCAAGAATAAATCAAACCTAAACCAACCCTAAACGAAGCTTAAACCAAGCCTCTCCCACCCAACACGAACCCTAAACCAAATTTATACAAACGGATGCTAAACTGACCCTAAACACAGCTCAAACCAAGCCTAAACTATGCCTGAACCAGCACAACCCCACCACAGGACCATCAGGTTGGCGGGGGCCGACCATGGCCATTGGGAACACAAACCAGGCCCAAGCCAACCCTCATGACTTTAACTGTTTGCCAACTAGGGGGTTTTCCATTAAACCAGCAAAAGTTAAACTTTTAGAAGGGGAGCAGAAAGCAACCGAGATTGGAGGGGTGCGACTTGTTCCTCCACGGTCCTTTGGGGCCCCGCGCGGAGGGCTGCTGCTGGGCCAAGTGACCTCGCGGCAGCAGGCAGAAGCCTTCGCACGGCTGGTGGCCCATGTGAGCCGCGCGGCCGTTTGTTCGCGAAGGGAACATTTCCGGACTTAGCTGACTTTTTGAGGCTTTTCTCCTCTTCTGGGGTTTGTTGGAAAATCACTTTTGGAGCCTTAGCTGACCTTTTTTGGGTTTCCTTCCTTTTTCCTGTTCCCTTTTGACCAACAACACGTCAACGTTTTGGGGGTCTAAGTCTGAACAAGGGAAGGGACCCCGTACGAATGAGGGAGGGTTGTGGTCGAATGAGGTTGGTTCCCACTGCAGTGGGGTTGGCTTGCCTCTTGACAACCACCAGAAGGGGGGAATATGAGAATGCATGCCGCTTTTTCGAGTTGGTGCCTTTCGGGGGTTAAACCCAAACCAATTCAACAAGAGGAGTTCCAGGGGTTGGTCTGGAGCTTGTTTGGTCACAGCCAAAAGGGATCTGCGCTCCGGTTCGGGGGTTCAAACAGGCAAACCCACAGGTCCGACTTCGCAGAGGGTGAGTCGTGAGCGCACAAGACCTTTGGATTCCTTTCTAGAGTAGTTTTTGGTTTGTTGCCATTGGAAACATAAGGGTGTGTCTTTTTTGGAAATTTAAGGGAAAGCAAACAGGAGAACCACTCTTTTTGGGGGGTCCCCTAAAAAGACATCCCCCTAATGGGGTCGACCTCAACACCCATTTCAAAAGGAGGGCTGAATGGGGACGTGTAACAGGTAAAGCGACCGATCCCTCCATTTCCGAAGAAAACGGCAGCCTTGAAAGGAGGAGTGGGGATGGGGGCCATCAAATAGCTTGAAGGTGAGCGGCGAAAAGGACATGGACAGCCAATATTTTATTCAAGGGACTCAACCGTGATAGATTGTTGCAGATTGGCTTCCGGGATGATGAGCGCTTATGGAGTTGCCAGAGGATATATGGCACTTGAAGAGCCGCAACGCAAGTTTGGTTCGTGTCAAAGCTCGCTCGTCCAGTAGCAGCAGCGCGTTAGCTGCTTCCATCCAACAATCTATAGTCTATAGAGCCCTCAACTCCTTAAACCCCCAACCTAACCCGTGCACATCGATCCAAGCAGGGTCTTTCCTCCTTTCCACAGGGTCAGGCCAACCACAGGTGTCACCCGTTCCCCTCCCCCCCGAAAGAAGCCCCCCCCGCTCCCCGCAATGAAAAAGGTTAAAGCATCAACTGGGGAGGTTGATTTCGCAGGTTTCCCATGTGGCTGTTCCTTCCGGCTTCCCCTGCCATCCCATTTTTTGCCTTGAGCCGATTCGCCCGAGGCGAGAAGGCCAGGGATGACGCCTACGTGGAGTGGCGCAGCTCGCCGCCGCCGCCGCTGGCGCCTCGCACGAGTCTGCGTTGATGGATTCGCACGGGGCGGGACAACACCTGGGTGGCTGAATGAGGTTGCTGGGTTCTCGGTTTGTGATAGGGACCTCCTCTTTTGGGTGAAGAGTTCAGATCATTGGTTTGGGAAGGCCTTCTAGGGGTATCACAAAGTGGATAGTTCCCATAACCCTGGTCAAAAGGAATTGGCCCCTTCCCACTGGTCCATTTTGCAGGAATCCCCAATCAAATCAAGCAGCTGGACAGGTCCCAGGGCAGTGGAGGGAGGTACACGTGTCGTCGCTGTTTGGGTTTAGCATTCTTCATATGGAGCGGTGTCAGCTTTCATGCTGGGTACACTCTTCCCCAATTTGGGGGGCAAGACACCCGGGCCATAGGAAGAGGCACCGGCCCCGCGGCCCCTCGTGGCGGTGGAGTTGGAGCCGTCCTGTGCCATTGCCACGGCGGAGGAGGGGCCAATCTATGGCTGTGGAGAAAAACAACATGTGTTTTTGTGTGTTTTCTTGGGTTGACACGAACCTTCAGACTCCCCTTGATAGTGACAAAGTGGGTATCCAACAGGAAGGCAATTCATGGCGGATTTGGGGCGGGGTCCACGGCTTCCGAGCACCGAGCCCTGAGCTGGAGTGTCTCTGCCGTATCCGGTGATCTTCACATTGAAGGATCTTCTGGTATCTTTCCAGGGATCCCCTTTCCAGAAAACCACAAAAAAAGGAAAACAAGGGCGCAGGTGTTTGAAGTTTGGCTACACAGAATGGGGAGTCCATAATGGAGATCCACAAACCGAGTTGAACAATGCCTTTCAAATCCTGCTGGCGGTTTTCAAGTGATCAGGTGGGCACCAGGGATTCACCGCCGGCTGCGCATTTGCCCATATCCTGCTTTGATCTGCACATGCTCTCTCCACAATGTAGTAAGTCAGCAACATTGGTGTTCAAGTCAGTTTGTTTGCCTACTTGTTTTGGCCCCCCGTGATTGTTTTGCCAGTGGAGAGGCCGCCGTTAGACACCCACAACACAAGCTGTGGCCAGAATGACCAACGCCCGTTTTTCCATTCGTGGAGAACTGTGGTCTACGGTTTAGAGACACAAATCAGCAGGAACTGAAGATGGTAAGGGATATGGAAGAAGAAGTCCGGGCTCACACACACACACACACATGCAAGGAAATTGCTTCGCCCCATTCGTGCTTCTCAGCTTCCCAAAACGGTGCACATTTGGGGGCACTCGGTAGCATGGTGTTTGAATGGAAACCAAAAGGAAATCGGTGGACCTGCATTTGCAGGAAAATGTCCAAAACTACTGAGAGGTCTTTTGCTTTTCTGGGCACCCAACCATGTCAATGTAGAGAGGGATTTATGACGCAGGGGTTGAGACCACCCCATTCCTCAAGCCCGCTTCATTCCGAAGCCAGGAGTTGTTGCGCGCAGAGGGGGTGGACCTTGTCATGGTGGACCCGGAGCGCTGCCTTGAGCCTCTTCTGAAGCACCGAGGGCAAAGCTCTGCCATGTTTTGCGCATGACGCATGAGCATCCAAGTTTGCTCGGCGAGATCATTGACATGAATAATTGGTTGTTTTGTTCTAGGTTTGCATGTTTTGGGCTGCGTTGTGTTGTTTTTGACGAGTGCGCGGAGCCATGTGTCCTATACCAATCATGCTGCTTGCCACGCAAATGATGTGGGAGAGCATTACAAATTTCGGAAACCTTGCCCATGAACGTGCCAGGGATTGCTCGGGTCAAATATTTCTGGGAAGACCCCCCAAGCTCCCAGGGAGCTTTGGTGGCTGGTGCGCGTCGGCGTCGCTGTTCGGTGTCCTGTCTGTGCTGAGATGATCCCTTTTTCCCAAGCCGTACCAAACGCGGATCGACTTGCTCTGGAACTAAGGAAGCCCTACTGGGGCAGTACCGCTCTGACGACCTTGGCGGCACTGGCTTCCCCCCGCGTGTGCCCGCGCGGCTCGGCACAGTGGTCAGACTGGCCAGCAGATTTTAGACTGGCCAGCAGCAGAGCAAGATGTGGTGTTGCTGCTGTTGCTGCTGCTGCTGCTGCTGTTGTTCTTGGCTGGCCGCTGCTGCTATTTTGATGCTATTGTTGTGCGTGTGCGGTTCTACAAGCTGAGATGTGCTTACTCAGACGGGCTATTTCCATTCACAGACAAGGCCCCTCAATGGAGAGTCCGGACAATCTCAGAGCCGCAGGGCAACAGTGCCGGCGGGCTACACAATGGAAGAGACCAAGGAGGGCGAGGCTGGGTCTCGTGTCCGCAGGGCTACGCAGGTGTGAGGGACACTATGTACTTGCTTCCATCTCCCCAAAATCATGATCAGCGAGCAATAAGTATTAGGGCTTGGTGTTGCCTTTGACAGCATGTACATAGACCTATCAATGCTGGCAAGAGGGGAGCGCCAGAGGCCAGCGCAAGAATGGGGCTGCAGGCTACCAGTTGCAAAGAGGAACCAATCATCCATCAACCAATAACTCACTCAATCACTCGATCTTTCAATACTCAGCCACTCAACCACTCACACTCATCACTTGTTTCTAGATTTTGCCGTGAGCCAGAGGGTAAGCTGAAGCACGTTTGCTTTGCAACAGGAATATGGTTGCTTGACACTATAGAGCATTCCTCCCTGTAAGGATCCGCTGGCATTCGTTTATTCATCCGATCCGTGGATGCATCGTCCGTCCGTCTATACATCCATCCATCCATGCATGCATGCATGCATGCATGCATGCATTCCTTCAGTCAGTCACTCAGTCAGTCAGTCAGCCAGTTAGTCACTCAGGCAACCTGGCAACCCAGGAGCCAGTGCAAGAATATGGGAGCCCCATTTTGGCCGGTTTTCAGAGGCGAGCATTCCGCCATGAAAAAGCGTGCCCATTCTGCCATGTGTCTTTGTCTTGCCTTTTCCAAATTGTAAGATTGGCCTCCTTTGGATCCACAGTGTTTCCTAGCTGTTCTTGTTTTACAGCAGAGGGACCGCCCAAGCAATGTGTTACGAACTACTTGCCAAGTACCCTGCCGCCTCAAGTATCCTCACCAGGGTTACCCTACTCCTTGCTTAAACATGTTTACACCACTACTATTTCAACAAACTGCTTTTGGTTTCTTTAAAGGAATTGGACCAGGGGTTGGTCGTGCGCTCCGAGAGCTAGAGAAACTACAAAAGTGAGAGTCCATGCGCTTCTACAGCTCCTAAGCCACGCTGGTTTGATGTCATTTGCCTTCTCTTCCGTCCTGGGAGGGCGAAACCTTACGCAAATCGCTGGACATGCTCGATGGATTCGCCCAAGCAGTTGGGCAAAATTGAGCATTCTGTACATGTTGACCTGCGGTTTGTTCACGGCTCGTACCAAGCAGCACCAGACACATGTGAGCTCAGCGTTGAGCATCATGATGGACTTGACCGCTGCAACTACTTCTCATCTGGCCATGACGCTAGCAAACTGCTGCCGGCTATGTGGGTGGCCGTTCGTCCAGGTCCTTTGGTTGCTCTAAGTGCTGGCCTTCCCGGATAAATCCGCAAAAGACTAAACCTTCGCCCAGTGACACTTGGGGTGGCTTTGAACAAACAGATGCATGGAAGTTGGGAGTTAAACAAGGCTTAGGCTCTGAGAGCGCGACATTGTTTTTGTTGGCTGGGGCCTTCCAGTCAAAAATGCAATAGAAGCAGTGGTTAATCGGTTAATCCCTCCCCTGATAACAAAATGCTCCGCTCCCGCCTAATAATAACAACAGTCCCCTGGCGAAAAGGGGGTCCCGAGTGTCCAATCAAAAAGTGCTACAGGATGACGTTTTTTAAGTAAAGGATTCATCAACTCAAAGCTGGTGATTATTCAGTTGCTCGTTTCGGGTCCTGCGGACAGGCTTCACTTTGTTTTCATGTCTCGGGCAACTTGACGGACTGAGAGAGAGGGGGTGAGAGCTGCTGAAGCCCAACAAGTTACCGGGTGCTCGGTGACTGATAGCAGGGGGTCCCCAAATAAGACTGGAAGAGAGGTCGGTGGGAGAATTCTGGAGTTTAGTACTAGTTGCAACTTGGCTAGTTAAAAGAAAGTAGTAGTCTCGGACCAGTTTGTTTTTTGATTCTTCTTGCTTGTATTTTTATTCGGGGACCTTTATTAGTCGGGGCAAAGCATTCCACCTTCTTTAGCACCAGTGTGCTGGTGCCATCTATTCTCATGGTAGAAATCCTGAACCCTGCCACTCCCCGGCCAGGAGCCCGAGGGCCCGCCCACGGCCACGGTGGCCGAGCCCTCCCCACCCCCCGGGCCACCCCCAGGGGCGCGGCGCACGGCACGGGGGCCCGGCACATGGCGTACAGCAACCTGATGGACAAAGCCCACTCACCAGTTCTAGGTGATTTCTCTCATCCATAGGGGGATTCATCCATGCTGCGAAGTGGATTTTGCCCACCAGTAGACAACTGTTCCAGTTGGGATGGATGAAGCCCTATGACCAGGACAAATCGCCTGACTAACGAGGGCACACCTTTCAGGTCTGGTTTACAAAGCCCGGCCAAAGTCTCTCTGTGTGTGTGCGCGTGCGGGTGGGTGCGTGTGTGTGTGTGTGTGGGTGCGTGTGTGTGTGTGTGCGCGCGCTCGTGTGTATGTGTGTTTGTCTGTGTCTGTGTCTGTGTCTGTGTTTGTAGGAGGGTACCCCTTTCGGGGTGGGAACGGAGAACACTGCGTGAAACAATGCGTACAGTTTTCAAGGCCCCCCATCTTTTGGAAGTCCACAAGAAATCTAGGGAGGGCCACAAAAACAAAAAGCCCCTCCAGGAGGGACCCTCCCAATATTGTTGAAGAACACGAGGGTCAATCGTTGTTTAGTTTGCCTTTGCAGAGCGGGAGGACGTGGCGAGCTGTGGGTGAGAATTGCAAATTCTAATTACTCTGGCATGAGGTCTGAACATATTTTCCTCAACAAGGCCAATTCATCGCTGACTGTTGCAAACAAAAGCACGTATTTCTGCATCACGCTTGTGTTCAATCCATTTGAGAGGGTCTTTGCTCCCCAGGGAAAAGCGCCACCAGTATTCGCCCATGTTGTCTTGGAGCTGTCGTTGTGGTGCCAGGGGCAACATGTCTAGTGTATGTCAAGCCAGTTTTCTTCAGATGCGATTATTTCTGCTGAATCAGTTCTTTGTGTAGCCCATATTCCTGCGTCACTTGCTTTCCAGGCAGACAACATGGCCCACATTTTGGCGCACCCCAACATGGTTGGGTAGCCATGGATGGATCCGAAACAGGAACCGCTGTCCATGTCCAACAAAGTTCCGACCTAAAACTAGGCCTCAAATTCCACAACAGTATTCCTGGATGGTATCCTGTTTGTTTTGTTGGGGATGAACTTATGAAAACCACCCGAGACGACCCCTTCGGTTCGTTTCTCTCGCAGCGAATGGCGGAGGTCACCTTGGCGCTGAAAGCGCCGCAGCTCTCCACGCGAATGCGCGCCGTGGGGGGCGCCGCGCCCCTGCAGGCGGCGGAGGCCCGCCTTGGCGGCGCGGTGGGGTTTGCTGATTGGTTGGTTGGTTGGTTGGTTGGTTGGTTGGTTGGTTGGTTGGTTGGTTGGTTGGTTGGTTGGTTGGTTGGTTGGTTGGTTGGTTGGTTGGTTGGTTGGTGGGGTTTGGATCCATGTTGAAGATTTTCATTTTGTTGCAGACCCTTGTGGATACAGGGTCACCAAGGTAACATGCTCCTTTCAGGAAGGCTTGCCCTTCCCGCTAGCACTGGCCTGACAGGAGGTCCCTGGAAGATCAGAGGAACATGTTCATAAGAGGGCCTTCTGTCCATGTTAATCGCTGGGAAGGCATTGGGGCTGCGTTTATTATGTTGCCAGTTGGTGACTTGCATTGCCAATACTTGACAGACCTGGGCTGCAATTGTGACGATCGGGTCATCATGCTCCGGGCATGTTGGCCGAACTGTACTGGTTTTTGAGGGCAATTGTATGGCCAAGCAGCTTGCAAGCAGCATTTGTGTATGCTGGACCATGGTTTGGTTTTGAGGCGTTGTGGATTGGTGGGCAGCTGGCCAAGATGTGTCAATTGTTTGGCGCCTGCCACACGCTCGAGTTTGGTTGTCTCATGGGCAAATCGGGCCCAGCCTGAGCCTGTGAGCAGGCCATGCAGTCCTTTTGGTCCTGCTTTGATGCCGGGGCCTCAGTAGTGGCCAGGTTCTTTTCATGTTTGTCGCGCTTGCCCTACTCAATGGGCACGCCCCCAATTTGATGTTGTTCAGTGTTTTGATACAGACAATGAGCCGCAGCGGCATGCTGCATGGGTTGAAAGTAGCAGGTCGCAATACATGACGGGCGGCAAGTGCTGGTGGGAAACTGGACTCTACATAGCTAAGCTAAGATAGTTGGTCTTTGTTGCCACGTTGCCAGGTGGCCAACAAGCTTTGTAGCCAAGTCCTACGCTTTGTTCTGTAAGAATAAGTACAGAAAAGGTAGGCAGAGAGTGGCTCTAATGATGAGTAACTAGGGGATCATCAGGCTGCCGAGTAGAAACCAGCACCACGTAACTCGGATATCTACATGGCTTAGTAGTAAGTTTGAAATACGCAAGCAGCACACACCTTTTTCCGTGGGTCGCTAAGTACATAGTGTGTGTGTGTGTGACATTGACAAAAGCTATTTTTTGACTACCTGAGCAGCTCGTGATAAAAGGCAACAGGCAAGCGCAATAAGTACAGTAGGTAATACATCCAAGTTGGTGCGTGGCCAGCATTTAGAACTATTTGGAAAGTAGCCTAGAAGCCGAGAAGCCAAGTAGGTTGTAAGAGGCACGTGCACCCACAGTGCCCGTTACATTATTGTGGTCATCGTTGTTTTCTTGCTTGTTCTTGTTTTTGTTGCCGTTGCTTCCGATTCCACTGACATTGCTGTTGATTTGTTGTTTCTGTTCTCCGACTTCATCATCATCATCATCGTCGTCATCATCATCATCATCATCATCCTCGTCGTCGTCGCCATCATCATCATCATCATCATCATCATCATCATCATCATCATCATCATCATCATCATCATCATCATCATCGTCTTTGTGCCATCATCGCTGTGGTGGTGGTGGTGGTGGTGGTTGTGCTGCTGCTGCTGCTGCGTTGCTGCTGCAGGACGTGATCCGCGCTGAGGTGACTGAGATTGTTGTCGCCCATAGTCATTGTTGTGTGTTGCCGCTTTTGCTTGTGACTCAGTGACGGCTTTTGGTGGCAGTTTGCAGTGGTGGCCGTGAATTTGCTGCCGGCGCACGAGGCCTTGCCACAGGTCGCGCGGGACAACCGAAAGCTGATCGGCTGCACGGCTGGGGGCCAAGAGCTGTTGACACCGCCACCCTTTCAAGGATTTTGAAAGCTGCTAACCACAAGCACGCTTTGTCAGAATGTGCATCAATCCTGTGGGCATTGAAATTCTGCATCAATCTGCCATTCCTGTCAGCTAGCTCACCTTTTTGCAAAGAGGACGCTGTTTGGGTTGGAGTCAAGGCATTGCCCCACCAATTTTGCCCCTCACACGTTCAGCTGGTTTTGCCAGAGTGGTTTCCAAATTATTGTGCTGCTTCCTGTCAAGGGCGGGACAGACGGCGCTTCCAAAACTCTGAGGGAAACCTCCCCAAAATGGTAGGTTTCCGTTGGTTTCCCTTCAACAACAAGCCCACATCCTTAAGGCGGGAATGCCGAGGCGCATGCGCGGAACACGGCCTTGGATCTTCTGATACAGGGGCACTCTGCCGGGAGCTCTGGGGCCTTTTGGAGAGATGGGAGAGGAAGGAGCTTGCCACCATAGAGCTGAACATAGCATATCTCGCGCGCAAGCCGACTTCCCAGGACCAATCAGTGCTTGTGAGTGTTGTAGGGACGCACACAGGCAAAGGAAACCTTGGGTGTTGCGGTGCCCGAAGTGCGGAAACACTGATGTTGCTATGCCGTGGTCGGTCTGGTGCTTTCCTAGTCGGTTCAGGGGAACGTGGGGGGAAGCCCACGCGTTCCCGAAGAGTCAGGAGGGACAACCAATCTGCGCATGTCCGCTTGGGGAACAAATGCAATTGTTTGTGGGTCATGTGTTTGCATGAGCGATCCAATGGATGTGCTGGAAGCCGCTGTCGCTGTCAAGTGCTCCGGTGCGGAGCCTCCAGCTTATCCCTCCGACTAGTAGAACAGCGCTGTGGCAAGTGGAAGTTGGAAGACAGCCGTCATTTGGGTGCCCGCTTCGATTGTTTGCAGCTTGAAATGTCTGCTGAGAAGGGGGGACGCTTCAACTTTGAGCATTGTATCGCGTCCCCCCGGACTCAATGCAGCCAAGCAATCACAATAGACTCCCCACTTCACCTGATATGTTTGAGGTCGTCGCGCTATGTGCAGACCTGGCGCTCCTGTCACGCTTGCGCCGAGGAGAACAGAAGGAACTGCAAACAAAAGGTTACGCGGCACTTTAAACGACTCTGCCCGCCATCCACCGATTCTCACTTAAATCGGGCTCTGCTGGTTGCCATTTAGGGCAGTGGTATGACATCAAGGATGGGGTGACATGTCGCATGAAGGCGGGAGAAGCAAGGGCTGTAACTCTGGGAAGGTGTGCTCACAAGCATCAGCTGATGAGTTGCTGCGATTCTTTTCCGGGCACCCTCACATAATAATAACAAGAATCCGTCTCCATGCGAATGGCAGGTTGTGAACTGGTGAAAGCCATCCCTAGTTGCTTTTACAAGCCTCGCTGGCATTGCATGAGGCATGTCAAGCTGAGACGCCCACTGAACCCCAGAGTGCACTGTAGAGTGCCGGCGGCAAAACACAATACCTTTGGTGCATCAGCAGGGTGCTTGTATAATTGAAAAAGTAGACGCTGGAGACATTTTAGCCCCGCGGACTGCCGCTTGAGTGTTGCACGTGTTACGCTGTCACATAGAGCAACGCACAGTCCAACACAAGGGAAGCTTGATTTCAGCCCATTTGAAGCTTGCTCAGTTGGCTGTATGCCCCGTACGAATTTCTATGGTTCTTCTATTCTCCGTGTGTACTTGTTCACCTCTTTGTCAATGTCATGTATGCGTTTCTTCTTCTTCTTCTTCTTCTGCTTCTGCTTCTCTTTGTTAAATCATGGTTTTCCCAGGTTTCGGGCTTGTTTGTTGTCGTCATCCTCGTGTTTGTCGCTGTCATCGTTGAAATTGTAGTTGTTGTGGTTGCTGTTGTGGTCGTTGTTGCGGTCCATTTCTCGTGTCAGAAATACGCCCACTCCGGCCAGGTCCTGCTGCGGGAAGGTGCCCACCGCCATGCCAACGAGATGAAGACCGAGAGGCGGGGAAGGGGGGGGGGCGGCGGGGGGGGGAGGGGTGCGACGACTGGTTGAGTCTTTGTATGAGCGCCCAGCATTCGCGAACATGTTGATGACCTTGTCCATGGTCCCAACAGTTGCGCTTGCGTGCTGGGCGGCCAAAGTCCTACGCTTGAAGTCGCGACTTTAGAGCCGGAGCTGTCAAAGGGTGCTTCGTTTACCACACTTGCACTGACACGTTGAAACTTTTGAGCCGGAGCTGCCACCTTTACGACACTGGCTTGTGCTGAAGAGTTGCGACTTCCGAGCCGGAGCTGCCAAAGTGTACTTCTTTTCTACACTTGGACTGAAAACTTGCGACTTTCGAGCTGGAGCTGCCAAAGTGTACTTCTTGTACCAAGCTTGTACCCATAGTATACGTTTTACGTGTTTACACATCATGCAAGTGCGTGTATGTGTTTGTTTGTTTGTTTTTCGTTTATTTTTTTGCTTCCTTGCTTGCTTGCTTGCCTGCCTGCCTGCCTGGCTGCCTGCCTGCCTGCCTGCCTGCCTGCCTGCTTGCTCGCTTGCTCGCTTGCTCGCTTGCTTGCTTGCTTGTTTGTTTGCTTGTTTTGCTTGTTTGTTTGCTTGTTTTGTTTGTTCGTTTGTTTTGCTTGTTTGTTTGTTTGTTTGTTTGCTTGCCCATTGCCAGCTGCTGCTTAAGAACAAGCTGTGAAAGGAAAGGTGACTGATGTGTCGCGACAAATTCATCCACACTCAGCTTGGAACGGACTGCCAGTTGGCAGTGCGTCCCGCAGCGAGGCCCAGCAGCTCATCCATGCGTTTCCTGTTTGCAGTAACAACCCCTGGTTGCAGGTTCAAGCCACTGTTTGAACAGCCAAAGGGTTTGGTCTTCTTCTGGAGGGACCGGGTCCTGACAGGGCCGGGGCCGGCACCCGGCACTGGGCGGCGCCTTTGGAGTCCCAGCGGGCGCGGCTGGCCACCAGCGCCCTGGTGAGCCAACTGCGGCGCCACAAGAAGGCGAGCAGAGGAGTTGGGCAAACGGACGGAACACGTGGAACGGGAAAATGGCTATGGGTCAAAGTCCCGTACCCCGGTGAACATCCCAATCCCCACTAAAATAGACAAAAATGGGTGGTGCACCTGCCCCAAATGGTACCATTGGTTTTGACCCACAGCCAAATGTGAAACATGCCCGTTGAGTTGGGAGCAGGGGTATGGACCAAGCGCAGCGAAAGCCGAGGAAGAATGTTGAAGCAACATCTGCGTTCCCTCATTTGTTTGATCACTGGAAATGAGCCATACAGATCCAGCATGTCGTCAACCCCCTAGCATTCGGTCGAACTAGATCACCAAAACACCACTAGAATCATGAGCCAAAGACATGCGGGTCCGCCCAACGTTCAATGGCCGGGCGCACGTTGACTTTTGCTGGCAGCACTTCGACAGAAGATTGTCGTGTGCTGATCAGTCAAAGAGCCACACTTGTACATGGGCTCCGTAGCAGGGGTTTGTACTCAACGTCAAGTGAGGGTCGCCGGCTTTTGCTGGAAGCCAGCAGGAAGCTAAAGAAGAAACTCAAACAGGAAGCTAAAGCAGGGTTGTCAGACTGTCAGACAACAAGCCTAAAAACTTGTCTGCTATTGGGTTGGATCTTTAGACTTTAACTTTTTGGGAAATGAAGGGGTTTTCTACTAAACCCACAAAAGGTTAGACTTTTTGCAGAGGGGTCAACAGCAACAAAGAAAAAGACGAACACACAGGACGCCAACAGGAAGGAAGCCCCACCCCCAGCTTGGCTTGCCGGCCAGTCGGGGTCGTCTCTGCCGCCCTCGGCCAGGCCTTGGCTGCCTTCCTGCACCTGGGGGATGCCCTGGCAGCGGAAAACCTCTGCATGGCCGGGTTCGAGGACTCGAACTCGACTGGTGGGGGGGGCAAGGGGCTCCGATTTTGGGTTTGGTCCAGTTGCGGCTCCCGTGTGGCCATGAATTTGAATGGGGAGCACACTCAAAGACATTTGGGGGACGTAGCTCGCACATAGCTCGCCATGTCGATGATGCCCATATAGTCCCAGTTACAGTTCACGCTATGGATTCGAGTCAAAACAGGAACCCTCCCGAAATAGTTGAGTTCATGTTTGTCAGGGGAATCCCTTGCACATCAAACAGCGAAATTGGGAGTCCTTTTTGTCTCATGCCAACCCACTCAGAAGCAAGGGAATCATCAGGAAGTTGCTGTTTGCCCTGGAGAAAATGTGGAACTCCCAAGGACCTAGCTCCCACAACCCAACCCTTCTCGGAGGAGGAGGAGGGTTCTGTGACTGATTTTGGAGCAACCTCTTTTTTTGCTGGATAAACCTATGGCAGGCAACAGGATCGCAATTATGAACTGCAGATTTCTGCTACCCGGCCACATTTTGGCTTTCGGCATGCAACCTGCTTGACCTTGTTTTCCATGTCAAAGTTGCCAGATGGCGGCCTTTGGTTTCAGCGCTCTTCGATAATGCTGACTGCCATTGCTTTTGAAGGACACAGAATCGAGTGGAATACTTCCAATCATGATGGCAGCCAAGCAGTGCTCACCGGTATTCTGGTGGTGGAGCGAGCTGAGCCATTTGCCTGTCCATAAGCAGTCGAGATGGTACTCGCAGAAATAATTAATGTCTATCTTAAGCTGCTGGCACAGATCTTGCGATGTGATGCACCTGGTCGTGGTTTCCAGACCAGGAGCTTTGGTTTGCTCGATGCTTGTTGGTCGCACCTGACTTCGTGTGGTTTGGGCATCAGTGACTTCCCAGAGGCCCCATTGAGGAAAGAGCCACCTCAGACAGGGCCCATCGCAAGGCGCGTCCGAACGCAGGCTGTGGTCTTGGACCATGAGCAGGGCCCCGGGGACCTTTTGAATGCCGTGGGCCTGGCCGGGGGACCCCAGACGGGCTGGGCGCAGCTCCCCTTGGACAATGGGCGGCTGCTGCAATCTCGCGATCCTCTTTTGTTGAAACCGGCTCCAAACTTTCGGGGAAGAGGTGCAGCACAGCGGACATGGTCAGAACAGCTGCTTTTGCGCCCACAGCCAACAGCGGCACAGAATATCCAAAGGACCATGAGGGTTCCTCTCAGAGGGGTTGACTATGGCAGACAGGGGATGGATGCATTTTGACGGCAGTGCATTGGATGCTGCACCAAATTGTGTCCCCCTACATCCACCGAAGGTGATGTTTAATTCCTCCAAAGGCGACCATCCGTTTATGTACCCTGACAACCTTCGACAAGGAAGATTCAGCCAAGCAACGGAACTCCGCTTGGAAAGTTGTCGTACTTTGAGGTTGACAGTGTTCATGCCAATAAGTTATCGAGGACCGGACTAGTGATGGAGCAATCATCCACCAGTGAAAGCGAGCTTTTTACGCCCAGTGACGGCTCGCTATCTATACATTCTGCCCCCTGTTTCCTGCAACACTGGATTTCAAGGCATGCTTGTGCGCAGGGCTGCTTCCCTTTGTGGTGAGGTACATGCTGCTTCCAGCGCGGGGACCCACCCGCTGCTGCGCGTGCTGCGCTCAGATGGACGGAGATGGGCTGTCAAGATTGTGGGCTGAGTTCATGGCTGGTCTTCTTGGTGGATTCGCATTGCCCGTTAGAATTTTTAGAACTCAGGCAGGATTTTCAACTGAACCGCAAAGGCAAAAGGCGCGAGTTGACGATTCCAAGCTTCAGACATGAGTCAATGTGCTAGTTCTAATCAGGGCCACGTATTAGCTGTGGTACGCACCTGCTCCACTAACTCCAATGCCCGTGACCAGCACCACTGCAGGGGTCCTATGTTCCTTTTGGGAACAGTTAACAATTGCAGTTTCCCAACAACTCAAATGGTGTCTATGTTTCAAGTGCAATGTTCATGGATCAAGGGGAACAACAAAAGATCTCGCCGTGGACATTTCAAGGTGCCGAGCAATGATCCTGCGCCCGGTAGCCCAGCTCTGCAGAGATTCGAACTGAGCCGCTGTGTGATTTGGTCAAAGGACGCACACAAAGAGAGCTGCTTGGGCTTTTCAAAGGCGTGCCCATGCTTGCTTCCTGCATGAAAAAGCCGTCAACATGCCCAGCAAATGTCCATGTTTTGAAAGCTGGACAGCTAGCTCGCAGTTGCTGGCATCGTGCTGACAGACTTATTCCCAACGAGTCAACATGTAGAGCCCTTGCGGTGAAGACTGAAGGAATTCAACAAGTATGTGGCCTTCTTCTGCTGTGGTCAAATTTGCGAAGTGCTTTGTGCAACGCTTCAGTCCATGAGACGAGGCAGCGCGGTCAGTTGCTTCGGAGCCATAGCGTGGGGAGCTATGGGACTCTGCCAATTGATGTGACCCCTCCAGGACAGACGTACTTTTGTTGCGGTGTACAGCGATGATGTAAATCCTAAAACCCGCTTCAACAGGACATGTATTTGGTTGAGAGGCACACAGCTGCATCAGGGGACCCGGTGCAGGACTTTCTCACAGGGTCGCACCTGCCTGGCGGAGGTATCTCCGGCGAGCACTGCAGCTCGGAGTGGAGGGCCTGATCTTGCCAATGACGGAGAGTGCCAGCCAGGCGAGCGGAAGCTGCGGGATGCGGAAGCGGGCGAGCTCTGTCTTGGGACGGCCATGAGGCAGGCCAGGTGTCGTTTTAGGTCAGTTAGCTTGAACATAGATGGCACTGGTCTCAACATGGTTCCAATCATTTGTCAGTGCCAACCATTGCTCCGTACGGACGCGTAGGGTCCCAAGAGAAGGTGTCCTTTCAGAAGAATAGATGTCACTAGTAAATGATAGACAAAACTAGAAACAGTGCGATCTATGTTTGCTTGCTCTCTCGAAAGTAGTCCCCTCAAACGGCAGCCCTTCCTTCGCGGAACTTGTCCCACAGTGCCACAAAAGATCCTGAGACCCTGCCGGTGTGCTTGATTCCCCAAGTAGAACGAGCAAACCACAAAAAGGCCATGGTGGAGTCAATATCTCACTTGCAGACACTAAGTCCATGCAGAATCACAGGTGGAACCGTGTCCCCTAATTGCTTGCGCGAGAATTACGTACTTTGTGACTGTGGGTGTACTTTTAGGCCAGAAATGCTGAGCCTTAGTTAACAACACAGGCCTTGGTGATCATGGGTCCTGCAAAGTGTGGGGCAGGCCCACTTGTCCAGACGACTAGCGAAGTGTCAAGCCAAATGCCGCCTGCGATCTCTTGAGGGCCATAGCTTTGCTTCGGCAGGTGTTGGCCATATCTCCTGCGGAAATAGCGGCCTCATTAAAGGCAAGCCAGACATGTTCTGCCACACCTCTTCTTGTGCGTGTGTGTAGGGTAGAGTTGTCGCGGACATTGACTAGAGCTATTTGTCGCTGCGAGCCAGTGGTTGTTGGTCAGAAAGGTTTAAGCACAATACAGCTTTAGAGCATTTTAGAGCCATTTGGGAGGTTTGTCTTGGTTTTTGTGTTCCACTCCTTACAAGTCTTGCAGTTTCCTGTGCTCAGGCTGAAGACTTCATCGCCGCAGTGAAGAAGTCCTTCCCCTCGCCGGGCGGCCCAGCTTGGTTTCTCTGCCACGCTTCAGGTTGCGGAGAACAACTTGGCGCAGACTAAGGGCAATCCCTTTGCTTTGTGTCAGGCAGTCTTTGCCATGCTGCCAGCTGCATGCATTCTTTGGCCGACCTCTTCAGGCTATGATGGAAGCTGTGATGCAACCAGCCAGTAGATCATATGTACCGACTGGCAGACATAGATTTCCTGCAAGCTTTCTGGCAACATGGGCAGGCAAAGCACAAAGCATCCATGTTGCACCTCTCTTCTTCAGCTTGCTACCTGCCACCGGGTAACACATGTCCATTGCTGGACCGGTCTCCTGGATGGCCAGTCAGGAGCCATGGCTTTTAGCAGAGCATGAATCACTGTTCCTTACCACTGGCTCGACATGGTTTCCAAAAAATAGAGAAGCCCCAGATGGATGCTTCGCCTGAGGGTTTCATCAAACACTCCCAACAAAGGGTACCGGCAAACACACATATATATATATATATACATAATATATATATATATACACATGAACCCTATCTTCCATGCTCCTGGCTTTGTTTCGTCGTGTTGTCATTTTTCCTGCCCTCAAGGGCAAATGTGAGGCATCTGTGGCAGCAAAAAGGCTTTAAATGGGTTGCATAATTTGGGGCCATCAGGGGTAAGCCCTGACTGACGCGGACAGTTGTGTGAAAGTAGATGGGCACAACTCCCCCATGTTGGTTTAGTCATTCCCATGCCAATGCAAGGGGAGTTGTGCCATCCACTTTCACCCTGGTGTACACCACAATCCTTGCCCGCTGAGGTCGAGCCTCCGCGGGGCAGGCGGGATGGGATCGAGCGACGAGCAGTTGCAGTACCTGATTGGGTGGCAGTGGGAAGACGGGAGAAGCTGCCGCCAAATAAAGAAGCTCACAACTGGAGAACTGACTGACCATAGGCGTCCGTTTCAATTCAGTTTGGTTAAACATAGATGGCGCTGGCTTCAGTTCCAGTGATTTTTATGAGTGCCATCTATTTCCAACAAGGAGGCGTAGGCGAAGCTTTGACCGGGCAGTTTTCTCGGGGATCAGCTCGGCGATGCGATCCAGCGTGCTTGCATGGCCGAGCCGTTTTGGGAACGTGCAAATGCCCGCGTCCTGAAAGAACAGCTCGCCAGGTCGCTGTCATTCCTGGGCATAGAGCGCGAACATCCAATCGAGAAAAGGGCATATTTTGTGAGTTCGCTGGCAAAGCATAAAGTCCCCGCTTCAGCCTGCCCAGATTCAACCCCTTCAGGTTGGGAGGCTACGGTTGTTTCTTGCAGCACTGGCAGCTGATGGAGTGCTAGTGCAAACTATTCTTGCTACACAAACAAACAAACAAACACAATCTGCTTTCACAAGCCCACCCCCCTCAGCCCCGTGCCCCCAGGCGGCACCGCCGCGGCCCTGCGCAGCGCGGCGCCGCAGGCGGCGCAGTTCCTGCGCCGCCGCGAGGAGCTGCTGCTGAAGGCGGTGCAGGCAGTGAATGCATCAGTGACGCCTTGTTTTTTTGCCGGACGAACCCATTGCTGTGTGTGTGTTGTTTCTTAAGGGGACCCTAGATTTGGGGTGGGTATAAAGTGCAACCAACAGGAAACCGCCAAAAAATGGGGGCGGTCCCCTATTTTGATGACTCAATTACTCATTTAATCTGACATGTCCAGTCCATGGTCCATTTGGAGGGACATGGGGCACTCACTAAATTTCCCGCAGGCGCCAATGACTCGCTGACTTTCCCATGTTCTGTTGGAGAAAACTGCAATGCTGAGTGTGCCTCATTTTGTGTATGTGTCAGGCTAGGGCTTTGGATCAGGGCCCAACATGGTGCCTTTTCTTTCCCTTTCAAATCAAGCTGATCATGGCTTATTTGTTTATTTGGGAATCAACCAAGGCAGTAAACTTAGCAAATAACTTGTCAGCGGGTTGACCGCATATTGCCTTGTTTCTTGGTTTCCAGAAAATAAAGGGCCTTCTTGGGATCTCATTTGGGGAAACAGGGGACAGCGGGGTGGATCCTATGAGCTGAACGTGGAAGCCACCCAACAAAAATAGGGACACCCCAACAAAACAATTTCCTTGTTTGGGGGAAGGACACCCTTTTTGGAGCACCCCATGTGAATCTGCAGGGAAATCCTTGCTGGGGTGCTTCTTTTTTCTTGAGTTGGTTCAATTTTTGGGTTGGCTTTAAAAAAAAAAAAAACCATCCTCAGGGCTGGATCCCTCAAGAGTTGCTGTCTTGTGGTGCTTTCTATTGCAATTGTCACTCTTCAAAAAACAATGAAGGGAGATTGGAGAGTTGCACTTTTCGGAGGTGAACATGGAAGGAAAGTCAATCAATGGCGAAAAATCACGGGGGTTTGGCGGCTTGGGAAGGAGGAACCCTTTCAGCCTTCATTTCCCATAGTGGTGGTTGCCCTATCTGCAACACCTGGAAAAACAACCAAAGTATGTGGTTTTTGTTTGCAGGGCCTCAAGGATCCACACTACACTTTCTGGGGCCGCCGACCTGTTGGGCCACCCCGTTTGCCGAGCAAGCGAGTCAGGTGGAGACCGAGGCAGGGCTCGCGGCGGTGAAGGACATCGCCAAGGTGGACGGCGTGGGGCTCGGAAGGGCTGGGCTCCGGCTGGGCAATTGTCTCACTTAGAATTGCTGAGCCCCCTAAAAATTGCCGTGACCCGAAAAAGGGTCCCCCTAAAAACGACACAGCCAGGCATTGGCTTGCTTAAAACCGTTAACAGATGATCAAACACCACGGGTAGAGAATTGGGGTGGTTTCCTTTAGCTTCCCTTTGGGCGCATTCGCGCCAGCGTCTTTGGAGCAAGTTTTGCACTGGTTCCATGCTGCCGGCGGACGAACAAATGGCCAGAACCCCATCCTCTTCGCAGGGTTGTCCCCGAAGGTTTAAAGTAAACCATATCTTGCCTTTTGCAAACCCAGCTGCCAGGTGGTTAAAGCAACATTTGCCGCACCTTGCCCTCATCAACTGATTCATGGCTGTCGTCAAACGCGTCTCACAACGACGTCGACACCACTGGGGTGATGTTGTCAGGTGGCTGTCCGATCTCTTAAAGGAACATGTGTGTGTGTGTGTTTTTGAAACTCGACTCAGCAGAATAAACTACACAGTGCAAGATGAATCTCTTTTGTGGCCCACACGCCACCAGGTCATTCCTGTTTGTTGGTTTAACCATCGCGGAATTGAAGTTCTCTTCGGGCAGTGCGTATAGAGGACATGTGTGGGAACTCGGGGTGTCCATGTCTGAATGTCGGAACCCGTGTATTCCCCATGAAGCCCTGGCATGAACCCCTAGGTTGCCATGCCCAAAACTTAGGCTCGAAATAGTTTCATGGTGAGTTCATGGTCCAATATGATACTCGTAATGGACATGGGTTCCATACTTGACTCCCCAGCCCCTTTCGGCTGACAGCCCAGAAACAATGGCAGACGAAATATGGAACAGAACCAGGCCAAAACTGATTTTGGAGTACCCCAGGTTCGATTCTCCGAGGGGTTCAGCTTCCACGTGAGGTCTGGACATGGTCTTCTTCGCTCCGGTAGAGCTGGCCGCTTCGGCCCCGCGGGGCCAGGAGGCCGGGCTACTCCTGGCGCTGGAGACGGCTGAGGCGATGGGTCGGCTGGTCGGCTGGTCGAGGGGCGGGGTGTTCATTATGGTTTTGTCCATAGGTGTGTGTGTGTGTGGTGTGTGTGTGTGTGTGTGTGTGTGTGTGTGTGTGTGTGTGTGTGTGTGTGTGTGTGTGTGTGTGTGTGTGTGTGTGTGTGTGTGTGTGCGTGCGCGTTTTTGAGGGGAACTACTCTTTTCAGGTTGGTTCCCACTTTGGTGGTCCCCTTCTTTGTTTAAACGTTTGGTTCTCAGTCATTTACCAGTGCCATCTAGTTCTAGTTGCTCACGCTGGGGTGTCTCTGATTGGATTCCCCTTTCTTGGTGGAACCAACGGAAAACCAAAAGGACGCCAGCCATCACGAAGGGAAACCAACCACTTTCGGGAGGCAAACAGATCTTAATTTCCTCGCCTGCGTTCAGCCACAGGTTTTCCTTGGTAAGAGTGCTCATCACCTGGAGCGCTTTCTAATGTTGTGCGAGATCGTCTCCTTTGTCTTCCTTTTGTCTCTTCTGCGGAGAAGCTTGGAGCTGGGACTGGGCAGGAGGATGCATCTCACATTATACGCAAGCATACACATGTTTTGTATCAGTGGCTATCTTTCTCAGGGGAGCATTTGGGCACCAGATGCTTCCCACACTTGCCACTTTAACTTTGGATTCTCCATTCTGAAGCCAGCTTCGCTTCTGCAGAGCACTTGCTGGTTGCAAGTGTCATGTACCGCCGATTGCTTGGTTCTTACTTCCACGAGTGGGAATGCCGTGGCAAGCAGCTGGTGGAGAGAGCTTCTCGTGTTCCCGGGCCGCTGCCCATGTGTCATCCATACTTTCCGGCTTGGAGGGCTTGAGCTGGTCATTTTTGCTCCGGCAGGCCGAGGTCAAGAGAGCCAAGAAACTGCTGGGAGGCCGTTGGGGAATTGGGAATCGAAGGGGGGCGGACGATGTTTGACGGCGTCATGCTCAGAGGATCCTCAGCTCAATTGCGAGTTGGCATGGCAGGTAGTTGGGGGTCTTGCAAATGCTCGGCAGCCACCTGAGAATGGCTACACCAGCTTGGTATAGTCAAGACTTCGGGAAACAATGCTCTCTCACTCACATCAAGTAATTTGCTGCCCAGTGCAGTGATTGTAGACGGCCATGTCATAAGCCTCTTTTTTGGCAGGACCAGTCAATGGGTTTGGGGTGGCACAGTGGTCTTCAAGTGCCTGAAGCATACAAGATACCTGCAATGGGATCCCAGGAGTGCCAGGAGAAAGTCGGCAGTTCTTGGTCTTGTTGGTCTTCTTATTGTCTTCTCAATATTATTTGCTTATTTCTTGTTAGTATCATATTACTGTTGTTCATGATGTTCATCTCATTCCAGTTATGCTTGCCACTATGCCCGTTTGTCTTCTTGTCCTTGCTCTTGCTTATGTCTGTTTTCTTCTTCCTCCTGGTATTGGTGTCGTTGTCGTTTCCATTCTTCTTGTTTGTCTTATTTGCTCCTTATGATGCTCGCTATCATCATCACCACAATGATTACTCATGTTCTTGCGCTTATTCTTGCACTTATTGTTTGTTCTGCTTGTCCTGCATTCATGTTCTGGTCGTTTCATGTGAGTGCTCTTATCAAGTTTGTTTGTTTCTGCCCGGGCCGCTTGTTCTTCGTCCTGTTCTCGCTGGTGTTGTTCGTGTCCCAGCCGCCGCTGCCGCTGCCGCTGTTGTCGTTACCTTGGTTCCAGTGTGTTTGCATCCTAACAAGCACGCACAGCCCACTTTGGTGTGATGTGAGGTTTGAGCCATGTCTGTTCAAGTAAAACAATGACAGGCTTTGTTTCTGCTCTGACACCTGTCGTTTGTGTAGAATGCAGCCCCGGGCAGGCATGCTGGTGCCTGGACGATCGGCAGAGCAGATGTTTTCAGCTGGCTATGACCTCGTTTGCACGACCAGTGATGTGATCCTCATCCGCGCCGCTGCAGAGAATATCGCCGCTTTGCCATCATTCGGATGTTGATTTGAATTTGGCTCAATTGAAGCTCTGAACCTGCGCTCTTAGTGCTTCCATAACCCCTGACCAACGGGTCAATCCTCGAAATTGGTAGGGGTTTCAGGTTGTGCACCCCATTCTTGGTGGATTCTAGAAGGACACCAACCAGCAACTAATTGTGATACAGCCCCGAACCAGGGCGGCTGGGGAGATCTGCTACAGCCATTGCGAGCATGGGCGCCTGAAGCGATTGGGCTGGAGGGCAAGCAACTTCCAGCATGCGCAAAGCAACCACTTGCGAAGTGTTGTGCCCAAAGCGTTGTGCCTAAAGCGTTGTACGAGCAGCTTCGTACACGACTGTGTTTGGGATTCCTTCTCTTATATAGGCTGAATCACTCTGCAAGAATCCTCTCAGAACGCTTCTGGAGCCGTCGTTTGTCCCGATGTCCAAAAGTGCGGCTTTTACCTGATCCTCAGCTCGCTTTCTTCCCGAGGCGGTCCGTGTGATACGTCTCAACTCAATTCGATTTTCATGCCTAAGTCCTGCACACGTTGCAACCACCATGGGCAAAATCTTCCAGACTCCACCGTCAACGCTTGCTCTTTGGAGATGCCGCCTCAAAAGCCTGCGTCGCATGTATTGCATTGGATCCCGTGCCCTCCCAGCACCTCAAACGCCCCACACCTCCCCCCGCTGCTCACTCAATTCACCCCAACACACCCTGCTTGTAGCCCCCCGAGGTGAGGGAGTCGAAGCCGCCGGCCACCGGGCCCAAAGCTGGCCTGGTGCAGTGGGTGACGTCTGCCCGAGAGGCATGTGAATTGAAGGGGGCGGCGGGGCCAATTGGAACAACATGGCCTCCCAAAACCTGCTGCAGTGGCGAGCCACGTGTTTTGACGTTTGGTGTGGCGTCGTTGTCCTCGGGAATCTGTGGGTAGCACCACTCTAAGTCTGCCAGACCACTGCATCCCCAAAATAGAGAAAGTGTAATGAGCAAGTTTAATCTAAGCAACAACGTAGGATTGGTTGACATTGGTTGGTGTTCCACGCGGCTGTGCAACCTTCCAAGTTTCGAAGCAACACACACTGAGGATCCTAAGAGATATGCGCTTTCAGATGTCTTGCCGGCTTCGACACGTAAGATGGCAAAGTTGGAGCGTGCAGTGAAAGGCGTTTGGGGCCCCAAGGGCCAATGCCGACAAAATGACGGAGTCGGTTTACACCCACATTCTGGTCGGGTTAGGAGGGGTTTTGTTGCGTGTGGTTGAGCTTATTCCTGGTTGAACAGGAGGAAGGTGTCCTGCGCCAGAATTCAATGCAGTCCTTCAGGTTTGAAGAAGCGGGTGGACGGACAGCCAAGAGGTGCAAAACAAACACAGTGTTGCAAGCGCTCAAACTGAAACTTCTGTGCCAAACCTGTACTGGCATGGCTTTGAGGGGGGCGGGGGGCAAGAATCAGCTGCTGGCCGTCCGGCCATTCCTGATCAACATCGTTTGCGCGACAAATGAATAGCTCAATTTCCAAGCTCATGGGGGGGGGGAGGGAGCAATTCACACTTACAGAGAGTCACTTGCAGATTGCTCTCGTGGAACTGGCCGCTGGGAGGCGAAGTTCGCCCGGAACGAGGAGACCCTGGTGATGCGGCTGAAGAAATCGCGCCAGGCGGGTGACTGGGGAAGCAGCAAGCCCTCAGCACGGCAGGTGTGACCGAGCCAGGGAAGAAGCTATCAAGTCAAAGCCGTGAAAAGGATCGGCACACTGCGTGAAGTGGTTTCCCTCATGGGGCGATGACTCAGACGAAGAGCTGCATGTTGAATACACAAGGCACCATCACCGTCCCCATCACCAGCACCATCACACGCATCAACACCATTCATCATTGATCAAGCATCACTGCCCGGGGGGGGTCCTCCAAAAGGAGACCACAGCCAACGAAGTGAATGTGGTTCCATTCTGTGGCTACATTCAAGGTTCACTGTATCTGGACCAGCAAGCAGAACTCTTATTGTTTTGTTGGGAGGCCAAAGCTGAGGTACATAAGTTGGTCACATCTTTTGGACCGCACAGGCATGCCTTTTGGTGCGAGGGATGTCTTTTGCTCATCTTGTTCATCCGTTCGGCCAAACACCCAACATTTGGGGCGCGTCCCAACATGCGGACTCCAGAGAACCACCAACATGACCTTGCCAAAAAACCACCCCAGCTTGCAAGGCGGAGAAACACAACGCCCAAGAAAACACCAAGGCCACAAACATTTTCTCACCAAAGTGAGGGTTGCCAAGTTGCACCCCCGGGTTTGGCGCGTGGAAACGAGGCGCGGGCCCTGGCGGTGATGGCGCGCCTGGGCTCCGCGCGGGCGGCGGAGCTGGTGGCCTCCAGCGGTTTCGAGGCGTTCGGTTGGTTCGCTTGGGGGGGCGTCCGGTTTCGGTTTTTTGGAGGGGAAAATACCCAGCTTTTGGGTGTTTTCTTTTTGATTCTTGAGATACATACCCTGTGTTTGGTGGTTTTTTTTCAGGAAGGAGAAAGCCAGGTACCAGCTTTTTTTTTGGTTTTTATTGGGGGGGTGGGGGTTCAGGAAAGACCAAAAGGGATTTAAGGTGGTTTTTTAAGGAAGGGAAAGCCAGAGACCCCCCTTTGGGTTGGTATGTATAGGGAAATCAACCGGCAACCAACCATACTGTGGATGGATAGTATCTGCTTCGCACCAGTTGGTGGTTTATCAGGTATTCATAGAATTTTGTCCATCCCGATTGCTGCGAAATGGATCTTTTACATCAACGGTACGGGTGGTTCTAAAGATGGTTGGCATTAAAGGAAACCAAGAGGCAACCCACGTGGAACCTGACTGGGGGTTGGCGGGGGACCATCTTCCCCTGGCTCCATGTTAGTTGGGGGTAACTTTGTTGACAAGCAGGGGTATCTTCTCCGGCCGAGGGCGATGAAGGCCGAATGATGGATGCCGCGGGTGTGAGCTTGGTTGATCATAGATGGGCCTGGGGTTAGTTTGGCTCTAATCATTTACCAGTGCGATCTTTTTCATTGATATGTTTTTCAACATGGACACCTAGGATGGATTCCTTTTGGAAGTGACCAACCATACATTGCCAGACTTAACCTTGTTACCATGGGTTCCTTTTTGGGTCTCCCTGGAAGACACTCAAAAAGGAACCTCCCTCAATAAAGAGGGTGACTGTCAGGGGTTCGACCTTGGAAAAGAGGCAAGCAATGCTTGCCGGTTTCGCGGAAGCATAAGAATGAGTCTCGTTTCGGCAATTGCCCAACTTGGCCAAACCTCCTTGTTGCCCTTTTGCGCTTTCGAGTTTTCGTTATTTCTCCGTTCAACCAGAATAGAGTATGCCAAACTTGACGGTTGCCAACTTTCCGTCTGCTTTGAGCATGAAATGGCCAAAGAGCCACAGCCACGTTGAATATGCAGTGGATACAAATATTATATACATCACCAAGAGATATATTTAAGTACATCGTGTACATGGGTACTCTTGCAATGGTACGTACATCAAAGGAGCCAACTCGAAATCGGGCGAGGTGGTGGTCCTGGACCACGCCAAGGGCGCCGAGGACCTGCTGGGCGCCGTGGGCTTGATCCACGGGGCGGCCCGCGCGGGCGCGCATACGCTGCTCCGCGTCCCGGCGCCTGGGAGCAAGAACAGCGCTGGGTTTGCTTGGGAAGAAGTTTGCTTGGGTCGGTTTGGATTGGGTTTGGTTGTATTTGGTTTGGGTTTGGTTGGTTTGGTTTGGGTTTGGTTTGGGTTGGTTGGATGGTTAAAGGGGGGAGAAGCACCCTGGCTCAGGTGGCCTGAAGCATTGCCATGCAGAATGGGTAGAATCCATTCTCAGGCAACGCGAAATAGAGGCCGCTCCTTCCCCAAGCCCCCCAGGCGCTCAGCCGGTCGCACCTGCGGCGTGCCCTGCAGATCGGCGTGGAGGGCGCGGCAGCCTGGAAATGGTTGGTTGGAAGGAGGGGAAGATATCTGCAGACCTTGCGTGCGGTGATTTAGTTCGCATTGCACGATGTTGCGATGTTTGTCCGTTCTCCGGCCATGAGACCACCGACGCTGGGACTTCAGAATTTGAGGAGCAAAACGAATGAAATTCGTTTGGGGCATTGGCAGACTGTGGTTGTCGGAAGCCCGAGCGAGGCGTCATCTTGCCGGGGGTGGAGACGCCTGAGGAAGCCCATGCCCTGGTGGAGCTGTGCCTCTACCCCTCCAGGAGTGTGAGGGCTAAAGATTGGCAGTTTAACAACAAACCACCGAAAGTTTCTGACTACAAGCCAACCACTGGAATGACGGGTTTGGATGCGTTTGCGTAGGCACATGTATAAGATTAACAAAGGAAGGTTGTTTCTGGGATTTGGTTGCTTGAGGATTGGTTTACTACCGCATGCAAAACACATTTCTGCATCAGAATCAATTCAGTAGCTTTTTCAGAGCATGATGAAGCAAGTCCCACCTTTCCAGGCAAACTGTTGATGAAGGGTTCCTCGAGATAGAGTGATTAGCATGGAGACTCGTATGGGACACAGAGTTCTTATCCACTGTCATGAGATCTATGCGAAACACAGGGAGCTCTATTTTGGATGGCTTCAGAGCATCAAGTAGAACACGGTTTCACAGCATATGACAGCCTTTTATGAAGCTTCTTTCAGGACATTAGCAATGATGCGGCAAGCCGCCCAAGTTGACTGATCAAGTTGAATGATCCCCAGAGTTGTTCACACTCATACCATTTTTGGCCTTCCGTGCCATGTGTTTTCGACGGAACCGCGTGCTGTTGAGTGCTCAGATCCTCAGTCAGTTGGTCATTCTTCAGTCCGTCAGGGCCTTCTGAGGAAAGACCTGACTACTGCAAGGTTTTGGTGTAGCGCGCACAATTCACTCGCAGAGTGTGGTCATTCCAAATTGACTACCGGCTGGGGCAAGCAAACGGTGCTAGCAGCACGGCGTGTGCGCTCCAATTCTCAATTCGTCAACGGTTGTTTCCTAAAACAGGTGACCTCTCTAAACGGATCCACGTGGGTTGAGCCGTGTTTCCCTCACAATTTCTCGAGGTCCGTCCCGTTTTCTCGGAACCCAAAGAGGCGGGCGGAGGATCCCAAGCGCCGGAGGAATCTGCGGGAGGACAGCCACTCCTCCGAGGCCTGGGCTCAACTTCGGCAAGTGATGTCAGGAGGTTGGAAGGATGCAGTGGTACTTCTGAGCACAGAAAGTGACAGAGGTCTTCTTGCTGTTGATATCGGTCTGCGTGCATAGATAGCATCTCGATGTTGGCGGCTTGCCATTGAGCAAACACTTGCTCCCTGCAACCGCATCATTGTACACTACGTCCTTTGAGGGTCCCGCATGAGACTCAACTCGGGCTCCAGCGTGATGGCATCTTTGCCACCTCCCTTGGACCCAAGAGGCTAGCCCCCATGATGCGTATGCCAGGCGCATGTTGCGTCCCATGAAGCGTCTGCCAAGTGAGATGTCCGACGTGCTGACAGTTGGATCAAGTTGTTCCTTCCTAGTGTGTCCCAGTACCAGCTGCAGCTGGCCCAACTTTGAGCCTTGCAATGGGCAATCTGCTTGCCCCGATGGACTCTTATGAAGGCCCGATGGACTCTTATGAAGGCCTATTTACGGTTTCCTGGATTGGCCTTTTGGCCCTGGCACCGTATGGAGGGTTCATTATCATGCTGACCTACTGGAAGGCGATCCACAACGGCTGTGGCCTTTGCGTCGGACTTCTCCTGATAGTTCCCCCGATTGCGGTCTTCTGGCTCGGCGGGCTGCTTTTCAACGTCGTGGCGTGGAGTGCCATTTGTTTGAGCCTTTGCAACCGTCCCAGAGGGATGTGCTGCGCGTTTCCCTGCTTCGCTGTGGCTTTTGGCGTGCTGACCCTGAGTATTGGGATGAACTCCCCTTTGCCGTGGTACTGGGAGATAGAAAGGTCCCAAGTCTTGCGCCACGTGAGCGTGTGCGACAGCAAGCAGTGGAAGGACTCGACGGGGCCCATCTACTTCCGAGATGGTGCTCTCACACAACACGGCCAGATGCCCAAAGCAGTACCTATCAACATCACGCACTGTTGGGAAAAAACGCTAAAGCCGCTAAAGATCGGCAGTAGAAAACAGTGGCTCAATTGTTATTTCATGGTGCAGCCGGTCTTCCAATGCGACTACTCTGGCCTCCCATCATCCCTAATGTCCGATGCCTGTACCGAGCCGCAGGCATGCGCTTGGGCTGTCACTTCAGCGGCATCACTTGGATTCGTGAACTTTCCCGAAGCTCCCAAGGTCCCAGATTGCGGCAAGCCAGGTCTCTGCGGGTTTGCGACACATCTTTTGTTTCATTACCCAGAGGTGAAGCAGGATTCCAGCATTGACGCATTTCATGCCGAGTTGCAAGCGGCGGCACGGCAGTATTCGGTGGATCTAACAGCTGAAAGCCCATTGTTGCACTTGGTCAACCCAGCAGAGGAGGCCGCGGCTCTCGGAGCAGTCGCGCCAATTTTCTACCTCCTCTTGCTCCTCTATATGCCGTTCGGCGCCATTTGTGCCTTTTTGCTGCTCCTGTGCAAGGGAGGGCGCGGCATTCTTTTGCAGAAATGCAGGGAGCTTCGCTATTTGCAAGCTGATTCAGACGGTGACGGGTCAAGCCGCGACAGCGACTGAGCCCCATGCCAGTTTCGCGGGAGAGCGCAAAGAGTGGAGTCAAGCCTCCGAAATCTCTGAATGGCAGAAGAGACTTCTGCACATTTGTGCAACATGGCTGCGCCCATGTTTGTTGGGCCAATGCGTCAGCTAAGTGCCAATGATCCGTCAGCTCGGAAAAGGTGTGCATTGCCCCACCGCCACGGCGAGCTGGAATCCGCTTTCCGCGGAGGGCGGGCAGTTGCGTTTGGATCTTGGTTTTGATGTGGGTTTGTCTTTAAATGGTCGCGCCAAGTGGTTTCTATGCGATTTCCGCTTAAACCACTCCCTTAAAATGGGTTCCCTCAAACACATCCAAATGTGGAATTTGTGGCTTTGGACCGGAAGGCCAAGGCCCGAATCAGATGGTACCCAAGACGGCTCATTTGAGACTCTGGGTCTGGCTTCGCAAAGTGGAGCTCTGGGTAGAGGCCATGGCAAGCAAAGCAGCCAGAGCTGCTTCCTGCCAACTGTGGCAGTTCAGTGAAGGGTATGGAACACTGCCGAGCTTATTTTCCCAGACCTCCTTTGACAGCTGTCCGCGACTCTTGCAAACGGAGCTGACTTTGCCAGGCGCGCATGAAGAACCAGCCCTTCCGGCGCATGGACTTCAGCTTTGCCGGGGACCCAGCCGAGAAGATGAGGTGAATGGATTGCACTAGTTTGGTTCAACACATTGACCAGCTCCATCTTTTTCCTTTTTTTTTTAAGGGCGCCTATGTTCAGCTCTTCAACACCTTGAGCCAAAATCCGAAGGGTCATGAAGGCCAGCGCGGGACAATTTCAACATGGAATCGGTCCGAACCTGTGCAGTATACAGTAGCATCAAGTGATGCACAAACAGTGTTTCGGTTTTAAGGCATCGGGATTGAAGCACTGACGTGCGTGTCTGCCGCTGGTATGGAGCCTTCATGCTTTACGAGCGCTGCAAAACCGGACAAGCAAATTAATCCCATTCCAAAAATGCAAAACGAGCCCTGCAACCCCGGAGGTTACATGGGCTGAGGGCAGGCCAAAGATCTGCCTAGGCCTAGCTTGCGACAAGCAAGGGACAGCCCGCCGAATTCTTCATCGGGGTTTGCTTGAGACCCAGGTTTACGCTAGTGCTAAGAGTCTTGCTGCCTGAATCCTTAAAAGCTGTGCGCACGCTGGCCGAAGCATTTGGGCCTGTTGCGAGTCGAGCTTGATTTAAGTCGCATTCTGTCAATTGGTGGTGTTTCCAGATCATGACAAGCATCCTCAAATCATGAGCCGCTTTTGGAAATCCGTTTGCCCATCTGAAACCAGCGCTTTTCCCGCGAAGCCTTGCCTGGGCGGCTCGGCTACTTTTGGGGATTCCCTATTTTGACGCAGATCTCAGTAGCCTAAGCATCGTGCAGTTGAGCACATGTCAACCAACAGTATGCTTGGCTGGGCGGAACGCTCCAGTCTGTCAGTGTTTGTAGACTCCCCGTCTGTGGGGTAAGGTCAAGGCTTCCTTGTTGGCTTAGTTCTGCCAATTTGCAAGAGAGCCATGCAAGTATTTTGTCCAATTGAACAGATGGGGGCAAAACGGGCTCGGGCCTAGGTCCGTTTCTGCGGGACCCCAATGTCAGATTTTGAAACCATCATCATTTCTTGAGGTTGTTGACCAGAGGACCTGACTGTCACTCTCTCTCTGGAGACCCCTTACATCTTACACATTAGCCCATCGCATATCACTTCTTGGCCCCCAGCGAGACTTATCGCTCCTCACCTGACTGTGCCTTGTTTCAAGGATCGGTACCCTATTCCTGCACAGAAAACAAAGGGAAGACCCCATTCGGAGCAAGCACAAGCTGTTTTTGGGGGGGGAGGGGGGGTGGGTTCTGCAATACCACGGATGCGGAAACGCCCGAGGGACGCCCGCCGCATTTGGCCCGTGGCTGGCCCCAGGCCCCGCCGCTGGTGGAGTTCTACGGGCAGCGGGTGGCGGAGTTCACGCGGCGCCAGGGGGAGGCGATGCTGATCGCGGTGCAGGCGTCGCTCGGGCCGTCGGAGCATGGAGGTGGGTTGGCCGAAGAATGCGGAGAGTTGAGTGGGTATCCCTTGGGCTGAGGGAAAAAGGCCTGAAAATGTCACAGGGGCGCAGGCCCCAGAGATTTTTTGGACCGGGCAGGGTTTGCGAGGTCTGAAAGAGCCAGCTGGCCGCAGTTCTGGGGCTTTGGAAGCCGCTGACTCGGATCCGATGTTGACATGTGGGCGCCGACGAATGATTCGGCAGAAAGCAACAAGTAGCGTGCGAGAGTCGAGGCTGTTGACAAAACTGACAGGCAGTGATTGGATTTCTTTAGAATGTGGCAATCAAGCTGCAACAACACATACGCTGGCAGACTGAATCTAGTGGACTGCGCTTAACAGGCATTGCCCTTTACCGCCCTAACCTCGGCATGCTCGGCTATGGATTTGTGCCCTGTGACCTTGCTTTTTGCAGATGTTGGAGCGGGTTTGCCGCGTGGCCCTCCTTGCTGCTCATCGCTTGAGAGGAGGCCCAGCAGCCCTTATCAAGTGCAAGCCGCATGTAGGTTTGACAGTAGATCACAACCATCTCTTCGGCATTCTTCTGGGCAAATCATGGCGACCTCACCAAAGAAGGTTGCGACCTCAGCCACTATGAAGGCGACTTCTTTGGGGGTGTTCCTGATTTCCGATGGGCACATGATACAACTATTGTGATGTTTTCAACAAGGACACCAAACGGGAGGGAACCACCTTGAATATCCATACCCCTATTCATCACCCTTGTAATTCACCCAGTGCTCCCTAGGCACGTGCATACCCGGCAGGTGGACACACCGGCTGGCGCCGCCCGCATTCGGGACATCGCCAAGGCACGCCACGGTTTCGTGGGCACAAGGCAAATGAGGCAGTCACCACCAGGGTAATGCCAACCCCTTGTTGAAACTAGTTCGAACTTGTTTAGATAGTATACACCATTGCTCAAGCGTCCTCCTTCCTCCTTTTCTTTCCCCAGCAACCTGGAACCCATCCAACATCACCCACCTAAAAAATGCATCTGTAGCAGAGGCCACCCCGAGAGGAATTTGGTGCGTGCACCTTTTGTCCTCGAACCTCATGGACCTGCCATGTCCGACCAAACTCCTTTTTGGAGTCCCTTGCCTAGTGGATGTATCGATATACATATGTATATATATATATATATAATTGTTTATGTAATATGCACACAATGTTCGGCCAGCACAGATGGTTTGCCGTCGGTTGGATAGTCCATGTTCAAGCTGTCGGGTCAGAAACCGTCAGTGCAAAACCCACGTTTTGCACACTTCGCAAGAAGGCCACGTTTGCACACTTCGTAAAAAGGTGATCCCAAGTGATCCCACCGAACACATGGCAAGCACCCCCGCCCAAGTGATCCCACCCACCACATGGTAAGCGCCTCCGTTCAAGTACTCCCACCCAATATATGGTAAGCACCCCCACCCAAGTCATCCCACACCCAACGCATGGTAAGCACTCCTGCCCAAGTGGTCCCACCCACACGATCTACCTCATCGCTGATGATTGCGCGGGCTCCCGGCCTTTTTGTGACTAGCCCGCTCCTGGTGCGGCGGACGTGCAGAACCCCAGCCGCAACTGCGCGCAAGGTGAACTTGTGTCCTATGGCGTTGGTGACCGCCAAGCGCGACTGACAGCTGCCACCGGAATCCTACGCCAGGTGCTGCCACTTCTTGGGAAGATTGAGTGAGCGGGCCAACCGCGGTCGCCGGACCTTGTTGATCGCAGACGGCGCAAAATGCCACAAGAAGTTGCAAAGAACGCAAAAGTGCTTTTGCGCCGCCGCAACCACTCTAAAGGAGCTTTCTGCCGGCAAAATATCTTTGGTAGCCGGCATTCCCAAAGCTTCTCCAAGTCCAAATCCTTCAGGTCTTTGGGCTAAACTCCCGTGCAGTCCCACCCTCAGTCCTCCGGCGTGCGTTGGTGGGATAGATGGCTTCTGGAAACTGCTCAAAGACAGCATTTCAGTCTCCTTGTCGTCGCAGATGAGCGAGGCGCCGAACAAGCGCCTTTGGCTTCATGTGCGCAGTTTTCAATGGCGGTGGGAAGCCTCCAAGGACCTTCCGAATGCCACCGGTCATTTTCTGAATGATATTTTTTGGAGTGATGATCCGAGAGTGGGAAGAGCGGTTGAGAGTATCCGGAGGCAATGCTTTCACAATATTGGTAAACTAGGAGCACCAAACCAAACAACAACGAAACATTTTGGGTCTCCAGAAGCACTTGTTTTGATCATTGAAGATGGCTGCGGTCAAAGCATTGAGAATTCCCATGCAAAACCATTGCACAGCATTCAAGACGGGTTTTAGAGGAAGCCACCAAAACGGCGAAACCGAGGTGCGTGATGACCCACGCCTGCCAACGTGATCAAGAAACGGTGGCGCTGAAACGATCGTGCGTGGGAAGCACTTTTTTGCGGTTGAACATTTGCGGAAGCGCCAGGCGAAACGCAAATTCTAGACAGCAATGACCGACGGAAACGACCCAGCGGGATGTTCAAGCGTCGCCAGAATCCACCCAGCGAAAGGCGACACGCAAGCTGATCAAAATAGCAGCTCTGCAAGCTGTGTGCAGTTTTGCGCTCGCGGTTTTAAAGCCAGAGCCTGTGAACAGAAAGCGGAGCCATGTTCTTTTCACACTATTCTTTTACGTCTTTAACAGCCCTGGCCCTGTGAACGTTACCAACTTCCACGATAGGACGCTGCCAAAATGTGCGAGCTCCACTGCGCTTCAGCCGCGCAGACGACCAAGCATGATCAAAGAAAGAGCTTAAAGGGCTGCCATGGCAGACATCATGTTTTCCACCTCAAGATCGCCACAGACTTCTTGTGACGTGCATGAAGCATGCTTATTGTAGTTCACTGCTGCGCCCATTGGAACGTGCTGAAGGCACACCACCCGGGTTGCAGGTAGATGTATATATATATATATATGTAGGTATTTCCGTGTTGTTCGATAGGGTTGAGGGTTCCAAGTTTGAACCCAGGCAGGTTTCAACCCGATTCCGCCATGGTTCATGAGGATCCTCATCACCATTCACAACTTGCCGTGGTTACTTCTCCCGACCTCACACACAGGAAAGGCGGCCCCACCCTCAAGACAGAAACCTTGTCTTAGTCGTGATCCATCCTGTCAGGCTCGGGAAGGTGAACCCAGAGACACCCTTTCAGGGTGGGCGGCAACATGTTTGGTGAAATCAGGATGATCCGGATGATTTCAAGGGCAGCATCGCCGACTTTGCTGTTTTGGTCGGCCACACGCCTGCAGGTGGAGGGCATTGACATGCTCTTCGTGGACGCTTTGCGCCTCTCAGGCAGGGGATTCGCAGTTTCTTCTCGCGGTGAGGGAGTGCAGAGCGGGGTTGGGTGCTGGCACTGGCAACACGCGGCTGCTTCTATGCAAGTCAAAGGCTCAGACAAGGAAATGGAATGAAAGATGACCGTCTAAGTCTTCCAAGCATCGCGCTCCTTCATCAGTCTTAGTTGCGACGGATGAATTCTCCAAAGCCCTGCTGTGGCCATTGCTGTGCATGGCTGCTTGCAAGCAATTGCAAGTCCGAAGCCATTTCAAGAGCTTGCAGTTATTCAGCTTTGATTTTGTCCACCGGCTGCTTTTGCGGAATTGCAATCAATTTAGTTGGTCTGCTTTCATTTTTGGATTCGACCATGGGACCATTTTCGGTTATGATCTTCAGAGGTAAACCTGAGGTAAACCTGAGGTAAACCTGAGGTAAACCTGTGACGGTTGGATCCTTTGGACACATGCAACCTTTTGTCCAGCCTTTCTCAGCCTCCCAAGGGCGGCACCCCAAAAGAACAGGCGCTGATGTGGAACGCATCGAGACCGCCGCCAAGTCGAGCAAAAGGCGACTTGGGTGCGGGACGATCTAGGGACCACCCAGAGTGGCTTTCCGTGCGGTTTCCCCTTACCAAGCTGAAAAGCCAAGAACACACCCAAGTTGGGGCGTGCAAAGGTTAAACAGCTGGTGGGGCCTTTGTCAATGGGTGCTGGAGCTGGTTGTTTTCTTCCTTGGGGGAGCAGAAGAGCCCAATTCTAGCTCCAACGTGCTGTTGCAACCAGACCAGCGCACGCAGCAGGCAGGCTGTTTGGTTCATTTGTGTTCGAAGCCAAAGCTTGTTAGAGAGGGACGCAGCAGGTCAGTGAAGGAACGAGAATTGAACCTCGTGTCTTGTTTCAACGTGCTTCCTCATGGTCCTCGTAGATATGTCAAACATGGAAGCGGAAAGTTGTGGAACGGCCTGGAATTCCGGACATTTCTGCGACAAGACGTGCGATGACACAGTCGCAGGCAAGGCCTTACATTCCCAAGGCATCGCCTGAGCCGAGAGGAAGTTTTTCCAAATCCTGAACTCACCATTGTTTGGAACCGTTTCGCAGACGCCCCTGTAGATTAATTCCAGGTCTCAATCTTGCGCGATATTTTTTTGGAGTTTGGGCCGGCTCTTGGTGCAGCCAAATCTCGACTAACTCTAGCGAGCTCCTTGGGATGATGTGGGAATGATATCGCCGACGGTGCTTGGAAGATGACTCAATGGAAGCCGACCATCAGATGCGCTACAGTTCTAAAAGGCAAGAACGCCAGTGAGCCGAAACATGAGGCGGGACCGGGCAAACATGGGCAACAATGACGGGCAGATAAATATCCGGCGGCGCCCGCCACGACACTGGCAGAGCCAAACCCCACACACGCAAGCCAGTCAAGTGATGGCAAGCAGCCAATCCACCTAAAGAAGTTACTCTGCAAATCACATGTAAACCCAAACACGGGTTGCTCCAAAGGATATTCATGAGGGTTTTCGAAATTCCATGTCAATTTGTGGGGGGAGTGCCGACAAATCCACCGGCAAACCTGACAGGCTGCTCGGGGGCTTGTTGGTGCCCGGCTGCAAGGTGGAGGACATGTTCCGGGCAGGCCGGGCCGCGGGGGGCGGGGGGTTCAGGTGGTTCAGGGGGGATGTCGGGGAAAGCAGGGGCCAGGCTTGTTGCAGGTGCTTGGTTATCCTGCAGTTGGGATGATAGCTTGGACAAACCACCGAATTGGTTCGTGATTCTGTCCATCCGCAGTTTGAGGAATCGTTGGGAGTCCGAAATCGCATCGGTTTGCTGACGCAGGCTACAAGCTGGTGTGTGCCGCCTCGGACCACGGGCTCCTGGCTGAAGGCACTTGCAAAAGGGAACTGCTATGGCTTGCCCCAACGTACGGAGTAGTAGGGGGTGCAAACTGTTGAGGATCCCGCACATTTCTCCTTTCTTTGCAAATGGAATCCAGACTCTATTTCCGAGCGTGCCTACCGTGGTTGCCAGTCGGGGGAAATGAACATCGTTTCAAGAGAGCAAGCCACGTCGGCGCTCGATTTGCCTACTGAGCCGCCTTGCCTTAAACCATAGCTCGCATGCCCCAGGGAACTCACAAGTGCGGCATTTTGAAAAGCTGCTCCTGACTGTTAGCTGTTTCACACTTATGCAGCATCAGATTTGTCACCCCAAACGGATGCAAGCTGAACAGCAATGCCGCGGCAACCTGCGCCCATCAGCAACGCCGGGCGTAGCCGCTTTACCCCAATGAGGCTACAGATTCCATTCAACAGCACCATGCGAGCCACAAGGCCAATGGCTTACGTACTTTCGCTGCTTGCGGTTGCAAGATGCAAGCATCCCTAGCAACAAGGAGCCAAGTTGAGTCCATCACTTCTGTGGTGTCATGTCCTAGACCCCTTCCACATGGGATCATGGCATTCGTGTTTAGCGCCTGAATGAAGCCTTTTGTACTGGTTCACACCCGTGGCCAACGATCCAGTTGCTCGTCTTTCTGCATCAGAAGACGCGGTTTCTCCCCAAACATCTCGCGTCAAAGTGACTTGGGGCCAACACCGGAAATGGATCAGCTTTGCCTTGCACAGAGCGTTGCTCAGTTCATATCGCCGGTTTGCTTCTGCCGTTGGATTGGCAGGTGCCAAAGCATGCCTCCTAGCCGAGCGGCCCGCGGAGTAGGCGGGCACGCACCGCGCACAACAGCTCTCGAGTGTTCGCTTCCTCGAAACCTGATCAGAGCCATTTTGTGGCAACTCATGACACGGGATTGGGCACTTGCTTGCGAGTCCCTTCGTGGTTGTCATTGTGTTTCTTCGAGCACTACATGATTCTTATCGTCTCGGATCGCTTCCAAATCAAGCACTTTCTCGAACTCAGAAAGTGATTACCCGAGGAACCAACGCCAGCAGAGTACCCTTGACTGTCTCACTCAGCAAGCAATGGCAATTTGTTGAGGGTTGTTGTTGCCCAGTGCGCAAGCTTCAAACATAACCTTTCAGCATTTGCTCGACAGGAAGGCCGAGATTGTGCGTGAAATTGGGTCTGGCCTGTCAATGCCGTTGTTAACTGACATTTCTAGGGATCGACATGGGCGGGCGGGCACTCAAAATGAGCAGAAATCAGGACTGATGGAAAACGGGGAATGGTTTCATGGGACATGCACAAATCGAGCTTCCCCCACTCTGTTTGGCTTCACGGGCTTCCCACCGGGCATTTCCAGGTCGACTGAATGCCGGCCTGATCGGAGACAGGAAACGCGGTCCTGCGGGCTGCATGTTTATCCGCTGGCCAAAGTGATTCGTTTGGAGGTTGGCGCAGCACGGTCGACACTGTATATAGACAGCTGAGACTTCCTCGAGGTGGCGAAAGTCTGCTAGGGGTCTTCGTTGAATCACCCATGCCAGAAGCAGCAAGGAAACACAGACAGACAGAACACGCCCTTTGAACTTGCACATATTTGACACTCCAGCTCCAGAGCAACGACCAATCTGCATGAAATCACAATGATTCATATGCCTATTCGATTTGCAAAGGCAGACACTTGGAAGAAGGAAGAACCAGCACCTGTTTGCTTCGCTCAGTGAAGACTGTCCGCGTTTACCCCTGAGACCTGACACCTCGTTGAAGACATGGCTGACACTTCGAGAAGCAAGCAACAACATCTCCATGTCAGATGTCAGCCTTTGGCCAAACACCATCCCCCAAGAAAAAAGACAGAAAGACAAGGGACAGTAGGGACCGGGCCAATTGGCCGATTTCCCCTTTTCTGAGATGAGGGGACCCTGGATTCTACAAACCGGGTTGAGATCGCTTGCACCAAAGGACAAACACGTGTGTGGCATCCGAAAGGAACCGATTGGCTAGGAAGCATGGGTCACCCAATGAAATACCCGCCTTGTGGTTCCCTCCTTCGCCCTGGCATCTTCCAGAAGTCTCAGCAGGTGAGCGCCGCCAAAACGGTGGCTTCGCCCTGACCTCTCACTGGCCCTGTCATGGGCGCTTGCGCCAAAGCCAGTTGCGGAGACATGAGCGACTGACAACATCAAGGTAGCCGATTGTTCTTTTGGGGAGGACGAGGAGGGGGACCCGTTGGATGAATCGGACCGGATTGGAGATCTCAAAGTTTGCCACTGAGGATAGATTTTAGGATTTCACAAGCATCCCAGAACAGAGAGGGAGTTCGCCAAGGACATAGACTGGCAAAGAGCAACGGTGGGCATGGGGCAGCCAAAGACATGGCGGCCAAGCCGCGCTGCGGGCATTGAGTCCATGGGTGAAAAGGACCTTGCGGTTCCATTTGTCTAGCGAGGCGTTTGTGTTTGCCCGGGCTGAACGGGGCCGATTCACAGGGCTGAAGCTTAAATTTGCCACGTTGGATTCGTTTCTGATAGGGCCGCTTCAAAATGATAGAGCTTCTTGCTGAAATTGGGCCATTGTGACACAAATATATGCTGATAATTGGGCATGGGGCTGGGACGTTGCGCCACAGCAGCTAGTTTCTACTTGCAATTGGCGCGGAATCGAATTCCCGGAATAGTGCCTGTGAAAGAGCAACGAAGTGGGCTACAAGAAGAGCGTTCCTTTGGGCTTGGAACTTTAGAGCATTCGCAACCATATCCTCGCAGGGGACTGGGATGGAGTTTAGAAGAGCAGGAAAACATGTGAATATGCTTGCCGGCTTTGTCTCTGATCGGATGGCTGAGGACTCGCGACTGAGCATTCGCAGCTTGCGGCATGTCCCGCCAATCCCCATGTGGGGTGTCTAGCAAGCTCGAGCCCCTCATCCCTGGCAGTTGGGGATACAACCAGTCCAAATCCGACAAGCTCAACCCAGGTGTTCCTCAGGTTCGGGCAGGCAAAAGTGGTCGGCTCATCTTGGCTATGAATTCGGATGGGGAGCAAACATTCCCAGGTAAGACGATGACTGATGCCCACCCAGGGTTCGCAACTAACATCTGTTTGTTACATCCATCCATCCCCATGCCAAAGTCATGTTATACCCAATAGCGGTCGTCAACTACGCGTCCGAACGAAATCCGCCCGCGAGACCCATCCGTCCCGACAGCGCCATGTGGGCGCCCAGCAGCCCCAGCCGCCCCAGCCGCGCTTTGAACGCCGCCGGCGCGGGGCCGCCGGAAGCGCGCTTCGCCCGCGCGCCGGGGCTTGGAGGTGGGGGGCCGGGGGCGGAGAGGGGGGCGGAGAGGCGGCGCCACGGCGCCATTGAATCGAACCCACCAGAGGGTTCCGGCCCCTGGCTGTGTGTGGGAGAGATGAAGTTCCGCCAAGGTACTGTAGGATTCTGTTTGGGTGAGCCGCTCTTACACAAGCGCAGTTGTTGATCCTTGTTGTTTCAAGAAGGGCATTTCTGCTTCGTGCTTCTTCCTCTTAGTGTTGTGAGGAGTGCAGGCTTGACAGATTCGCCTCAAGTCAGATTCTGAAAAGAAGCATCCTGAGGCGGCAACAAGTCCGGGCCTCTCTTTGAGACTGGTTGCCGCACGGCAGCGACTTTTGGGCCTTCCCAGGTTGGGCATGCAGCTCTGGTGGAGAGGTGGGGCCGGGCTGCCTGCTATGGGTGGTGGACCCCGGGAGCCTGAACCTTTGAGACAGATGCGGCGAGGTAGTTTCCTGGCTCTGATCCTGGAGGGTGCAACCTACCTGAAGCCTCTGCCTCCACTCCATCGGCCTGTTTTGGTGCTACATTCACAAGACAAGGTTTTAGTTTGCAGCCAAAGGGTCCATGGGTGAAGCCCACCGCTTCCCGTTGCAGAAAGCTCCGAACGGGAGGCCACCCAATTGGGCGCGGCCTTCCTTTTCGGGCTCGCTGGCTTGGCTGGGCTGCGCGGGCGGCGCAGGCGGGTCACCATCGAACTGGGTCTTTACCTTCTGGCAACCCACGCAACCAAGCCCTGGACAAATGCGAGTTTTGGGTTGATGCTTTCTGTGCACATCCGGCGATGGGGATGGGCATAAAGAAAGGACCCGGGGCAGCGGCCATTGGTCCCTCTCAATAGTCATGGAATCGACTGTACCCGCGGCTGCTTATTTGTTTTTTTCAATCTTCTTTCCGCACAGTGCTGAATATCCCAATGGGGCCTCAGCCTTTGTGCGACTGCCTCGAGGTCGCGCTTGCGGCTTCGCGCCTTGGCGAGGGACTAGATGGCCTGGTGAGAGTTGGCCAGGTTGGGGAGGTTTTGGATTGCTGCTTTGAGTGTGTTGGGTTACTTCAGTTTTTCACTTTTAACGATGGCGGATGGAGTTGGGCAATTGGGCGGTTTGCCGCTGGTTTCTTCCAAATGGTGTGCAGCTTTGCGAGGGTCCAGCGTGGGACATTAGGGATTTGGAGACGGCAGGTTGTTGCCAAAATTTCTACTTCCCTACCACACTGCGTGACCGGTCAATGCACATACATTGTTTAGCTTTCCTCCGCAGCTATTGTTCAACTCCACGCTCGCAAATGCAGATGTTTACGTTCCCTCCACGGTTCATTATTGGGACCGAGCAATGTTTGCGCCAATGCCGCAGCTCTGCTGCACGCATGCATGCCCACATGTCGACGTTTCTGCCAGAGTGCATGCCGCTTCTTACCCGCCCGCGTTGCTTTTTGCTTTGGAGGTCCCTATGTAAGTTGCAGTGCTGGTGGCTTGCACCCGCCGCTCCTTGTTCTTTCCGGTTGCACCAGAGGCGGGGTGTGTACCTTTTGGTTTGCATGGAACCGAAATGACGCCCCCTACACCAGTGGGTTTCCATGTCTCTTGGGTGTATAGTCTCATGTTCAGTTTCAACAAGTACACATTGCTCATACGAATGGATCATGTGGCATCCATTTTCCGGATCTGATTCCATCTCATCGAAGGCAGCACATCGATGAGCAGTGACCTGGATGCGATTAAGGTGGTGCCCCGCAGTCCACAGCCCTTCTGTCTTCCATTGTTGGAAAGAGGGTCTTCATGGGGTTCAAAGTTCAAACACTATTGGTGTACACCATGCAGTCCACACAATACGCCGGGATGACCACCGAGCGTGCTACACAATCGCGGAGTCCATGCGTGTTCCCTTTCTGCCGGCTGTGAGAATGCGTCAAAACTAGGGCCCGTCAAAGTTAGTAGCACGTCGCTTAGCATTCCCCAAGCTTGCCGCATCTGGCCGGAAAGATTAGACGGCCACTTGCTGAGGTTTAGGATTGGTGTACAATGCTGACAACCTCGAGCAGTTCTTCAGCAACAAGCCCTTTCTGGTGTTTGGCAGGCCTGCGGCGTCCCAGCCAGCTGGGGGCGGGTGTCAGCATAGGTGTCCTTTCCGGTTGTTCTGATAGAAAAATAGATGGCGATTCCTGGTTTAACTGGTGCCTCAATCATCTACGAAGGCCAT